AAAAACTCTAATGTTTATTATTTTAAGATGGATTTTGCTGAAAACCTTCTTGCTACAATCTGTTGATATCCTGGAAATCTCTTGGTTTTAAACTGTATTACCAAATGCTCTATTAATTGATGCAAAGCATGACTGTATCTGACTTCTTAAAGATTTTCTGCTAGCACAGGAAATCTTGTAGTGTTACCACAAAGCCTAACTGGCTTTAGTTTGACATTCTTACATTTCCCTTGTTTGCCTCAGCTTTTATGTTAGAATCACTTTGGCGGGGGCAGTTTTGGTAATTGTTGGTAATTTCCAATGTCATAACTAGGGCAATGAAACCTAATACGCCTGGTTTGGGAAATAGGGATCTTCCATCTTTGGTTCTCTTGGAAACTCCCTCCCAGCCCAGAATCAGGTCTTGGAAACACTTTAATTCTGTTACCACACAGTGAGTACAGAAGTGACTATGGTTTTAAGAGATACTTCTCAGACCCCAAAATCTAGAGATCAAAAGAGATGGTACAGAAGACCCATAGCACAGTAATACTTCAGAATCTTGTTTCAGATGTGGATACAATTCTCTAAATTCAACAAAGATCTTGTCAAGTTTTTAATTTAATAGTTTTTCCCATTTGTCTTCAGCACTTTTGATCTTTTGATTGAGATTTTTCTGAACACAGCTTAGGATAGTTCTAGGTCAGTGGTTTTCAAAGTGTGATTTCCAGACAGCAGCATCAGCAAGATCTGGGAATTTGTCAAGAATGCAAATACTTGGGTCCCACCCCAGACTTATTTACTGAATCAGAAGCTCTAGGGGTAGGTTCTAGCAGTCTGTGTTTTAACAAACTCTTCAGTTTATTCTGATGCATGCCAAAGTTTGAAAACTGCTACTTAAAGTCAACATTTTTGTAATGTAGATTAGGAAATTAAAGACCAGATATAAATGACTTCACCTAGTTCACAGAGTTAGTGAAGTGCTTGTGAATATATTTATCAATACATTTTGAGACCTAACTGCTAAAAAATCAGTAATTCATGATATGAAACCTATTCTCAGTAAAATTTTCCTTTATTATGTCTTCAATAAATTTTAGAAATAATCATCCTATATTAAATTATCACAAAAGTCCTGTCACCATTCCTTGATTTGATGATAAATATATGATGTGCAAATGTGTATAAAATTGTATTTTTCAAAGTTCATATGCATAGGAACTACTGAGTTTTTACTTTGCAGTTTGGCCTCTTAACAGATTTTCTTCTGGGCTATATATTACCTTTCCTTTTTTTTTGGTACCGGGAATTGAACTCTGAGCCACATCCTCAGCGCTATTTTGTATTTTAGTTAGAGACAGGGTCGCACTGAGTTTCTTAGCACCTCCCTTTTGCTGAGGCTGGCTTTGAACTCGAAATCCTCCTGCCTCAGCCTCCCGAGCCGCAGGGATTACAGGCGTGCAACACTGCACTCAGTTATCTTTCCAATTTTCAGATTGATTCTTTTATTGAAGTGGTGGTAACATTCTTCTAAAGAAACCCCTCAGATTAAAAGTATTTGGATAATACATATTTTAAGTTTATTTATTACTTTTTAATCCTTTTAATCAAAATATACCAAAATATATAAAATCTACAAATCTAAGTTCTTAGTTCAATAAGCTTTGATAATTGTACATCCCCATATAACTGTCATAAAAAATGAGATGAAGAAAATCTTCTTCACCCCAGAAAATTCCTTTGTGCCCCTCTGCAAATCAATTAATTTCTTACCTGGAAGCTACTTCCTGACTTTCCTCCCTATAGATGTGTGTGTGTGTGTGTGTGTGTTTTAATATATATATATTTTTAGCTGTAGTTGGACACAATACCTTTATTTTATTTATTTATTTTTATGTGGTGCTGAAGATCGAACCTTGCACCTCACATGTGCTAGGCAAGCGTTCTATTGCTGAGCCACAACCCCAGCCCCTATTGCTGTGTTTTTCCTGTTTTTAAATGTTGAATAAATGGAATCATACTTGATATACTCATTTGTTTATGTCTTATTTCACTTACCATGTTTTTGAGATTCATTCATGTTGCATGAATCAGAGTTCACTCTTTTTAATTTCTGGTTAGTATGGCATTGTATGAATATACCAGATGTGTTTATCCTAACTTTTTCTTAGTACAAATATTTCTTTCTTATCCCAAAAGCAACATGTACTTATTGTGAAAAATTATAGAATATGAATATTAAAAAAATCACAATTCCACTCTATAAATAATCACTAACTTAGAACCTTTGTTTATATAAGTTGTCCATATAATACATGTGTATTACACATATTATAAAAATTATTATTTTAGGTTCAAGTTTTATCACTTTGAACCTAATGTTAGTGTGTTAAATTGGCATCATCCTTAGAATTTTAACTTTAGAATCTTTTCTAAATTTAAAAGAAAGCATAAGACCTGAATAACTATTTATTGCCCCAAATGCAAATGATACACAGTATACACAATCAAAAGAAAATGTTGTTTAATTCCTATCTTCCAATTTTGCTTGCCTCCCCAGTGTTAACCACAAAATCTTAACCACAATCATATGGATAATGTCTACGAAGTGCTGAATTTATTATCACAATTTTTCTTCTAAATTTTATTTTTAAATTTTTATTTTCAAATTTGTTATCTATACACCAATGACTTTAGTTTTGATTATATTATAACACCAATGAACATGTAAGGACTAATTCTAATATAATAGCTTATTAGCCACCTTAAGATAACAGTTTTTAAGTAATTTCTCTAGGTGTATAAAGTACTACCTTCAAATTTTCTGATTGTTGAGTAGGAATATTAATATGCCTGTTGTTGGAAGCCTAGATATATGTTTTATCAATATATTGATTTTTTACTTATCACAAATATACCCTTCAATAGTAAATTGGCTTTTCATTATAAACGAAGTTATTTACATATTGTCATTAAAGTTTGGATATCAGTCAGATGCAAAGTCCTATTAAGGAACAGAAAATAATATAGAGTATTATTTAGGGTTTGCTTTCTAAGGGTACTTTGTTTCATTGGAGACCTTGATTAATGTCTTAATTTGCAATTTTATGGACTTTCAAGTCCTTGGTGCTATTTGGAACAAGACTGGGTATAGATAGAAGGGGCATGTCCTGGCAAGCAGTCTGTCCATTAATCAGGACAGTCCAGAAACTCCTTGCCTTTCTATTGATCAGTATAAATTCCAAAGATTGTTGCTTTATTTCTTATGATTTTAAAGCTCACATACCTAGAGGCAGGCAAAAAATGCAGGTAGAGCTTTACTCTGAACTGTTTTACAGTTTTGGTTTTGAGGTGAGAATATGCAGTGTGTTAGCTTTCCATCCTTGGGACAAGACACCTGAGAAAGATAACTTAAGAGGAGGAAAGATATATTTTGGCTCACATATTAGTTCATGGTTGGCTGGTTTTATTGCTCTGGGTCTGAAGGTGAAGGAAAGCTGCTGACCTCATGGCAGCCAGGAAGCATAAAGAGTGAGGAAGGGGTCACTGGGGGCAAGAAATACATTTCCAGGACATACCCCTAGTGACCTGCTTCTTCCAACTAGGCGCCACATCCTACCTGAGAATCTACCATCTGTCAATAATACTATCAGCTACTCAAACATCAGTGTATTATTCCATTGATGAATTAATCCACTGATAAAGTCAGAGACCTCATGATACAATCATTTTCCAAGACTCAATCCCCCAACACTGTTGTATTGAGGACTAAGTCTTCAATGAGCCTTTGGGGGACATTCCAGGTCCAAATCATAACATTTATTACTTAGATGAAATTACATATGCAAAGTAAATGGCTTACTAAGCCCAAAGCTCTAAGGACTGTTCCCTTATGGAGCTACAAGAGCTTTTGTTTTGGTGACTAGAACAATACAATCATGTGTGCAGGGCCCTATGGTTTTAAATTATTTTAAAATATTCCCATTACATTAAAACGACAACACTGGTTATTGTTTAATGACCTAAACACTGTTAAAGCATTTTCCCCAAATCATCCCATTTAATCCTAATTAAGGAGTTTGGGGCTTATTATGAGTTCTTAATAATAGCATTTGGATATCCCCAGGCTCAGATGTATGGGCTTTGTCCTAGAAATAAAGTTCAGAAATGCTTAGACTATTTCTGGCTTTATCTCAGAAGGTAAGCATTACTATAAATGGAAAATGTCCTGCTCTGAAAGACTAGGAGTGATTGCTGAGGTTACTGTTTCTCCTCTCAGTTATTTTCTCCTCTCAAGCCAGGAAAAGAATTATTATTATTTGATTGGTGATAACTTTCATTCTATTGAGTCCAAGCTCCTTACCTCGTCTTTGTGTGCATTCTACGTTCTATACCCAAGGGTAGAGAGATTTAGAATTGTATATTGTTAAATAAGGAATTGTATATTGTTAAGAAATCATAGAACTGTGTATTGTTAAATACTAAGTAAAGTCATTGAAATTCCAAGCCCTAATTCAACAGGACTGCAGAACACTCTGGACTCTTGCTCAGTCTGTCTGTCTTCCCAGTCACGAAAGAAATGTCCTCTACCTGAGCTGGAAAGTCAATTTGGTGATGATAATGTACATTAGGGTGGCTACATTCATGAAAAAGCCTATTTCCTCATCTATTATCTTAAGAATATTGGTTAACCAGATGCATTCACATGGTATTTGATGGACTCTTTCTAAAATGACTGCTTCGTGCCCTCTCCTTTGATTTTTTTCCCCCTAAATACAGGACAAATAACTGAGCATTGCTAACCCTACCACCTCCTCCCCTTCACCCTCCCCCAGCATCTAAGGGAGAAAGGCTCATCCTCTTTTCTGCATACGCCCAATAGTTGGGGGAAGGGTTGAACTTGGTCTCCTAAAACCCGCTCTACTTGCTCCCTCAGGTTATCAACCTTTCCTCGTCCACCTCTGCAGCCAGGGACCTTCAGACCTAGGCAATAGTCTCGGTAGAGAGAGGAGGTGGTACTTTGACGGAAGGAGTTGGCGCGCAGCGGTGCCTAGTGGCGCTGCCAGGCTGCTCCAGAGTACGTGGCAGAGCCCACAGAGGGGCGGGGAGGAGGTTTGGCCTTCTCCTCCCCTGAAGGAGCCTTGGGGCATCCTGCAAAGTCAGGGCGATCCTTAAGTGGATCAGAGCATCTTTTTGGTGAGATCTGGGCAGATGAAAGTGTATGCAGCAGTCAGCGTCCTCCTCTACGTTCCGTACCCACCGAAAGCCTAGTCAGCGTTTGGCCGCCAGCAACGGTAACCGGATTTGGGGCCAGGGGACGCCCTCCCTAGTCCGCATGCGCAGAGTAGGGAGCCTGCTGGCACGACTACAACTCCCAGAGGAACCTCGCCGAGCCGCAGGCGCTCGGCCGCCGGCGCCATCTTGAAATCTGATGCTCAATCGGCCTGGCTTTGCGTCAGCCCTAGGCGGCTGCTAGAGTCCCGGATCCCAGCCTGCTAACCCGGGAGGACGTGGAGGACGCGGCGGCGGGAGAGACAGCTGTGCGAGACTTGGCAAGGTTGGACCGGGACCCGCGCTGCTGTCAATCAGCATCCCCCTGCGGCGTTTCCACTCCTGCCCGGCTTCCCCAGGGGCGGGGCCGACCACTGTGGTACCCAGAGCGGAGCGCGGTGCTGAGGTTCCCCCCTGCGGGGTGGGGACCTCCACAGAACTGTACCATGCCAGCTAGACACCTCCGAGGCCGGAGACGGAACGCAACCCAGGGATAGTGAGCGATCACTCAGTAGCTGCCACAGGAAAAGCTCGGCACCCGCTAGCAGAGAAGATGAAGGAGGTTTGCAGGATCTGTGCCCGGGAGCTGTGTGGAAACCAGCGGCGCTGGATCTTCCACACGGCGTCCAAGCTTAACCTCCAGGTTCTGCTTTCGCACGTCCTGGGCAAGGATGTCTGTCGCGATGGCAAAGCCGAGTTTGCTTGCAGCAAATGTGCTTTCATGCTTGATCGTATCTATAGATTCGATACCGTTATTGCCCGGATCGAAGCCCTTTCTATTGAGCGCCTGCAGAAGCTGCTGCTGGAGAAGGATCGCCTCAAGTCCTGCATTGCCAGTATGTATCGGAAGAATAATGATGACTCTGGCGCGGACACTAAAGCAGGGAGTGGGACCGTTGACATTTCCGGCTTACCCGATGTGAGATACTCTGCCCTGCTCCAGGAAGACTTTGCCTATTCTGGGTTTGAGTGCTGGGTAGAAAATGAAGATCAGATTCAAGAGTCACACAGTTGTCATGCGTCGGAAGGCCCTGGAAACCGACCCAGGAGATGCCGTGGTTGTGCAGCTTTGCGAGTTGCAGATTCTGACTATGAAGCCATTTGTAAGGTGCCTCGAAAAGTGGCCAGAAGTATTTCTTATGGCCCCTCTAGGTGGTCTACCAGCATTTGCACTGAAGAACCTGCTTTGTCAGAGGTTGGGCCACCCGATTTATCAAGCACAAAGGTGCCCCCAGATGGAGAAAGCATGGAGGAAGGGACACCAGGTTCCTCTGTAGAATCTTTGGATGCTAGTGTCCAGGCTAGTCCTCCACAACAGAAGGATGAGGAAACTGAGAGAAGTGCAAAGGAACTTGTAAAGTGTGACTGTTGTTCAGATGAACAGGCTCCACAGCATATCTATAATCACAAACTGGAGCTAGCTCTTAACATGATTAAAGGTCTTGATTATAAGCCCATCCAGAGCCCCCGAGGGAGCAAGCTTCCTATTCCACTGAAATCTAGCCCATCTGGAGCCAAGCCTGGCCATATCATGACAGATGGAGTTAGTTCCAGTTTCATTAACAGGTCTTTGAAACCCCTTTACAAGACACCTGTGAATTATCCCTTGGAGATTTCAGACTTGCAGGAGCTGTGGGATGATCTCTGTGAAGAGTATTTGCCACTCCCTGTCCAGGTATACAAAATGGCTTCAAAAGTGTCTGAGTAGAGCTAGCTGGCTTCAGGCTTTACATGATTTCTGTCTAGTAGGTAGAGATTAAGGATATTCTAGACTTGAGAAAATTAATCATTGATCCTATTTTGGATACACCTTTTTTTTTTTTTTTTAAATGTCCCATTTAGTGAATGTGATTTACACTCAGATAATTTGCTTTTCATAGTCCTCTTTGTAATATAACTTGTTGATATCTTCCCATTAATTATAAAGATTGCATATCTGTTGAGACAAAAAGATTTCCTATTTCATTTTTATCCTACAAAAAGAAGACAATGTCATTTCTATCACTAGAACTTTTACCTCCTTTTCTTCTTTTTGTTTATTGATTCATAAATGTTTTCTTCCATTGGCATTCTGTAAGGGAGAACTTTAGTTAGTGCTCCCTGGAGCATTTAGCCTGTCATCCCCAAGATACCTCAAATAATTAGAGCAGAGGGTAAAATTTGGGGGAAACATTAATCCACTAGTAAAGTGTTATAACATTAGGCATGATTATTATTATTATTATTATTGATGGATCATTTGAGGATTAATCACCACATTCATAGAAGAGGCTTGGGAATTCAAATATTGTCAGTGTCTCAATGTGCAAATTGCACAGTTGGCTTTTCTACTGACCTCTACTAGATGATATTTGGTATTAAGAAAGGAGTTAGCCATTATATTATTTTGACTTTCTTAATTACTAAAGAATGGCAGTTGATCTTTGAGCTATTCATGTTTACCCAGTTGATTTCATATCACACTGTAAAATTCAGCTATATACAGGGAACTGACAGATGGTATTTTGTTTCTATAGCAACAGGAAACACTAGATTCAGTTAACTTTGTGAAACATTCTGGCATGTTTCATCTGATAAAAATTCCTTAGTGGTACTAAAGCAAAAGTGGACAATCTAGAAGGCATTTCCAGGAAGCCTGGTACATAACACAATTCCAGAAATTTAGGACTTGATAACATGATACTGTTATTTGTCACGTGAAATTTTTGAAAGTTAGTTCAATTGTATATAAAGCTTGTATTACAATAAGAACTCAAACAGAAATAGGAGTAAAGTTTTCAAATTTACACAAAATTATCAGATAAAACATGGAAATGTTAAGAAAAAGTAAAAAGAAATGTGTTTTCATTTGTATAAAATGTTAAGTACTGTAGGCCTAATGTTTGTGTACTTATTTTCTATTGCTTTTTCTTTCAATGGAGACTCATGGCTAAATTTGGGCTTAACACTATTTCTGTAAACAGACTTAGATGTTACAAATTAAACTTGGTATTCTCATATTTGGATCTAAAAAAGTAGACTAGGCTTGGTGGATGATGGGAAGTCACTTTCCTTTCTCAAATATGGTCTTTACTGTAGAAAGGTGAAAATTTAGAAAATTAAGGGTAAAGAAAGGAAAAATTTTCTCCATGTTTAATTAAAAATACTATTTTTTAGCGCCTGGACTCAGCAAATTTTGGAGTTGGGAAGGATTTTAAAGAACATCTCAGTCTCTCATTTTAGAGTTGGAAAGTTTGTGGTTTAAATAATTTAGCTCATGCAGAGCCAAAGCTTCCTGATCATTTTTAGTCAAGATATTTAAATTCAATACATAAAATCATGTTTCCTGAAGTACATTAACTCAAGTAAGTACTTATTTTAAACCAAGAGCCCTCTGTCTGTAACCTAAGTATCCCAGGAGAATTCTTTAGGGATCCCCTGAAGCAAACTGTCATAGGAATAAGCATATGTAAACTATGGTAACTGTATCTTTAGGTCAGGTGCCTTTACATTTTTTTCTTCCTATGAACTAAAATGAGACCTACCAAAGAAATTTACATCATATTTGTTCATAGAAATAGACAAAAATAGTCTGCCTTTGTCCTACGTAGCTCTGGTTTGCCCTAAAGCAAAACAGCCCTTAAGGAGCTTAGAAGTTTTTAAAATAGTAGGGTGTGACCTTTCTGGTTTACAGTCTTTACTGTTTGTAGAATAATAAAACATTGGGGAGGAAGAAAATAACATTCAGCTTCAAGAAACTTGGTGTTTAATTACTATTATTTTCACTAATTAAGAATGTAAAGGAAAATAAATGGGGCTCAAAGTATTTGTAAGTAAGTATGTATTTTATTCTGGACACTTGATCTATCTATCTATCTATCATTTAAGCCTGATAAGATTCTAAGCTCCTTAAGGGCTGTTTTGCTTTAGGGAAAAACCAGAACTAGGTGGGACAAAGGCAGACTGTTTTTGTCTATTTCTATGAACAAATACAATGTAAATTTTCATTGATAGTTCTCAATTTAGTTTGTAGGAAGAAAAAAATTGTTAAGCAAAACATTTTTCTTTAGTTTAATCTGATAGAAGTAGGAAGAAAACCTGTTATTTTAAGCCAGCAAAATTGGTCTGTTAAGGTCATTTTAATTCCTTTGTTTAGTCCTCCACTTATCTCCCGTTATATGCACTATTAAACATCAACATTAGGATTCTCCTGATTGATTTTTTTTCTTTTTCTCTCTCTCCTTTTCTTTCCTTCTTTTTCTGTATTAAAGAAAAACAGCAACAGCATGTTTCTCCTGCTTACCGATTTTCTGATATTATGCAAAATAATTTCTTTGCCTTCTGTGGAATTCATGCCTGAAGACCTAAGGTTCTTCAGATATCTAAAGAAAGGTTTTAAGCCTTATTCTAGCTGGTAATTTTCTCCTTTGTTGTCTGGCTCTGAAGTAGAAAAGCTATCATAGGAGGGGTGTGGTTTCTTAAAAAACAGCATTTCAGAGAACCCTGGCCCTTTTTATGTAAATTCAAAGAGATCTTTGCTTCAAACCTTACAATGCCAAAATCTTCTCCTTTGTGACTATGATAAGTTATCTCACTCAGCTTAGCTCCATTAAATAGATCAGGCCCTTTGAAAAGCATAGACTATTAGATACTGGTCAAAGATTAGGCCTTTAATTTTATGCTAGTTGATGGTTTTTGTCTGTTTCCTATTATGAATGATAGGATAGAAAATTAGTTTGAGATCTATGATTCATTATTTTGAGGACTAGAAAGTGCCAAGAAAATTGCTGTTAACCCAATAGACTTAAAATGCCTTTTAGCCTAATGGTCTTACATTATGCAACATGAGGCAATCCTTTTTCTGATGCTAGAAAGGATTTGTACTAATTCTGTGTCAAAAGTGACTTAATTTAAGGGACTGGGATGTGGCTCAGTGGTAGAGTGCTCACCTAGCATGTGCAAGGCACTGGGTTCCATCCTTAATATCACATATCAATCAATCAATCAATAAAATAAAGGTATTGTGTCCAATTACACCTAAAAAAGTGTTTTTAAAAAGTGACTTAATTTAAAATTGCATTTCATTACAACATGATCTTAATAACCGGAAGTCTGGGAGCAACACTAATTCTGACAATTTAAGGATTTCTGATCTCAGACTATAGTATTTGGAGTGATGGGTTTATGCACTTGAATTCATTATGAGTTCTTTACTCAGCAGCACTTACCAAGTACTCTTTTGCCAGATTGTTATCTGAAAGGACATTTTCCTGAGATATAAAAGAAAAAGTTATTATGAACAAAAAGACAATTATCTTCAAGCTTTTAAGTCACTACATTATATTTATAGAATTATAGTTTTCCTGTGAGTATTCATGCCAATGTGAGTTCAAATGAGATCCAGATTCATTATATACTTTCCTATGACAATCTTTGGTTTACAGTTGCTGTTTGTGTGTGTGTGTGTGTGTGTGTGTGTACATATTAATATATATATATATATATATATATATATATATATATATATATATATATATATAGTCTTCTTTCTAAGAGAGCCACTGAAGGATCAGAACTCTGAACTTGGAACTAGGAAAAAGGCCTGTTTTTTTTTGTCCTAATATTTTTTCATTTATTAAATAAAAATTTTTGATTGCTTATATATTCCCAGCATTAATATCAAATATCTACATTTTTCTAGGAGTCATATCCTACTTCTTTTCGCAAATCCTGTTAACTGTACTTTCAAAATTGTCCAAACCCACTCATTTACCCCCCATCCCACCTGAATCAAGGCCACTATAATCCTAGCCACTATTGCATTTCATCTCCTGTAGTACACTAGTCTCCTGTCTTTTCGCTCCACTTCTGCTGGTGCTCCCCAACAGTCCATCACCACAGAGCAGCTAGAGTGGTCTTTTGAAAACTTAAATATGATTACTTTCTGTTAAAAATACTGTATTGCATTTCTTTTCAATTGGTGTGAAATCCAGCTTTATTAGCTCTGCTGTTCTAGGAGAACTGTCTGATTGGGCCCCTGCCTACCTTTTCAGTTGATTGTGTTACTCTGCCCTTTGCCCATTATGCTCCAGTCCTGAGCTATCCAGTAAGCTAGCCACTGGCCTTGAGTAGCTGCTGAGCACTTGAAACTTGTCTGTTCTGACTGAGATGTGCTGTAGTGTAAAATCTACTTCCAACTTCAAATACTTAATAAGAATAAAATCATGTAAAGCTTCTCAGTAATTTTTATACTGATTACATGTTTATATTAATATTTTGGCCGTATTTGCTTAAATATCAAAATAAACTTCACTTATTCAGTGAAGTCACTAGAAAGTTAAAACTTACATACCTGGCTCATGTTATATTTCTGTTGGAAAGTAACCCTTTAGCCACATAGGCCTTTCTCTTTCCTAGGCTTCTATTTCACTGGCTCTTTTCTCTGCTTGGATTGATCTTCTGCTGATATTTGAAAGACTGGCTCTTTTTCATTTAGATTTCCATTTAAGTGCTGCTTCATTAAATGCCTTCTTCTGAACAGTAGAGTAACTTAACCACCAACTCTCTACCATGCTTTCCAATTTTACTGCAAAGAGCTTGTCACTAGCTGATATTTTGTATTTGTTTGTTTATTATGCTACTCCAGCCCTGCAAAATATATTTGAATGAGACAGTGACTTTGTCCTACAGTACTTGATCTCTAGGACCTGTGCCTTCCATTAGGTACTCAACATGTATGTGTTGCAAGAGAGAATACATTAAATTAATGGATCCTTTACTGGTAACTGATATTTGGTAGGCATAAGAAAATACAGTGAGTGGGTCAGTTTCTCATTTTTGTCTAAATAAGCATTGAGATCTAGCTTCTAAAAAATGATGTCATAAGTTTAGATTCTTTTTGTGAAATGCCCCCACTAACTTGTTAAAACCTATGTGATTATTTTTAGTTCCCATCATCTATTTATAATTAAAAATATTTCTTGATATCTCTTTGGTATTCGTGTCTTTTAGAATTTTGAAATTTTGACTTCCTAAATAATGAAATGGAGGGGGGTTAATGTACTTTACTAGCTGTTCAGAAATAGCTCTAGACTTTTAAATAGGATAACATGTTTGCTCAGGATAGGCCCTGGTTTTATCTGTTATGCTGATATAATTATTAATTGTATCCTTTCTAAAGGGTGAAATTACATGAGCACTAAAAAGGTAAGGGAAGTCACAATTTGTATCCATTAGCTCCACACTTCCCTCACTTTCCTGTTTCTGTTGCTCTGAGATGCCCTGTGAAGATTCTACCCCTCCTTAGATCCAGGATTTTTTTTTGGGGGGGGGGTGCTGGGGATGGGACACAGGGTTTCACATGTGCTAAGTGAGCACTCTGCCACTGGTCTACAACCCCAGTCCCTATGTAGGGTAAAATTTTGTCTGCTTGAAGAGCCTTTCCTACATTTCCCATTGAAATGAATGTATTTCTCTGTATTTATGATAGGAAATACCTCTTCAGTAAACCTAGTAGACTGTTTAGTTAAAACTATGCATTAGATTATATACCCCACAATTCCTCACAGGGTACTGTGCAGGTTATAGTACTTGACTGAAATTAGAGAAAGAGATAAATGGCACGGAAGGGATAGAAAAGATCTTCATACTTCTAAACAGGAAGGGATATGAGGCAAGCTCTACTGCCTGGAAGGTGCTAATCAAGTGCAAAGGAAAGAAAAAAATGAATAGCTGTTGCTTGTTTTTTGTCTTCCTTGTGAATTTATATTCCTAACTGGAGTGACAGTTATGTGAGGGGAAATGTTATTTAATGCCACAGTGTGTCCTTAAATTTTATTTTAACATCTTTAACTCATGATGATTATAAGGCACAGTTTAATTAGTTTATCTTAGACTGATCAGTCATCCCATATGAACATTATGCATTTTTTTCCTCCTGAATATTTTTAGTGAATTGATATCCTCATAAGTCATACTTCCTTCCTATACTACTGTAGATTATTTATCCAGGATGTACTGTATACCTGACTTTAATTAGGCATATACATATATATACATATAAAAATACACACATATATATATTTACATATATATGTATACGTAAATATATATAATTATTTTTTAATGTACCTGTAATTTCTTCCTTTTTATTTTGAAAAAAATTCAAATTTATGGAGACATTGTAAGAAAAGAACAAAGAACTCCCATTTACTCCTTACTTGGATTTACCACTTGCTGATATTTTGCCACATTTGTTTTATCCCTATCCTTGTATAGGCTCATTATTTTTAAAAAATTCCTGAACTGTGTGAGGATTGGTTGTAGATATTATGTCACTTAACCTTAAATACTTCTGCATGTATTTCCTAAGAACAAGGAGATCTTTTACAACTGTAGTGCAGTTAACAAATTTAGAAAGTTTAGGTTTATAAAAGAGTATTTTCTAATATCTAGTTCATATTCAAATGTGCCAGTTTTTCCAGTAATGTAAACAGGCATGTTGTAAGAAAGGTAATTATAATAAAACTTCTCTTCTAGGAATGGCATACGATTCATCCATATAGCTTTTCAATTCCCTGATTAAAAATAGAATAAAGCAAACATTTGGTCATCATAAGTATTTCCTTTTTAAAATCCCCCTTCTCTTTAAACTGAATTATTTGCCTCACCTCACCTAGTTATGTAGTCTGTGTGAGTAGGTGGGAAGGCTGGAGAGCATAGAAAGGATGGAGGTGAATCATTGCTCTTAGCAAGGACCAGGATTGTCTTCAGGAAGTTTTACTGGTACTTCATGTAACAACTCTGGTGTTCCCAATCTGTGGAAAAACATGCCACAGATATTTGAACATAAAAGTAAAATTTATTATTGGCTGCATTTAACTCATCTTGTCTTGCTGCTTCATCCTAGTCCCTGCCTGAAGATTTGGTACTCAAACAACAAAAGAGGAACTCAGATGAGACCACTGTAACTCAGCAGTCTATATCTGATTCCCACGTGGCAGAACTTCAGGAAAAACTCCAGCAAACAGAGGCCACCAACAAGGTATGATTAGTCCTGTGCTCCTGGAGAGCACAGGATTTTCCTGAGGATTTGATTGGCTGTAGTCCAAGTCTTTTGACCCGAGTAGGACTTGAGAGGTGAATTCTGTGGTCTTCTGATGCTCTAGGGAACTTTCACTTATAAGTTTAGTCCTTTCCTTTATTTCTCCTCAAGATTTTAGCGAGGTCTGCCCAGATTCCAATATCTGGTATCGTTTAGGAATGTAATTAAAACTTGCACACAACCTTTAACAGTGTAAGGTATCACTTTTTGATCTTTGTGCTTTTGATCTTAGCTTAACTTCACTTCTTTATAGCTCATGGATTTTCATGTCTGTTAGAAAAACAATGCCACAATCTAGGATGCTGAGTTTCTTGCCTGCTGAGTCCTTGTAGTATCCCGTCCTATATAAGATAGCAGAAGCTCCTTGGTCTTAGGTGAGGAATCCACAGTGACTGATGTGGACAAGTGCCTACTATAGCTACCATTATAGAGAAAGCATGGTGCATGAGAATTGAGGCAACTGAGTATTGAAGGAAGTATTTCACATTTATTTCTATTTCCTTGTGTTGATTGGCTTTAAACTTTAGTGGTTACTGTATGTGAGAAAAATAAGAAAGTACTATTCTGTAAAAAATTCTTCAGAACCTGGTTTTGAGGAAGTACTTTGGTTGTGTTAAAGTTTAAAGATATCCTTGACCTAACAAACTAGCAAACTATTTTTTTTTAATTCAGACTCTTCAAGAGAAACTAAATGAAATGAGCTCTGAACTAAAGTCTGCTCAGGAGTTATCTCAGAAGCAAGATGGTACAATTCAAAGCCTCAAGGAAACTCTGAAAAGCAGGGAAAATGAGGTAAAATATTTAGCAATCAAGAACCTGTGAGAAACCAATTTGTCCCATCAAAGTAGACAGTATTCTATATTTTGTAGAAATATGTATTATCAGACTAACAAATCTTAACCTGGAAAAATTGTATCTTAACCTAAATTGGTGTTTTGTAAGAATCCTGTTACTATACAGGCAAGATAATTGAATTTATATTTAGTTTGTTAACATGTTTGGCACTTGTCTCTCATTTTCAGACTGAGGAGTTATACCAGGTGATTGAAGGTCAAAATGACACAATGGCAAAGCTTCGAGAAATGCTGCACCAAAGCCAGCTTGGACAGCTTCAGGTATGTGAACGTCATAGGGAGAGATTTCAGTTGGGCATGTGCCCTTTGGTTTTATGTTTTGTCTTTATAGTCTTCTCAGGTGTTCAATGCTTGCCCTCCTCGTGAGGATAATTTCTTCTCTTTCTTCAGAGCTCTGAGGGTACTTCCCCAGCTCAGCAACAGGTGGCTCTGCTTGATCTTCAGAGTGCTTTATTCTGCAGCCAGCTTGAAATACAGAAGCTTCAGAGGGTGGTACGACAGAAGGAACGCCAACTTGCTGATGCCAAGCGATGTGTGCAATTTGCGGAAGCTGCAGCAAACAAGAGTGAACAGCAGAAAGAAGCTTCTTGGAAACATAACCAGGTAAATCATTAACCACTTTGTAGCCCCAAATGCTGACTTTGCCCTGATAGTAACTTTTTAGCAGGACTGTGTATGTTGAACCTTAACCTTTGAGTCATTTTTTTAGTCTGAGTAATTCAGTTTAACATTTGTTGCCCATGTGTCATGTGCCAGATATTGAACTACATTGTGGAAGTATAATGGTGAATACCACAGGCTCCTTCCTCTTAACTTACTTACAATTTAGTGTGAGAAAAGCACATGAACAGAATATCAGTGTGGTTAATACTGCAGAGGAGCCATGTATGGATTTTTATAAGAATATGTAGGAGGGGCTGAAGAGGGAGTCAGGGAAAGCTTGATGAAATATGAGGTGTTCTGGAAGCAGGGGAAGGTGTGAAAGTGAGCCAAACAGAAAAGTGGGGAAGAATGTCCAAGGTCTAAGGAATGGAAAGTACAATTAATCGTGTAATTTGAAAAATGTCTAATACATAACTCTTAAATGAATTTCTTTTTCTTCTTGGTTGAGAGTATATTCTTTCTCACTCTCTCGGTCTGTCTTGTTTGAAGATCTTAAGATCTTTTTTGTGCTAGCTTCTCTTAGACTCCCTGACACTCAGATTTAAAAGTACAGTTTTTGAAGCATCTTCCTGGTTTAGTACTTTGGATGATAAATATGAGACCTGAATTTCCTTTAGAAGTATTAAAATTCAGTTGTCTTGATAGTTTGGGGGTAGTGATAGAAGGATAGGGATGGAAATAATTCTCAGCTTTTTATTATGCACACAAAGGAAACATATCCTAAGTTTTGTTTAATTGTTATATAGAGCTCCCTTTCTTTTTTTACAGTACGTTGCATATATACCTATTATTTATAAATATCTGCACACATATTTATATAAATGTGTAGACCATACACATGCAAAGTATTCACTTATAACTCATGGGTGTGTGAAAAAAAGAACATTCACTTATTACTTATAATTCTGTATTATTTACATCCCTTCTGATGGGAATTTATACATGAAATATTTAAAGTTAGTATTGAACTCTAATATCAAGTTTATTTCCTACTACCCCCACAGTTTTTTCACAATTTTTCATATCCTATTTGATCCAAATTTCTATAGCAATATTAATAATAGCACTTTCTGCTATTGTATATTTCATTATATATCTTGAAAATTTTAATGTATCTAATGACTATGTAAAAACTTTAGATTGCTTTAAGAAGGGAATATATTTAATTCAGGAATTGCGGAAAGCTTTGCAGCAGCTACAAGGAGAATTGCAGAATAAGAGCCAACAGCTTCGTACCCTGGAGGCTGAAAAATACAATGAGATTCGAACCCAGGAACAAAACATTCAACACCTAAACCGTAGTCTAAGTCACAAGGAGCAGCTGCTTCAGGTGAGTGTTTATGACTTCAATGAAACTGTACTCATAGAGCTCTGAAATTCTTGTTCCTGTAATATGAAGGTATTAATCATCTGTGTTGAGATCCTGCTGTAAGTAGAATATTAAGTTGTGGGAATCAGGAAGATTTAAAATAAGTAGAAAATACAATCTAAATCAAGATGCTAATCATCAAGTAAGAAACATCTGCATAGACCTGAAAGACTTAACCAGTATTCAGCAAATGGTAAGCACCTCTGCGAGTTAGACACTATGCCAGGGGTTGGGAAAACAAAGAGATTTGGCTACTCTCTCAATCTAATAGGAGAAGACATCTGTACATAAATTTCCTGAAAGTTAAATGACAGAATGAAAGTTTTAAAGAAAACTGTGATATTAAGAAGAGTGATCAGACTGGGCGCAATAGCACACACCTGTAATCCTAGTGGCTCAGGAGGCTGAGACAGGAGGATTGCGAATTCGAAGTGGTGCTAAGCAACTCAGTGAGACCCTATCTCTAAACAAAATACAAAATACGGTTGGGGGTGTGGCTCAGTGGTTAAGTGCCCCTGAATTCAATCCCCATTACCACACCAAAAAAAAAAAAAAAAAAGAGAGAGAGAGAAAAAGGAGAGTGATCAGTTTTGCCATCTACTCTAAGCTTCACTCACATTGAATCGCTTATATTTCACTGAGTATCTGATTTTTTTCATTGTATGCATATATTGTGTATAAAAGTGTTTTTTTTTTTTTTTTTTTTCTTATGAATGTTCCACTAGGACCTCTTCATTTAAGAAATCCTAGTCTTTTGTGGTGCTGGGGATTGAATCCAGGGCCTTGTGCATGCAGGGCAAGCACTCTATCAACTGAGCTATATTCCCAGCCCAGAAATCCTAGTCTTTTATCAGTGCAAATCGTTCCTCCTTTGTTAGATCTTTATTGTACTATTAGGCAGAGAGTCAAGCAATATACCCTGTGTTCTCCTACTAGTTAGCTGTCAAGCATACTAGTATGTTTATATGTTGAAGATTGGTTATCAGTTCTATGTATTATGTATGTTGTATGTTGCAGAATAGTTAACAATTTACATGAATGCTATCTCTGCTAAATTTTTCCCCCTGCGAAGAATAATCATGTTTTTTATCTTAAATGACAGATTACTTAGCAAAATATAGGAATACAGTTAGTAATAGATAAGTGAATAAAGGAATATCTTTTGTCTCATTAGGAATTTCAGGAGCTCCTACAGTATCGAGATAATTCAGAAAAAACCCCTGAAGCAAATGAAATGTTGCTTGAGAAACTTCGGCAACGAATACATGATAGAGCTATTGCTCTAGAGGTACGTGTTGTGGTTTTGCTTATTGGGCTATAGGTTATTCTATGTACATGAGTATCAAGAAATTTATGTCTACTTAATTTTCTCCTTTGGGGTTTTGGTTTTCCATTCTCTCATATTTTGAAGCTCATTGAGTAAATGGTAATCAAGATAATGAACCTTGTAGAATTAGGAGCTTTACTTTTTGTTACAGCGGGCTATAGATGAAAAGTTCTCTGCTCTAGAAGAAAAAGACAAAGAACTGCGCCAGCTTCATCTTGCTGTGAGAGAGCGAGATCATGACATAGAGAGACTGTGCAGTGTCCTCTCTTCTAATGAAGCTACCATGCATGTAAGAGCAAAATCTGTCTTGACTTGGTATTCCTCTCCCACTTGCATTCTAAGCCTGAAGCATCAGCATCCTCCATCATTTTCTGAAAACCAGAGTATTTGCTTTATAAAGTATATGGATATGTGTGTGTGTGTGTGTGTGTGTGTATACACACACGTATATTATTTTTATACACACACATATATATATAAACAAAAGTAGCACTTACTAGTTCCATCATTATAGACTAGAAAGTGAGAAATTAGGGCTGGGGTTGTAGCTCAGTGATAGAATACTTGCCTAGTACACATGAGGAACAGAATTCTATGCTCAGCATCACATAAAATAGACATTATTATTGCTGTATGTATATAGGTGACTGTATGACCAATGTGATTCTGCAACCTGTACAATCAGAAAAATGAGAAATTATACCCCATTTGATTCAAATGTATGAATTGTCAAGATCATCGTACTGTCATGTGTAGCTAATAAAAAAAAAATAAATAAAGGTATTGTGTCTAACTTAAAAATTAGAAAAAAAACTGTGAGAAATTACAGCACTTCTGTTTTTGTAGAGGAAGTCAGTGAATACTGGTTTCTATTTACATGGTTCTAATTTATTTTTCATCTTTGGAAATGGGATTTGGATATAGATACATACACATCCTTCCCCACACATATACATTTTTACATAAGCATTTCCAGGGTATAACTGTTGTTCATCTCATTAATATTACATACACGTCCCTGTATTCCCACAATTAGAACACTTGTTTATTTTACTAACATTTACCATGAGCTTTTTATTTACATACTTATTTTAAAGCTTATATAACTAACCATCTGTCACTTTTTAAAGGAGTCATTTACTTTCTCTTCAGAGAAATTACTTCCTCTATAATGTTTCCATTTTATCATGGGCCTAGTATTTCTCTCTCCACAAACTAGTTAAGAATTTCTAAAAACAAAAAATAAATTAGTATGACATTGTTAGATTAGTTACTTGGTTTTCTCCTCTTGCAAAAAAGTTAATAGGTGCTAATTTAAAGGTGGATCTAATTTCTCATTTATCACGAGAAGTATAGAATAGCTCTTTTAACTTATGATTGCTCTCTTTGTGACTATAGAGCATGGAGAGTCTCCTGAGGGCCAAAGGCCTAGAAGTTGAACAGTTAACTGCTACCTGTCACAACCTCCAGTGGCTACAAGAAGAAATGGAAACCAAATTTAGCCATTGGCAGAAGGAACAAGAGAGTATCGTTCAGCAGTTACAGACATCTCTTCATGACAGGAACAAAGAAGTGGAGGCAAGACCTCAGTTAGCTTAAAAGCAGTTGGCTTAGTGGTTACTTGATTTCATTCTTGACTTAGGACTCTAGAAGTCTGGGAAGCAAGTTATCCAAGTCTTTAATTTCATTTTCTGGGCAAGTAATTGGCTTTCCCTAAGACTTGTTCCCCATATCTGTAAACTTAAGATGATGTTTATCTTTCTCAAAGAAGTTATGTGAGAATTAATGTGATCGAAAATATGCATCTATAATATGATAACTAACCTTTATTAGTTATGGTGCTCATGTCAGGTCAGGTACTATTTTAGGAGCTTAATGGGCAATAACTTATTGAATCCTCACAAATATATGAGGGACATAATATTATCCCTTTTTTACAGACAAGGAAAAGACTTCTGAAGTTAACTTATCCAGGTACCAGCTAGTTAAGTGTCAGAGCCAGTATTCAACCCAGGCAGTATGGCTTCACAGTTTTAACCACCAATATAGAGATAGGAATTGCATCAGCCTGCTTATTAAAACAGTTTTTGTCATTCCTTTTTAACTTTCTGTTTGATGCTCCCCTAAAAGTTTTTGCTGGGGAGAAAATAAATGAAACACTTGGGCTGAGTGTCCATTTGTTCTCATCTAACATTAATTATTATGTTCACTGAGCAAATAAGAGAAGAATTTATTTCAGAGAACAATATGTAAGTTGGCACTCTATATATTTTATATTGTTAGTGTTTGTTCACTGAGCATGTCTAGCCTTCTGAGTCATAGGCCTTTCCTAAATGCGGGGAAACAAAAGTGGATAAAACATGATGTTTATTCTCAAGAACCTCAAAGCTCTTTCTTCCATGACACTTCTTATAAGCATTTCAATATGTGTTAGAAAGAACTTTTTTTTCCAAAATCTTACACCATTCCTTCTGCATTAGGATCTTAGTGCAACATTGCTCTGCAAACTGGGACCAGGACAGAGTGAAATAGCTGAGGAGCTCTGCCAGCGTTTACAGCGAAAAGAAAGGATGCTGCAGGACCTCCTAAGTGATCGGAACAAACAAGCTTTGGAACATGAAATGGAGGTTCAGGTTCTGCTTCAGTCTGTGAGCACCAGGGAGCAGGAGAGCCAGGTAAGGACTAGTGCAGAGACCAGAAAAATATCATTTGTAACATGTGTATATCATTTTACATGATATACGGAGAAACTCCATAGTTTCTCTCCTGCTGTTTATTAAATAGATTTCAGTTTTACATCAATCATCCAAGTGTTAAATGTGTTTTAAACACCACATTTGGAATTGTGCCCAAAACACGTGTTCATTAACTGCATTGTCTACACTGATTTTTTCTTAATGCTTTGATCATTATAAGAGAACAAGGTATGGAGTTTTGGAGTGTTTTGATTTTAATTCTAAACTATCAAGACTTGAGTGACATTTTATATTTCCATTCGAGGTATGGAAAAACTTACAATCAAATGTATTTTCTTTCGCTGGGCACAGTGGTGCACACCTATAAATCCCAGTGGCTCGAGAGGCTGAAGCAGGAGGATCTCAAGTTCAAAGCCAGCCTCAGCAAAAGTGAGGTGCTAAGCAACGTAGTGAGACCTTGTCTCTAAATAAAATACAAAATAGGGCTGGGGATGTGGCTTAGTGATCTAGTGCCTCTGAGTGCAATCCCTGGTACTCACCCCCAAAAAAGTATTTCTCTCCTATCTCAGGAGGAAAAAAAAATGATTGGTTTTGAAAGGACATGAAGAGAATACATTCCCATACTCAATATTGAGTGTTAATCTCAAAATAATGGTATACAACTATTTCAGAAATAATTTTTTATTTTTCCCTTCATTTTTATCTTTTTCCTTAAGGGCAAAGACTACTAGTTGACTTATGCTGCGTATTAAGGACCAATAGCTCAGAATCCGTTTTTGGAGGAAGCTGCATTCTTACTTGCCTATGTTATGTTACCACAGTATTTTCTGATGCTTTCTTGTATCATGGGATAGTGATATTCCACTCTTCTAATTCTCTGGCCTACTGAAGTAAATACACATTTTGTTAGAAACATCCTGCCACATACTTCAATGATCACTTCTAGAAGAGACCTAACAAAATTATTGTGAATCATTTAAGTCTTTGACAAGAGGCTACTAAGTCTTTGAAGTTTCTTTTTAACCTCTGTTATTTGAAAGAATTAGTCTTATTATACATCTTTTTACTACACAGCAGATAATAAAATAATGGAACCTTGGAGCTAATGGAAATGACTGAAGATTTTAAATTCAGCAACAGTATTAGTTATACTCTTCTGCATTCTCAAGTTTTACAGGCAGAAGAATCACCTAAATGGCTTTTTAAAAAAAATACTTTTTTAGTTTAGATGGATACAATGTCTTAGGAAACAGTTATTTCCTATGTGTGGATCCCTAATGAGGACATTAAAGATCTACTCTCTCAGCAAATAGAGGTAAACAATATAACATTATTACCAATAGTCGCTGTGTTGTACATTAGATCCCCAGAACTTACTCATAACTGAATATTTGTGCCTTGTGACTCACAAGATTGTTGTTTTAGACAGGATACTCAGGGAAGGCCAATCTGATAAGGTGACGTTTGGCAAAGACCTGAAGGGAGCAAACCATCCAGATATATAGGTGAAGAGTAATCCAGGGCAAAGAAACAAATAAGAGTAAAGACAGTCATCTGTTACACCAATTCAAACCAGAACCTTAACACCTTAGACCAATAGAGTTCTAGCAGAATCTACTTCAGTTTCCCTTATCTGTAATAAATGTGTTATGTTTTTTTTTTTTCAACATTTTGCCTATGAGCAACTTTTTTTTCTACTCACTTGACTGTTTTTCTTTATAAACTGATAGCAAGGAAACTATTTCTTAGGGTCCCAGTAGCTTTTTATTTTTTTTTAGTTGTTGATGGACCTTTATTTATATGTGGTGCTGAGAATTGAACCCAGTGCCTCACACATGCTAGGCAAGTGCTCTACCACTGAGCCACAAACCCAGCCCCCGCAATAGCTTTTTCTAAATGGTTGGTCTTTAAGCAATTACACTTGAAAACAAATTGTGTTTATTTTACTGCAATATCTTTCTAATGTTATTTGTGACTTCTTCTCACTAGGCTGCTGCAGAGAAGATGGTGCAAGCCCTAATGGAAAGAAATTTAGAATTACAGGCTGTGCGCCAGCATTTAGGAGGGAAAGACTTAATGATGACTCAAACACTCGTCTCTAACCAACAAGCTAAAGCTACTTCCATGAGCCCCAATCTGGGAGAGCAAACTGATCAAGTAAGAACTGTAGACTTATGTAGACTTCATGTCAGCAGCATTTCTTGCTTACATTTCAGGCATATAAGTTTAATAACTTTTAATATGAAACTGTGTGAGAATATTGCAAGTCCTGCCATTGTGATCATAGTTCCTGTGTCTTCCTAAATTCCCCAACTCTTCCAATTTTTAGGCATCAATGCAAATACCCTCCAGAAATGATAGCACTTCCTTGCCTGCTAAAGAGGATGCTAGCATTCCCAGGTCCACATTAGGTAAGTATCAAATTTTGTTTCATGAAAAGATCTTTTGTTTTCCTTCCTGTATCTCTATATTAATAGGTTTGGCCACAACTCTTTCTTTTAACAGAAAAAAATGTTTGGATTCCTCTGAAAGGCTGGAGACATGTCAGTTCTGAGAAGAAATGCCCATAATTTATGTTGATAAGAGTTCACAGTTGGGGCTGGGGTTGTGGCTCAGTGGTAGAGTGCTTGCCCAGCACAGGCGAGGCCCTGGGTTTGATCCTCAGCACCACATAAAAATACATTAATTAATTAAAGATATTGTATCCAACTACAACTACAATATTGTATCCAACTACAATAAATATTAAAAAAAAAAAAAAAAGAGTTCACAGTTTACTCCAGGGAAACTGAATCCTAATTCTCCTTTTGAGAGAGTTTTGCAGGGATTCGGAAATGCCAGAGTAGTGTTTCCAAACCTGCACAGCAGGACCAATGGAACTGATACATTCTACTGGATATCTTTCAATAGTGGGGTGCTCATAGTAACTTGACAACACTTACATTAAAGTATTAGGAGGGACAATATACCTGAATTATTTTCCAAGCTCAACCTTATTCAAGGAATGGCTGTAGGGCTTGAACTCCCCAAAGACAATCACATTCTAAGCATGGTGGGAGCAAAACTCAAGTAGAAACCTTGGATTGGAGTTTCTGCATTTACAGAGCAAAAGGTTGGTATTTAGGGTAGCTTTAAGGAAGCTATTTCCCAGAGAATTACAGAAGAAGCTACTGGTGATGATTAATGAGGTAGGGATTATAATGCTGGAACCAGAAAGGGTGTAAACTTAAACAATTAACTTGTGATTTCTTTTGTCACCAAGAATGTAAAAAGTTTGCACCTGTATTATAGTGTATGGTATTAGATGATTCTGTGGGAAAAATTGCACAAGTTTCATTATCTAACAAGAAACCTTTGCATTGCCCCAAAAGTAATGAATGCTAGATTTGTGTAATTTACTTTATATTTGCCTTTTTCTTTTTAAAATTTATTTATTTATTTTAATTAGGTATATATGATAGCAGAAAAAAACATACTTTCCCCCAACTTTTTATTCTGGAAATTTCAAACCTACAGAAAAGTGGCAACAATAGTGTAGTGAATACCCATATACATTTTTATTAGGATTCATCAATTGTTAACATTTGCCACATTTGCATTATTTCTTTCCGTGTGCACAACATATATAGATATAATGCTTTTTTTCTAAATTTCTTATAAATATCATGACATTTGATCTGTAAATATTTCAGCAAGTATTCTCTAAGGACAAAGGCATTCTCTTACATGTTTACAATGTAATTATCATGTTTAGGAAATTTGACCTTAATGTATTTTTACTATCTAAATATATAATCCATATTTAGAATTCTCATTGTCTCAATAACATTTTCTGTAGTTGCTTCTTCTTGCCGCCAGGGGACATGCATTGTGCTTAGATGTCCTGTCTTCAGTCTACTTTAATCTAGAACAGTTTTCCAACCTTTTTCCTCCTGTCTTTTACAACATTAGGATTTTTGAAGAATTCAGAGCACTGTCTATCATTGTTTCCTCATGGTTAGGTTCAGGTTAAACATTTTTGTCAAGAATCCTATGAGTGATGTCTTTTTGGGTGTATCCCATTAGTGCATATTGGTCAGTTTGCATCAAGTTGAATAATTGGATATACAGGAATAAGTATCAGATCATCAAATGTGGAAAAATTTTTACGTAGTGGTAACAAATTTTATCCTTTGGTTAAGGTTGTAATGTGTGCCAGATCTCTCCATTGTAAAGGTTCATTTTCCCCTTTGTAATTAGTAAGTGCTCTACAGGCTGATAACTTGAGATGCTGACAGTTGTGTTTCCCAATAGTCAGTGGCTTTAGCATTCTTTAAACCTTGCTTGAACTTTTAAAAATTAATTTCCTAGTTCTTAAATTTTTTCTCTTATCTATTATGAAATTATTTTACAAAAAAGAGTTATCTTGCCCTCATCTTCCCACTCCATTTGTTGTGTAAGTGGATTGTGTCTTTTAAAAAATTATTATAATATCTACCTTCTGTATTCCATAATTTTAGATTTTTATGTCCTATTATTGTCAAACTAACTTACACATTCAAAATTTAACATTAACACAGTTAAAAAGTCAAGTATATGAAAAAAATATTCTCAGAAGTCCCATCTGCTTTCCAATCTTTTCTCTCATGTTTCTTTTCATTCTCTGAAGGAAAATTGTTAAATTCTGTGTTATTCTTAATGAAATATCTTTTTGCAAAAATAAACAGATGAATCATGTACATACATAATTTGTATGTGTGTGTCACATATTTCCCCCTTTTCCAGATAGAAGTATTCTTTTGAACATAGCTTCTTTCACTTAATGTATCCTTGAAATTGCTCCATATAAGTTCATGAACTTCCTCATTTTTTTTTTACAGCTGTATATATATAGTCCTTAGTGTGAATACACTGTGGCTGATTCCATCTTTTCTCTTTCCCGTGTAGAGTGATTGCAATATTTTGCTATTATAAATAATGCTATAAAAAAACCTGTGTGTGTATGTGTGTGTGTGTGTGTGTGTGTGTGTGTATTTTTTCTTAATTGCTGGAATGCGTATTCCAAGAAAATTTCTCAAAAAATGAGGCAGCAGTGATTACATGTTTTTAGTGATTAAAACTGGCACTATGTGTTCATTTTAGGAGACTTGGACACAGTTGCAGGACTGGAGAAAGAACTGAGTAATGCCAAAGAGGAACTTGTACTTATGACTAAAAAAGAAAGAGAAAGTCAGGTGAGTTTTATAGTCAAGGCTAATTTCTAAATTCCTGTTTTGTTTTGTTTTTTCCCCCAGAATAGTTTATATTTAAAAGAGTAAGATTCTTTAAGTATAAGTTCAAATATAAGGTATACCTTTTTTCTTTTTGGAAAAAAATATAAACCATTTTATATGTGTGTGTGTGTTTATATATAAAAGATGTATATGTAAGATATAGATAATATATAACATTGTATATAATATAAAAATATATGTAAATAAGATATATATTATATATGCATACATATATATATTTTATCCAATAAGATCCTCTTATTTTTATAATGGGGACTTTTAAAGCTTTTTTACTACTGAAATAATGAAGTTTTTTCTACCCATTAATAACTGTAATAAAATGATTGTAAAACACTTGTGAAAAGAGGAAATGCTATGTTATTGCTGCTTAGAATTATGACATTAGACTCCTGAAATTAGAGTTTAGAAGCATTAAACAAGAGAAATTTGAGTATGAGCAATAATATTTATTGAGTACTCTTATATGCATTAGACTGTGCTGAATTCTTAAATTAATGCCAGTGTTCACAACTCTACACAAAATAGATGGTATTGGACTTATTTTATAGATGGAAAAGCTGAAAGGCTAATTTATTTATTTTTAATGGGACAGGGGTTAGTCCTAACTAATAAATGCCAAAGCTAAGATTTAGACTCAAAGTCTTTTGTGTCTCCAAATACTTTCTTTCTAAGAAGTCATTTCTTGGAATAGATACTCTTCTCCATCTTATGCATGAACTCTATCAGTAATTTTCATCCATTTTCTTAGAAGAAACCTGTCAGTCTTATAGAAATCCTTCCTCTGTCTTCCCCATATAGCCAGTTGTATGTCCAGCTATGATGTAGAAGAAATGTTAGGGCTACAACATAGCATTACAGACAAAAACTATACACATGTTGCTATGGCATCTATTTTAAAAGGTCAGTCAGGGGCTGGAGTTGTATGTAGTTCAGTGGTAGAGTGCTTGCCTCATATGTGTGAGACACTGGGTTTGATTCCTAGCACCACCTATAGATAAGCAAATAAAATAGATGTCCATCAATAACCAAAAAATATTTTTAAAAAAAGTCAATGTCATGGGTTCCTAAGTTAGCTAGCTCAGTTCCTAGCTTTTTCTACCTTTTTTGCTATAATTTGATGTATAATATAAAATCTGTTTATATTTATGATGAAATTGTCTTATTATACCTTTTGATTTTATTACCATATTTTTGCTTATAAACCAATTCATGCATGGCATTTTAAAAAATTAGTTTTTAAATCCCCTAATCCTTTCCCTTTTTTCCTTTACTTTAGCCATTGATTGATTATTCATGTCAGATATTTTAATTTTCACATACTATTTCTGTTTTTCTCATATGTACCAAATTCAGAGTAATGTTACTTTTTGATTCTGTTCTGTTTTCGTGATCATAAAATTATAATGCTTATGAATGAATATTTTGAATGAATGATATTTAGCTATTGCTTAACTTCATGAATCCTTAATCCATTACCCTCTTCTAAGTCCAATAACATATAAATGTATTACCACATTCCATCTAACATGAGGTATTTACCAAAAGCTATGTCGATTTTCCCCATATTTCCTGTCTTGATATTATAGTAGTATATAGATGCAGCAGTAGTTACTTCATTAATTCCCTGTAATGTGCCAAGTACTTGTAAAACATTTTCTGTATTTCTTATGTAGCCCTGAAAAGTAGCTATATTATTTCCATTTTACACTTGAGGAAATCATTAGTTTAAATGCCTTGTAAAGGAGTTTATGCCAGGATTTAAAACCTGTGTCAGTCTTACCTGCAGACCTTTTATCATGTTGTAAAAATGTTTTCTTCTTCATGTTTTCATTTTTCTTCAATGGAACCAAGTACCTGGATGTCTGTTTGTTTCTATCTATCTATCTATCTATCTATCTCTTTGAAGAGGATCTGATAAATAGCACCCTTTTTTCATACCCAACCCTGAACAAATTGAGAAATAAAACAAATTGGTGGCAGATAGCCTGAAGCTTTATCAGATTTAATACTGACAGAGTCTTAGAAAACTTAATGTAAGAACCGATTTTGGACCTGGATTGGGTAATTGACCTGCTCAGTCACAGGCAGCATTGGGCCTGGCAGACTATTCTGTGGTGGGCAACAAACTGCCTTTGGAGAAGTAGTGATAAGAAATAGTCTTCCTTTAGGCCAGTGTCTTCTAAGGAGAGGAAGTGGGGGTTGTGAGCCAAGCAGGCCTGGTTTATTCTTCCACTGTGTACAGATAAGTCAAGTCCCTCCCCCTGATTGGGGGCAAAGAAATGTCAAGAGTTACACTAACTGAGCTCCTTCAGCATGGAAGGAAAATAAAGGTAGTTAAAACTATCAAATAACTGTTACTAAATCATATGAGCCACACAGTTATACTGCAAGCATTGATGGAATTAGAAGATACACGAATAAAATTTTTCTTACTTTTGACTTAAATTTTATGTGCTTAAGGAAGAAGTGTTGCTTCCTTTAGGAAGCTTAATTATACCTTAAATTGGCTTCTCTACCATCTCTCTTCACTTGTTCCACTGAATTTTTAAAGATTATCTTAAAATAGTTCTATAAAATATTTATTTGAAATAACTTGCCATTGCCGTAAAGATTATATGGAATACGATACCTACAGGAAAGACATTATGCCTAGTGAATCAAGTTTGCTTCCACAAGTTCATACTCTGGATCTGCCACTTACTAGCTCTGTGATTTTTGAATTGGTTCCTTAATTTCTGTCTCAGTCACCTCATCTGTAATTTGAGGTGTAGAAGTCACCTTATCTGTAAATTGAAAAGTAGTTGCCCCATAGGATTTCTGTGAGGATTCATTTGTTCACTTGTTCATTCATTCATATATGGGATACTTTCTGTAAGCTAGTGCAGGGCTGAGGTAGTGAGCAATATCAACAGTGTCCCATTCTGGCTCTGTGTAATTTCTACTAGAGAGATAAAAGACAAGAAACATGTTATATTATAAATTATAATATGTTATAATAATTATGCCATTAGATATTATAAATTATAAGATTTCCTTGATATATTTGCTAATATAAGCATTATAAAATATTATGATATTATAATTGAAGATTAAAATGAGTGATACAAAAAAAATGTGATAGAAAGTAACATGGATGGGGACCACCTTAACTGGAGTGGTCAAAGAAGACTTCTTTGAGCAGATGACACTGGGGTCCTGAGGATGGGAAGGAAGCATCCTTGGAAAAGATATTTCAGGCAGACCGAGTAATAGGTATAAAGCCCATGAATCAAGAGTCTGTGTTACAAGAACAGAAAAAGTCTTGTATTCCTAGAAAGTGAAGAATAAGGATAAAAGTGGCCGATATTGAAGGACAAGAAGTAGATTAGCCAGATCGCTAAGTTTGTAAGAACAACTCAGCTATGGTTATTATCACAATTTTTAATGAATTTGTTATAACAATGTTTATCATTTTCTGATGAGGAGGGAAGGAAAATACAACACTGAAAGTTTAGGGCCTACAGTGCTAACTGTGTGTAAGATTCCATTGCAGGTGGTAGCATGTTTAGTAGGAAGCATGTAATATTTAGTGATCGCTGATGTTAGCAGCTATTTTTGTTTGATGCCTTATTTATTAATTCATTAAGTTTTGCATAATGGAGGTGTTCTATAATGTTTTAATCTATTAGCTAAGGAACTTATATGAAGAAGAACTTCATCTTTTACTTCTGCTAAAGATAACCAGTTTTTAGGTATCATAATAAATATGGTTAAATTAAATAAATTTGATGGTTTTATACTGCTAACTCAAATAGAGGAACACCATTAAAAACAACCATTACAACTTCCCATGAAACAACATTTGGTACCATGCTGTGTGGTTTATTTATTTGTTCCAGTAGAGCTCTGTTCATGTTCTTGTTTTCTTTTGCATTATTGGCTGATAGTGATGTGATATGAAAAGCAGTTGCCTCATTGTTGAAATGTAAATGTGACAGCTGTTGTTTCCTCTACCTGCTGACTCCAGTGTTTCTTTTGTCCCCAGATGGAACTTTCTGCTCTACAGTCTATGATGGCTGTACAAGAGGAAGAGCTACAGGTGCAGGCTGCTGATCTGGAGTCCCTGACCAGGAACATACAGATAAAAGAAGACCTCATAAAGGTCTTTCAAAGCTTTTTAAAGACTATTGGAAGTGTTGGAAACTCAGATTACCTGTAGGGCATCTTCAAACAATATGTGGATACATTTGGTCCCTTGGCCAGTGCTTATCAATATCCCACTTGAAAGTATAGTAGATTATTTCAAGAATATCTGTTCCCTTACTCCTCTGCTAGAACAGCTTTTATTACTATATTAATATCTATACTTATTACTTGTTTTTTAATTTCTAGGACCTGCAAATGCAACTGGTTGATCCTGAAGACATACCAGCTATGGAACGCCTGACACAAGAAGTCTTACTTCTTCGAGAAAAAGTTGCTTCAGTAGAATCCCAAGGTCAAGAAATTTCAGGAAACCGAAGACAACAGGTAAATTATTGAAATACAGACTTTATTTTTTTATTTGAAATAAGCAATAGAAAGACTGTCAATCTCAACTACTTTTGAAAAAAATCTAGGTCAGTTGATGGTATTTCATAGAGAATCCATACTCCACAGTACCTTGCTCAGTAGCAGTCATACATGCCTATTTCTAACCTTTATAGTTCTGAAAGGAGTAGCAGTTGCTTTTGGACACATACTGTCAGTTATCCTTCACTCTCAAACATAAGTCACTTCTCTCTCAATTAACTCTTTCTCATCTGCCTGCATTTAGCCATGTTCAGGCGACTCCCAATTTAAAAAAAGGAAGAGAGGAAACAACCCTGCCTTTGCCTTGAGTTCCTCTGTAGCTCTACTTTATGCTTGACCTTTTCAATGCCAAATTTTTTTCAAAAAGATTTATTTACCTATGCTCTACGTCCATTACCATTACTCTCACTAACTGTTCTTATCATTCCTCCCCCGCAGCTTTAATTTTAGCTTAAACATCTCTGCTATTTACACATTATCATAGCCCATTATTTTTATGTCATGTAGTATATCTCACAGGACATACGTATGATTGATGGATGTCTTTTCCTCCCACTAGATAGTAAGCTTTTTCCTAGAATTAGAACAGAGTCTGTCACATTAAAAGGTGCTCAGTAAATGTTTATTGCATGAACATTGAAAACTAGAAAGTCCTATTGTATGTTTCCCTCTTTCCTATCCTTTCTCACTGTTTTTTGGGCTTCTTTCCTATGCTTCTGACTTTTGTCTCCTTTTTTTTCTTTCTTGCGCTCATATCTGAATTCAGCTAAGATATAAAATGATATTGTGTCATTGATTAAAACTGTAAGATACTACAGAGATCTTAAGTAATAAAAGACTGGGACTTTTTGGTCAGAGTATGTGCAAATACATTTTTCTTTTTTTCAGGATAAACTTGGCCTCACGCCTCACTTTTCCATTTGTATGTTGCTTCTTTTCTTTCTTCAGTTGTTGCTGATGCTAGAAGGACTAGTAGACGAAAAGAGTCGACTCAATGAGGCCTTACAAGCTGAGAGACAGCTCTATAGCAGCTTGGTGAAGTTCCATGCCCATCCAGAGAGGTAAGAGAGTAACTTTTCCCTTTACTAAATTATTATTATTATTATTATTATTAAGACAGGATCTCACTAAGCTGCTGAAGCTGGCCTTGAATTTGTGATCCTCCTGCCTCAGTCTCCCAAGTCACTGAGATTATAGGCATGTGCTGTCATGCCCAACTTTGTTTTTCCCTTTTTTTAAAAAAAATATTCCTTTTATTCTTTTCATTTCTTTTATTTCTTCTGTTCTTTATTAAGTGCAGATGCTAATAATACCAAAGAAGAGAGAAAAAGAAAGCTGTCCACTTTGTTATTTGTTGCATAGATGGCTCCAAGCCTCGGTGTCTAAATCTTGTCAGGAATAGTGTGTTTCACATAGTTAAGTGAGGATTAAATGAGAAGACAGCTTAGGCATCTAAACAGTGCTTTGCATATGGTAAGCATTTGGTGTATGTTCCTTTCTTTTCTCTGCTCCATGTCCTGTTAAAGGCTGTTCTGTTATAAAAGTACAGCTACAAAGGTCTCAGATATTAGTTTAGTATCATTGAATATCATTGAAGGTAATATAGTCATTGCAATACCTAATATTACCTCAGAATCATCGATAATCATCATGATGATTATATTTTCTTGTATTTTTCTCTTAATTTTTGGTCATGTATATTTTATCTTTTGTGTTTATTTTATATTACCCTCCCCCCGCCTCATTTCGCTTTCTCTCCCAGTCCTTTTTTCCTCTTTCACAGTTTTAAATTTTTATTATTCCCATTTCTTCTAATTTCTTGTTGGGCTTAGAAATATTTTCTTTTTACTCAGGAAAATGAAAGCAGGGGAAAGGTATGATAGGACCACTTGCTTGTGTTATTTTTTAAAGAACCCCTGGATCTTTAGTCTTCATGAACTGGATTTATTTTCAGAATACTGTCCATTTTGGTAAAAAATAGCTATCCTCAGCAATTCTACTTGGCTCAGTCTTGCTTCACAGGGTCTTCTGAATTACTCTACCTTTGTCAGACATTTTTCAGCATTACAATAATTTTGGGTAAACATGGAAGCAAGTTTACTTTTTTTTTTTTTTTTTTTTTTTTTTGTGGTGCTAGGGATTGAATCTAGGGCCTGTGCATATGAGGCAAGCACTCTACCAACTGAGCTATATCCCCTTGCCTTTCAGTTTACATTTAATTTTTCCTGGGTTTTAGTTTTTCAGAAACTAAAGCTTTTAATAATGAAATTTCTCTTATGGGGCCTGTAGGAGAGTGAGAGCAATCATAAGACTATAATTTTATTTGAGATTTGCCCAGAATCTGGCCTAAAGGGGCAGGCTTTGAAGAAAGAACAGGCCTTGCAAATCTATCAGTAGTGACTACATGTGCTGCACCAAAGAGCTCATTCATTTATGATGTCCTGGAGAACATTACTTTAGAAAATCTCACAGTCTAGAGTAGCATTGATGGCTCTTTGGAAACATATGTGGACTTGTTACAGTTGATGGCTAATCCATTTTCCTTCCATGTGGCATGTTCAATCAGCTCTGAGAGAGATCGAACTCTGCAGGTGGAACTCGAAGGGGCCCAGGTATTACGCAGTCGGCTAGAAGAAATTCTTGGAAGAAGCCTGGAGCGCTTAAGCAGACTGGAGACCCTGGCCGCCGTTGGAGGTGGGGAACTGGAAGGTGTGCAAGTTCTTCACAAGCATGCCTTCTGAGCGCTGGCGGGTCACACTGCATCCCAGGATGGAAAACCTGTTTACACTAACCAGAGGGAGCCTTGTCTGATGTGACAGAATTAAATGGTGACTTACTAATAATAGAGCTGGTACAAGTAGCATCAACTACAAAGTGAAACTCACTTTAGCCTCCTGTATCTTATGTACATATCTACTTCTCCATTGATTGTTGGAGGTTACAAAGTGTATTTGCACATTTAAATCATTCAGTTTTAGTTTCCCCACACACACTCATTCTTTTTCCCAGCCCTTCCTTCTTGTTCCCTCATCCCTTCTATGGGCCAATAAAGTTTATTCCTTCCCCACTTTCACAGTCCATTTCATATGTTCCATATCATGTCATAAATGCATGTGTGTGTATTATTTTTGCCATTCAATCAACTCCTGCTCTTTGAGAGCATTTTTAAAATCCAATAAAAGATGAGAAAGAGAAAGATTGAGTTTATAAGAATGACTTTGCAAAAGTGATAATCCATATCAGAAGGTAATCAAAATCAGGAGAGTAGTCTTAGGCCAACTTAAGGAACAGAGGCAAAACCTGTTAAAGTGTTTATAATAAACTTTTGGCTCTAATATTGTTTCAGAGTTGACTGTTGATCAACAGAGGTGAAATTAGATAGTTAAATATTAAATTCTATTTAAAACTTTGTTGATCCCTTTAGGTTTTCTTTTAAGCCAGGGACATGCCATTTAGTTCAGAAAAGTCTTCCATTGTCAGAATTCTCTGTGTACAAAGATAATTGTTAATGTAATATCCCTGTTTAAAATCAGTATTTTGCCAAATAACTCGTGGAAAAGAGTATCACTTCTGTATTTCCATTTGGTAGTGGCACTAGTTGGAGTCCTTTATTTTTCACTATCTAGTGTGCATACACTTCTCTATATTAAGTAATGGGCTCTAGGCTTTTAAGTGCTCAAATAGTTTAGAATGAAATGTCACTAATCTGTATTCATAGGTTTTAGTCAGTGTCTTGGTGATCTTGTGTGGCAACATGACAGGTGTAAGGAAAAGGCACTCGGGATTGTATTTCTGGTATTTTAAATGTCAAGAGTATAAAAAGTAACCAAGATTACTGTGGAGTTTTGTGGATTCAGCACCAGGAGGTTTCTTATTTCTGTGGATATTTGTTTCCTAGATTAGAAGCAGAGATTTTAGTTGCTTTAAACATGGTAATAAGTGAGCAGGGATTTAGGGTTTTAGTACCCTAAACATGTCTGAGTTTCTTTTCTAAGCTAGATGGAACATAATTTTTCTTTTATACTTCTGTTTTTCACATGACACTGTTTCTTTCACATGATAATTTGACATATTATGATTAGAGAACACAATTCTGATGAACATTTTTGTGTAACTCACAGATAGCTGTGATTGGACACATCATTCATATTGTCATTTAGCATTATATAATGTGCTTTTCTCTCTTTAGGAACACAGGGTCTTCTGAATTACTCTACCTTTGTCAGGCATTTTTCAGCATTACAATAATTTTAGGTAAACATGGAGTGCCGTGTATGTGTGTGTGTGTGTGTGTGTGTATGTTTGTGTGTTTTACTCTGGGGATCAAGCCCAGGGCCTTGAGTATGCTAGGCAAGCACGGTACCACTGAGCTATATCCCCAGCCCACTTAAGCCATTTTTAATCAGAAACAGAACTTAAATTTAGAAAAATCCATATTGATAGATTTCATTGGTCTTACATTTTCTTTTGAATAATGCAAGTCCACAAAGTAATGGTTAAAAGGGATCAGGGTAGATAAAGTCTACAGTTTTTAGGACTGTAGAGTTAAAAAGGACTTCTAAGGGTATTTTTTTAATGAGTGAAATGGAAGTCCTTATGACATGTTTAAACTCTTATGAAAGTTTTGTTAGTTTGTTTTTTGAGGGGTTCTTTTGTTTGTTTAGGTTTTGTTTTTGTTTTTGTTTTGGTGCAGGGATTGACTATAGAGCTTCATGCATGCTAGGCAAGTGCTGTGTGACTGAGCTACCTACCTAGCCACTCTACTGCAGGTTTAAATCATATTATTGAAATCTAATGATTATTAGAGACTAGTATATGTCAACATTTGTCTGATGGTCTTTTTTTTTTTTAAGCTATTTAGTTATTTACTTTGAGAGGGTATATTCTTATCCCCTGTTTCCTTTACCCTCAACCCATCCATTGCCACAGCAACTTTTCTTCACTCAGTTGTAGACAGCAGCAATATTTTTAGTACCTCTGTATCTTAGTACATTTTTCTTGTTCATAATTCTAAAAGATTTTTTAATTATATCATATTTGGTTAAAAAAATCTATTAAGGATGAAGAAAATCTAAACCCATGTAGGATCTCAGCCACAAAAAGTAGCTTCCTTATAAGATTCTTTAATATATTTTACTTAGTTTATACATGAGTGACTTATGCCTAAAAGACCTATCACTTCTATGCTAATTTATGCTCCTAGTTTAGTGTGTGGGTTGTAAGAAGTTGAGTCATAGTTTCAAAACAGTTCAGTTTTCATTTTGTTAATTTCAGTTTTACTTTGAGTTTTGAGTTGCTTCTGGAATCTTCTGATTAGGGAAAGAAGCAGCAGGTCACATTATACTAAAATTATTCCTTTTTTAAAGAAGTAAAGGTTGATTGGCTTACCTAAAAGTTATAGTCTTAGAATACTTTTAGTACTTCTGCTTTCCTTGAGCTCGTAGTAGAAGTCTCTAGATCCAATTGTTTGGGTAAAGGCATTGTTTTCTGGTCTTTTTACAAAAGAGCCACATAATCTTCACACTTGAGATAGTTGTCTCTTTAATACTAGCTGGCCTCATATTCAACAAGTCTGTAGCCAGTATCCTCCAGATAAAGGGACAAAATGTCTATGAAGTTAGGAAAAAAAATCAGTAACTCACACACTTGACATCCATTTTTCATCTTACATTGAAATATTGTACAAAAGGTAGAATAAATGAAATGAATTTTCTTTTTCAAATACAAACATCTTGTGAGATAGAAGCACATATTTCTTCCTTGCTCTTAAGTTAAAGCTTGGGATGCTTTTCTCCTTTGGATAGTATAGAACCATTTGTACTCAGGAAAAAAAAAAAAAACAGCTGAAAAAATGGAGCTCATTTATGGTAACTCTAATAAAAAAAGAGAAGGGACAAATCAATAGGTAGTGTGCTGGACAGATTTCTATAGGGTAGTTTCTGAGTCTTAATGCATTTTGAAATATTTAAGCCACTCCTTCACCATTCATAGATTTATTAAAACATTTTATTATGATTAGAAAATAAAGTAATACTTTTACATAGTCTTGAGTATTGATAGAAGGTAAATTCTCAGCTTTTTTCTATGTAATCACATGAGCCAGGATGAGTGTCCCAAATAAAAAATTAGCATTATCATTTGCCTCCAACAGGGAAATGGAAGGGAAACCCAAAACTGTTGAACTAATAATGCTAATTTTTGTCAGATTTCAAGTAAGAACATTTAAACTTGTAAAGTGATAAACTCATTATTTTTGTGTTACTTTCCTTTTGTTGTTTAAAATCAAATTCCAGAAATAAAAATCTTTATTATACTGTTTTCCTTTGCTAGAGTTGAAAGAATAAAACAGACAGAAAGTTCAGCAGCATCAGAAAATGTTTGGTCTAAAATATTAAGAGTAGGACTAAGTACTTGAACCAAATTAACTTTTTTCCCTGGAGAACATCTAATTGTATGGCAAATTCTTGTAGATTTGCTTTTTAGTACTTGAGTATGAGGTGCTGCTTTTTGTAGTTATAAAGTCATTATTCTAAGATATTTATCTCTCAATTTATAAACTTTAGAGGTGTGTATATATACATGCAAGTATATTTTATAACTCATGAATTCCCATCACTGTCCATGGAGCATTATTAGCTTAATTATTTTAAAAGCAAAGTTTTATTTGCTTTTATCACTTTAAATTTTGTCGGCTTAAAGTGATTCATAACTTCAGATGAAAAAGAAAATGACATGTTAAATGATCAGAAACTTGGCATTAAATTATTTTTAGAACTTTCCCCACCAAATTGAGCTGTATATTTTTCTTTGAAAGTTAATTTCTTCATAGATCTGTGGTGTTAATCTGTATTAATATTTGTGTTAAAATGGAGAGTGTACTTTTTATATATAAGTGTTAGAATTTCAGCTTACTTTAGTTGAGACACAACAAATTGTTACTGATCTAATAAAAATATCAAAGGCCAACAGAAACTATTTGGTTTTGTTCTTAAAAGATTTATGAGAAAAGAAATAGAGGATACTTATCTTTTTTTCTTTTCCTTTATAGGAAAATCAGTCTATTGATCATTGTACTAAAATTCCAAGTCAAAGTAAGGCTCTTTGGAATGAGTACTTTACTAAAGGAAGGAAGAAGAAACCTGAATTTTTCTCCTCCCAACGAAGTGAGACTAAAGAGACAGTGTTACACTTTTCTCCAGAAAACTGAAACTGGCTGCTTTACCTTAAAAATCCTCTCTTAATTCTCCTTGCTGAAGTAGATTAGGAGAAAGCAGGACGGATTTGAGGATCCACTGTTATGGTGGCTGGTGCTGTCTCTTTAAATCTTCCTAGAAAAGCCTTGTGTTCTTTAAAGAAGAGACCATAAGCGGGAGGAAATCCTCAACACTACAGAATTACATTTACAGAATAAATCCAGTGAGCATATCTTCTCTCCAGGACGTCCTAATTTACACATGTACTGGTCATCCTAAGGATAAGTGACTAGTTTATTGAATAATCACCCTTTTGAAAAAGTAAAAATGTTTTCCAAAACCCTGTTGATATTTCATATCCTGAAAAGTGATTTGGATTTTAATTTAGTTTTGTAAAGCCACTTAAAAACAATGCTTTCTGAATACTGTATGGGTCAGGGGCCTCCAGGTTGCATGAGATGTGTTGCAACTTAAAGACAAAGGTATTCCACAAAGGGGCTTGACTTGCAGACAGCAGCTTTCTGTTGTTCCAAAACAAGCATCTGTTTAGATAAAGAATTTTATTTCTCAGTAGAGGCTATGGAGAGCTACATAGAATATTGATTTTTCTTATGGCCCTGAAGGGAATGGATTCAGATAAAATTGATAGAAGAATGTTCTCCTTTGGTTCTTTCATCTAGCATCATAATATTAACAGTGATGGTTGGTTCATGACATAAAGTATGAGAGTTCTGCAAATGGGCACACAGCAGAGTGTCCAGGAATGAAAGAGATGGAAGGAGAGGACCTGGCACTGAGGGAAAGAACACTGGGCACTGCAAACTTAACTCATGCTGTCAAGTACTAGCTTTTAAAATCTTCTTCCAGGATTAGTAAAATATGAACCCTGCTATGTTCTTGGTTTAGTTCTTAAAGATTTATGAGCAAAGTAGAGAACACTCATATCTTTTTTTCTTTTCCACAGGGGAATCAATCTATTGATTGTTGTACTAAAATGTCTTATCTCTTTGCTGTTGATCCCATATAAATGGCTTATAAGGGAAATAATGATTATAGAGTAGGGGGAGTTATCTTGACACCACCCAGTTTGGACTCCTTACTAAGAATTAAAATTAAACTTTGTGAATTTTCCTGTAAAGCTTATTTTGCATGGTGGAGTTTCAAGACAGTTATAATTTACTGCTGGTGAATCCTGTTTGTATGGCACCTTTCCAAAAGAGTTCATCCTATTTCGCTGATGACTCTATTCTTTTTCAACTGTCCTGGAAAGCAGAAAGAGCACAAAGTATTATTTCAAGCATCTTGCTGAGGAAAACCGATTTTCATAAGTGAAGAAGTACAGGTAGAATCAATCAAGATCATCCAGTTAATAACATCAGGTCTAGAACTTCCTTCTTCTGCTTACATTTAGATTCTGTGGCCTTCAGTTTAGTTAGCCCTAGTCCAAGGACCACTTCAGTTGATAGAAAATTATTTTCTAGATCTAAATAATGGACATTTTGGTATCACCTCTATTTTGTGTGGTTCAGAGCCTAGAATCTTGTAAGAACCACAACTCCATCAAAACCATAAATAAAAGTTTATCAGCAGTAACAATAATAATAAACAGCAATACTGTCTGAGGGTAAGCTTTATTGAGGACATACTGTACTAAGCACTGTTCTAAGCACTTTAAAATTAGCAAACCCTTTGAAGTTCACAACAGCTGCATGGAATGGATGATATTATTAACCCTAATTAACAAATGAGGATACTGAGTTACAGACAGGTTATGACTTGCTTAAAGTCAAAACTAGTGACAAAAGAATAATTCAAACCTCGACTGGCTCCAAAGTCCACATTAACAATATGCAATTTATCTTCAATTTAAAAAGTTTTATAAAAGTAAGAATTTTTTCCTTGGTCAAAGAAGACCTTATGGTTGCAGAATGCTTAAACTGTTGCCAAAGGATTTTATTATGTTACATTTTAGAGGGTTATTAAAAAAAATATTTTTTAGTTCTAGTTGGACACAATACCTTTATTGTATTGATTTATATGTGGTGCTGAGGATCGAACCCAGGGCCTCGTATGTGCTGGCAAGGCAAGTGCTGTACCACTGAGCCACAACCCCAGCCCCGATTTTTTTTAAATATATATTTCTCTTAGTTGTAATTGGACACAATACTTTTATTTTTATTTATTTTTTATTTTTATGTGGTGCTGGGGATTGAACCCAGTGCCTTGCAAGTGCTAGGTGAGCGCTGTACCACTGAGCCACACAACCCCAGCCCTTTTAGAGGGTTATTTTGTTTATTTTGTAGAACTGAATAGATGGTAGAAGATAATTTTCAAGATCTAGATAATGGACATTTTGTTATCACCTCTATTTTGTGTAGTTCAGAGCCTAGAATTATTATAAGCACCACAATTCTATCAAAACCTCAAATAAAAGTATTTAAGATTGCAGGCATGTTTTCATGTTAATATGAAACATGTAAAACTTAATCTTGGAGAATTGAGTCAACTTATGAATGAATAGATTCTTAGATTTTGGAGACTCTCAAAGTGACAGACCAGTTTATTTTATATTTTTATCCATAAAAGCAGAAGACTCATCAGTATAAAAAGTTTTAGAAACTTTCATTTAAATTAGAAATTTAAAGAAGTCCAAGATAGTTCTAAAGATAGACTTCTGTTGCCATGTAAAAAGCTTAGAAAAGGGGATTCCCCACAAAAGAGGTTCTTTATTTTCATTCATTTAAAAAAATGTAAATTATAACAGAAAGATGGATGACTAATGTACACTTAGATATGATATATAAGATATCTTCATTTTATTCCAACATTTTCTATAAAATATTTTCAGCTTTATTCTAGTCCTCAAACAAACAAACAAAAATTGTTTTCAGCTTTCTAATTCAAGGTGGTAAAAGGTACGCAACGTTAAAACTGCTGTAAAGTAACTACAGCAGATTGAATGAACTCTGGGGGGTAAGGAGGAAAGAAAAATAAAATCCCTGTGTGGTAGAGTGTTGAGGTAAGATGGGCATTCTTCCTTTTTCTCTAATTTCTGATGAAGTCAGAACCAACACATCCTGTTCTCCCCCCAGTGAATTAAAAAGGAACATTATCTAGAAATGTAAATGTGGCATCAGAAAGCACCTCAAAGGTAAGTGGAGGGCAAAAAGTGTCAGATAAAAAACTTCAAGACCCGTGACAGTCACCTTTCCTAATTCCTTTTGAGGAACCTAATAAAGGAATCATCCTGGGATGTGGACTTAGCATAGGCTGTGCAAGCCACCAAGAATGGTATGGGACAAAGATCTGGATCTAACAGAGCTGAGCTTCCTTGAACTACAGGATCATTCTCTAGCTCAGTGTTCTAAAGGAAAACAATGGAAAATATGCTTTCTTAATCTTTCACTGAGTAGGACAATTAATCTGTGTGCGCGTGCACACACAGGAAAAATAAGATTATGATCTCTGTCATTGTACAGGGAAAGATTCTCCAAAGTAAGCATAATATAATATATGTGTCCTTCAGTGAATTATCATTTAGTGTTTTGAAGCAGTCAGAGCATTCACCTCTGAGTAGAGGTGAACATATTCACCTCTATTCAGCCAGTGCCTTGAGTGAGAGAGTTCTGGGGCCAGTTTGAAATAATAAGTATTGGAAATCCCCACTGTACACTGTCTGCCACAGATTAAGATGCTCATTGTTAGAGGTTTCTCTTTGTGGAGGGATTTACTGAATAGGATCCTGCCTTGGTCCGTGATTAAATAACGTTCACCAAAAGATCAGGGAAATTAAACTGTTAGAACAGCATGCCTAATTATCTTTATACCTTGATGAGGTCAGCATGAGCCATTGCAAATTCTCTGGCATGAACTTGCAGAAGCCAAGAAATGGAATCTAAAGACAAATTGCTCCTGTTCAACTCATCTGCAGGATGGGGAGTAAGAATTCAGGCTTAAGAAAGAATAGGTGAGAGGGCTAACCACTCGGACAGTGAATGCTTATTATTCATGTAGAACCTTTCATTTATGGAAATCTGAGCTAAGGAGGAAGCTCCTTGGATTGGGAAGAAGCAGCAAAAATAAAGTTCTGATTTATCACCTGAAGAAACAATGAATGGATCCTAAGAGTACAGATACTTCTTGACATAGGCCTTGTCAGGATTAGTTGGGTAACCTTAGACAAGCCACTTAATCTCTTTAAGGCCAGGGTTATTGAGTGGTATGAAGAGGACTTTAACAGATTGGTTGCTGAGTCCAGGGTCAGAACTAGATCTTGAGATTCTCTAACCTGGGTAGGTTCTGTAAGATACAGGGTGGCACAGGAGATATTCTTTGGTATTTTGATAAAATAAAACTATAATGTGGGCACAGTTATTGATCTAAAGTAGTATGGACAGTCTTTTATTCTAACAAAAGTAAAAAAGAAGAAATTCTCTAGATTTGTTCATTATTGTAGTCACTAGCTATATGTGGCTATACCAATAAAAATTAATTTAAGTAAAATAATTAATCCAGTTTCTAAGTCACACTAGCCACATTTCAAGTGCTTAATAGCCACATGTGACAAGTGTCTACTTATTGGTACTGTAGACAAAGAACAGTGCCATCATCAAAGAACGTTCTGTGGTCAGCACTGCCCTAGACCACTAGCTGCCTAGACCAGTAATGGCAGTGATTTGTCCTTTAGAGCAGGGTGTGGATGTTTGTGCTGTGGGGTGACTGTGTACATTGGGGAATGAACGAATAGATTAATCCTTATTTGAACAAAGTATAAAAAACCCTCCATTCAAAGGATGTTGTCGTTGAACAGAGTTTGAGAGACATGGGGAAGAGGGAAAGAGGAGGGAATTAGGAAACAGTATCATTCTGTGTCTGAAATCTGGACTAGACCTGAGTCTTCCCCAGGACACAGGACCCCCAGATGGGAGAACCTCAGAGATGTCATCAGTCTATGCATAGCTGATCACAACAATGGAAAAGTGGGAAAGGAACTGGGTTGCCTTAATCCTTAGGAAATGAGGGAAACTCTTAGCATTTGTTGGGGGAAAAAGATTAGTTATGTTTGGCCCATGTTACAGAAGAAAAAGTTGCTACATAGCCAGGATAGGGAATCATTTAGGCTTTTAAAAAATAGATAAGAGGGTAATCATTCTTGACAGTCAAGCTTTTTGGTTATAGATCTGTACAAGCTTGAGTGTTAGTAAAAAATTACTGCAAATACACTGAGAAGGATTGGTTCTGCTTTCCCTAATGGCTAGGATTCCAGGCACTTGGGGAAAGAAAGAAATCAGAGGTGGATGGCAAAGAGTGTAATTTTACCTGCTGTCTGGAAGCCATCTGTGAAAGGACTCACCTTTCTCTTCTGAACTTACTTCCAGGTGCAGCTGCAGGGGATGACACTGAAGATGCCAGCACTGAATTCACTGATAGTATTGAGGAGGAGGCTGCACACAACAGCCACCAGCAAGTAAGTCAGTGTCAGGTCCTGGGGTTCCCTGGGTGGAAGGTACACAGCCCTTCTGGGGTCTGATGGTCTCCCACAGCCTTTGTGCTCCTAAAGTGAGAAGACATTATTCTGTATAAACCACTTCCCAGTCTGCTGCTTGTCCTCCCTAGGCATCCCAGCTGCCTCTCCAACCCACATTGTCAGTTTCTCTAATAGACCCTTTTGTTTTTACTACTTCTGTGTTTTTCTTCTGTTTCTTGCCTCTTCCTACCCACCTTTGCCTTTATTTACTGTCTGTAGCTATAGCTTCAGAAGAATTTTTACTTACAAGACAATGGATACTTCCCCTCTTGTGCTTTTGTAACTGAAACACACCACAGAAGACAGGGAGACATCGAAGGGCTGCTTGGGGAGGTGGCAGGGCTTAGGACCTGCATGGGGAGAATGCTGAGAAACTCCAAGAGGATCAGAATGTCTCCATAGCAGGGATCTTTCTCAATGGAGTCTCATATAGAAGAGAACTTGGCAGTGCAACCTGACAGACTACCCAGGTTGTGACTAAGTCAATGACCAGCAGATGGCCCTTCAACAGCAAGCCCCTGTCAAGCCTCAACTTGGTATCCAAGGCTGAAACACAGTCCCCACCCACTATCAGAGAAAGCACGTTCTCAAGTCCAACAGTGAATGTCCTGGACCTCAGAGATTATCACTGATAGTGAGCCCACAACACTTGTTGGAACTCCTAAGTGTCTCCGCCTTGCCCAGTGACATTTAACAGTTGCATCTTCTAGATGGACAATGCCTGAAACTAAGTTATTGCAGAGAAAGTAGATCCCTGATAGAAATCCTTCTGCAAAAGTAGCCAGGCTTCCCCAGTGATAGCTTCCTTAGGACTATGAGGAAACCTGTAGGGAAAATGAGGATGCCTGGGTCTGTCTATACACCATCTGCATAAGAAAAAGAGGAAAAATTTAATAAACCAGTGAAAGGAGCCCAAGTGAACAGTCCCCAAATCTTACAGGATATGGCACAATACGTCCTCAAGAATTTCCCTTCTACCACGAGTCCCTTTTTGTTACTTTAGCCATAGCTAACCTTCACTTCTTCCTTGAGTTTTTGCATTAGCTCCACTACTTTTGCTTGAATATCTTTTTCTGAGTCCTTCTCACCAAAGGTTGTGAATTTAATTGTGCAAACCACTGCCCCTCAGTACAGATGCTTCTGCCCTTCACTCCCTGATTTCACTGAGGATCTTCGGTAAGAGAAAGGAACCTACAGAATGAACAGATATTCACTTTAAGACAACTGGTTTGGGATGGCAGCTGGTCACTGATGGTTAGTGACTGTGGGATGGGATTAACTTAGAATAAATAAGCAGGAAGCACAGCTGTAAGGAGATTCAGATTCTGATTTGCATGGTATAAATTATTTTTGGTAGTACAAGTCCTATAGGAAAACTGACTTATAAAGTCATTTCTTCCATAGCCTTTTTTTTGTAGCCTAACATGGAGAATACAACCAAATCCTATTTTGATAAGGTCAGTCCAGCTGGGAAATGGACTTTTACATTGGGGCATATTGCAGTGCTTGCAATATTACTTGGCATAGGAGATGCCTAATATAATTTTAAATTGATAGACTTCTGGATTAGGGCTTGACTCTTGATAGATAAAGTGTATACCTGTTGGATGAAGAGTCTCTTGGGTAAGCACCATTTTCCTTTTTATCGCCTTTTCTTAAAAAACCAATCTTCAGCTTTGGGGAGGAGGACCCTTCGTATGTGAAGTCATTGTAAGTTTACTTCATTTTTCTGGAGTTTACAGTTGTGATTCTCTTTCTTTCAATTAAATAAAGCTTGCTTTGCCATAACTGTGTTTTGTGTCCAGATTCTCAAAAAAAAATCATTTGCTTTTTTCTAGGAAAATGGTTCCTTATTTATTAGGTTGTGTTCTCCTTGTTGGAAACTAAGACTTATTCTTGACACCAAAATCTCTTCTTCACTCAAGCATCCATATACTTCCCCTGGTACACATATCCAACTTTGGGTTCCTGGGCAAGAGTCACCTTTTAGCCAAAGAAAGTTTTTTTCCTCATTTTTTTGACTCACCTACTTAAGCAAGCTTCAGGTCTGGCTATGATGATAATTTCTCCTAGATATCTCCCCCAAAATTCCAATCTCAAATAGATTAAGATCTACAGTAAACACCTAGGAAATTTCCATTAAAGAAACTAGAATAATCAATCATTGCTTTCTTCATTTTAACTTTGCAATGGAGAAAAGTTAATCAAGAATTGAGATTCAAATGCAAAGGAGAGAAGTCAGTAGACTAAATGTGATGTTTTAGGAACAGCTATTTAAAAAACTAATATTATTTTTATTGTCCAATCATGATTATGTACGTTTATGGGGTACAAAGTGATGTTTTACTATATAAATAAAATGTGAAATAATTACATCAAGCTAATAAATATATCCATCACCTCACCTCACCCTGGTTTCTTATGGTGAGACATTTGAAAGTTATTCTTAGTTCTTTGGAATTATACATTATTAGTGACTGTAGTCATCTTGCTGTGTAATAAATCTCAAAACCTATTCCTTAAGTCTATCCAAAACTTTGTACCCTTTAGTAAACAACTTCCTGATGTATCCCCCCTCACTCTGGTAATTATCACTCTATTCCTTACTTCTGTTAGTTCAACTTTATTATAGATTCCACATTTCAGTCCTATAAGTGAGATCAGGACATATATGTCTTTGTCTGCCATGCTTATTTCTCTTAGCCTGAAGGACTTCAGAATCTTCCCAGTGACAGGATTTCTCCCCTTTTTAAAGGCTGAGTAATATGAGGTTGAGCATAATATTTTCTTTATTTACTTACTTCTCTGTTGAGAAGTTGACCTCTTATCATGGCTATTGTAAAATGATGCTGCAGTAGACATGGAATGCTGAAATCCTTTGACAATATGATTTCAATTCCTTTGTAAATATATATCCAAAAATGGAATTACTGGATCATATGGGTAGTTCTATTTTTAGTTTTTGGAGGAGTCACCATACCATTTTTCACAGTAGCTGTAATAAAGTTCATTCCTACCAACAATGTACAAGTTCCCCTTTCTTGGCATCTTAATGCTTGATATCTTTTTTCTTTCCTAAGTTTGTATAAAAACCAATCTAACAGGTGTGAGGAGATATCTCATTGCAGTTTTATTTTGCATTTCCCTAAAGATTAGTGACGCTGTGCATCGGGGGAAAGCTAGTTTTTAATGCACTTATTGCTGCCTGGGAACTGACTTACATTGTGAGAGGTATGAAGCAATAGGGAAAAACAGAACAACTCTATTCAAGCAAGAGAGAAGATCCTGCACTAAACCTCTGCAGGGCAAATAGGAACTCAGCACCCAAAAAGTTGAATTGTATGGAAACAATAGCACAAGTGAATTAGGTAATGTTGAAGAAGATATCTATAAGAAAGACATAGCTAAAATAGATTTAATGGATTCATACTACTGCCACACATAGTGGAAGTCTCAGGGTTTGTTTGAAGGAAGGAGCAGAAATATTTGCTTTTCATAAATGATTAAAAACTAATGAAAAGGCTAGTTTCTGAGTCACTTTTCATACATTGACATTTAAATTATATTTATATTTAAATTTTAAGTTTAGTCAATGTATGCCATCGTTGAGATAGAACTATGAAAACCCAAATTAGCATAAGCAAAAATTAGATCTCGAGTCATTATTTTTTCTTTAACAAAATAAGTGTATTAAAACCAATAGAGTAAGGTATCATACATACAGATGGTGCTTGAAAATAGTTAAACTTGTTTGGCATGGTGACACATACCAGAAATCCCACTTACTGGGGAAGCCAAGGCAAGAGGATTGCAAGTTTGAGGCCTGCCTTGGCAACTTTGTGACACTCTGTCTCAAAATAAAAAATAAAATAAAAAGAGCTGGGGATGTAGCTCAGTGGTAGAGCACCCCTGTACCATACACACACAAAATGGGTAGATTTATAAAGTTGGACATTATTTTTAAACAAAAGGAATCCTTGGGTTTTAGAAAATAATAAAGATTGTACCCATATTCAAGACTAATGGTGATGTTTTAGTTATGTTAATTGGAAAGGGTTTATATTGAAAGATAACACAGTTAAATGAAAGGTAGAGCCATAAATTTTGCAAAGTGGTTTTATCCAGTACCATGTCCTTTATTTTGTCACAAATGGTTGGTGGCATATGTGGAGATGACCCCCAAACTGACTAAGCTGATCAGCAGAGTTATAGAGAGAAAATTGTCAAGAGCCTGCCAGATGTCAAGCTCACAGAACCCATGTACAATTGGATACCTAGAGATGGTGTCCTTTGTGTGTGGATCTCTTTCTTTGACACAGGTGCACATCTCCTTACTAAACACCACTTGCACATGCATGTTATGAGTTACCTCCACCACAAACCTGTGGCTTAGATTTTATCATGGTTTCTTAAGGGAAGTAGCAAAAGTCAATTGCTTTTTGCCAACCCAAGCCGCTCCAATTATTGATCCATGTAAGGTACCCTAGATCTTATTCTGTTAACATATTGGTAACTTAAATGAAGGTTTAAAGCATATAACTAATTCAACAAATCATCCCTACTTGGGTAACCACTACACGTTATAGAGATGCACAGCAAATATTTTGATGGTTTTGATAATTAGGAAATGGTTCTGCATAGCTAGAATGAATTTATAAGTGATAAGTACAAATAACAGATTTATAGATATAAAAGAGAGAGAGAGAGAGAAAAAACATGACCCAGACAAAGCTGTGGGAGAGAGGTGGGAAACTGAGAATTAGAATTGACCTGGGGGTAAGTAACTCTCAAATGCTGCCACTGAGATAAAAATAAAAATTAATGTGACATTGAGATATATTGAAATTAATTTAGACAGGCAAGAAATCCTTGTTCTAAAATAATAGTCATACACTAAGTAGATTGCCATACTTTTGTTTTGATTTCCACACTTTAAAAAGCATGAAAAACAACTAGAGACGAGTGCAAATGAACAGAAAGAAAGTCTAAAACTTCGCTAATTCCCATTTGAGGAAACACTGTAAGATTTGCTTTAATTGAAACTTGAAGAGGATTTTTAAGAAAAAGAAAGGTATTGGGAAATTGTTTCTACCTTGATTTCTTCTTACATGCTTAAATTCGTAAAGAGAATTTGGCTGACAATATTGGCACAAGTGAAATAACCAGAAAGGAATAGAGGCTTTTGAACAGGGCTTCACCTCAGCTTCTCAGTAGTTTAGGATGTGATTCCCCTGCTGTCAATGAAATAAAGCTTACTCTGTAGCTCCACCATTATTCTAATTTTGTGAGGACTGCTGCTGTTTCCTGAGTACCCTGAGCCCTCCTGCTCATCTTCTCTTTGGAATCTAAGTTCCAGGTAGGGCCTTGGGCATTGAGCCCTGCAATTTTGAGCCATCATCTTCTGATTCAAGGATTCCAGTGTTGTGAAGCTTCGTGACTTGTGAGAAGACTCTGGGGAACTCTGACCTCTCAGAAATAGGAATCACCCCATCCACAGACACAGACTTATTTAAAACTTGTTTGTTTATGTGTGTGTGTGTGTGTGTGTGTGTGTGTGTGTGTGAAAGAGAGAGAGAGAGAGCGCTTTTTGTGTTTTCCTCACCCTTCTGTGTATTCTCCTCTTCCCCTTTGTAACAACTCTGCTCACTAGATGTGTCCTCCTTGCCCAAACCACTCTCCCAGACCCTTATGACTGAGAAAATCCTTAGAAGGGAGTTCATTTTAGCTTTGTCTTCTTGTTGTTGCTTCCATTGAAGGATGTCCTTGTGATCTCATGTTTCTCTTGGGTCCTCTTTAATGACCTAACATCATTTTATGTATGTGACCTAATTTCTTTAAACCATTATTTTGTTTCAGCTTACCAAGGTGGCTTTGGATAAAAGCTCGGCAACTGTGGAGACCCAGAACACATCCCTTTCCCCTCCATCCCCAGTAGGAGGGGACAGTAACAGGTGTCTTCAGGAGGAAATGCTCCACCTGAGGGCTGAGATCCACCAGCACTTAGAGGAGAAGAGAAAAGCTGAAGGGGAACTCAAGGAGCTAAAGGCTCAAATTGAGGAAGCGGGATTCTCCTCTGTGTCCCACATCAGGTAGGACATTTTCTCCAGGGAAGGCGAGCCTATAGACCACAAGTCCCTACCACCATAGCCAGGGCCTTGCCTTGCTGCAACCAAGATGTTTGTGTTGCTACATGACTATGGGATCCACATTCCAGGATCCATGCATTGATGTTTCTATGAATTCTTTACAGCAAAGTTAATGGATAATGGTGATCACTTTTGTTATTGATTGGAATGTATAAGGGATCTTCTGCCCCCAAAGTTTAACTGCTGTATGCAGAACCACAGCAGTTCGCAAGATAGGGGTATTTATATGGAAGCCCCTGCTTCTCCAACTCAGTTCCCTGGCAGAAGCAACGAGTAATCAAATCATGGAATAGCAATTTTAATAATCTCTGCTGCTTTATTAACTTGATTAAAATGATAAATATCTGATTCATTGACTAGATTGGCTACTCTGTCTTTAGCAGCTTTTTGTCAAAAGATGCCCAGAGAATATTTTGATATAGGGATAATCCACTTAATCATTCACCACTGAGGACTCTTGTTTAGAGTACAGCTATAAGATGTACAAATTTTAATTCATGTCCTGTGGTTTCCCGGTATATTACACATCACTTAAACTTACTTGAATAACATTAACATTTGAAGAGGACCTTGATATCCAGCCCATTGTCCATGTTTATAGTTAAGAAAACTCAGGCCTAGGAAGTTCTAAGTGACTTACTCAAGATTGTGTAATGGTCCATAGCCAGACCCCTGGCTCCTGATTTTTAAATCTGCTCCTTTCTTCTGTTATGTATTTTTTCAAATATTTTTTTAAAACTTCGGTGATCATTCTAAATGTTAGTTCTTTCACACTGAATTATAATAATTCTTTAGTTAAGTTCTACTTAAGTTAAAGCACAAGCTTTGCTTAACTTTTGCATGTGTGAATTTAGTTGAGATGTTACAAACAGAACAATTCTTTTTGATTCTACACACCATGCCTTGTGGATTATTTTCCTTTTTCCTCAGAGTTACTGTTCTGAAACTGATTTTTTCTCTCCACCAGACCTCAAGAAACACTGATGTTGTAGAAGATAGAATCTAATACCTAACCACTCCTTTCAAGATTTTGTTGAGCATGCTTTCATTACTTTGTACTGTGAAAACATTAGTGTTTACCCCAAAATGTAGTTATAATATTAAATATTATTTTCTATATTATATATGTGTCCCCCTCTCTCCCTCTTTCATCCCAGTTTTGGTAACATCCTGTCCATTTTTATCCATTGAAAAACTGTCTCATGGATGCTCTGAATTCTATGTCCTAAAGTATTTTCTTCCCTAAATGACACCAGATTAATTCTGCTCGAAGGCCCAAGACTTCAGGATTCTGAGAAATCTAGTTGAGGGACATAGCCAACTACTGATCCTTCAGGCCATGAATTACCATTTTTTTTTTTGCCTCTTCAAGCTCAGCACTCTCAGTGCTTAAGAATCACCTGTGGAACTTAAGTAAGATTCAAATTCATAGGCCTTAGCTTAAGAGCCTTTTAAACAAGGACCTGGTGGGATTTTGATGTTAATATTCCTCAGGTCTACAGCTAGTTGCAACAGCATCAAATGACTCCTCTGTTGAGGATTCTGAGCTAACCACATCCTGTAATTTCATTAGTATCTACTAATGTTATAATTCTTATTTTTCATAAAAGGTATCATAATTTTTATTTTATCTAAAAGGAAACTGAGACTCCAAGAGGTTAAGTGAATTGCTTTGTGAAAGCCATGTTTTTTTATAGCTTCCATTAAACCCCAGAAAAGGGAGTATTGGGGATAAGGGTAAAGCTAGAATGTCTTGGTGAAAATTAGTTTAGTCAATTTTATTTTTTCGACAATGTGAATGTTTTACATGGCAGGAACCTGTGGAGACCCTGGGATACAGGGCAAACGGTACAGATATGGTTTCTGCTCTCATGAAAGTTATCTCCTATCACATGAGCCAGACATATAGCAAATAATTTTATGTTTATGTTTTATCTAATTAGTATTGTTTCTGTCTTATGTGTTCCTAGATGCCAATTATGGTGGTTTTTTTTTTTGTTGTTGTTGTTACTGGAGATTGAATTCAGGGGTGCTTACTGAGCCACCACCCCAGCCCTTTTTAATTTTTTTATTAAGGCTGGCTTTGAACTTCCAATCCTCCTGCCTCAGCCCCCCAAGTCACTGGGATTACAGGTGTGAGCCACTGTGCCCAGCTCCTAGATCCCAATTTATCCTTCAGTGGTTTAAAATGAATGATAAATAATAGAACTGTAGAATCCATAATAACAAATTTGTCATAGGCCATTTCCTTCTAATGTTTTACTGAATAGTGCAAGTACCTCTGTGTTTTCCAGAGGTCACTGAGAATTAGAAAACTGGCTATTTGGCCAAGTAAAGAAAAATAGACTGTAGATCTTGATACCGAGATTTTAGTGATTGGCGCTGCCATCAAACAGCTGTTGGAAGTATTTGGTGTGGGGCTGTCTCTCACCCTTCCTAACTCTGGATATTCCAGTGTATAAAATAAAGATGTTGTTGTAGGTTTTTGAGGTTGCTTCATGCCCTGGCATGTCCCTGAGTCTATCATGGACTGAGATGTGGGTAAAAGGGGCTATAAAGAGCTATGGCCAAGACCAGATCTGTTCTCTGAATGTATATTTTCTGTAGGAATACCATGTTGAGCCTTTGCCTTGAGAATGCAGAGCTGAAAGAGCAGATGGGAGAAGCAATGTCTGATGGATGGGAGATGGAGGAAGACAAGGAGAAAGGCAAGGTGATGGTGGAGACTGTGGTCGCCAAAGGGGATCTAAATGAGAATACCCTTCAGGCTGAGTTCAGAAAGCTCCAGGGAAAACTGAAGAATGCCCACAACATCATCAACCTCCTCAAAGAACACTTGGTACTAAGCAGCAAGGAAGGGAATAATAAACTTACTCCAGAGCTCCTTGCACACTTGACCAGGGAGATTGACAGAATGAACACAAACCTGGTTTGTTCTCCTGGGAAGAACCAATGCCAAGAGGAGGAGTTGACCACAAGGCCTTGCCCCAGACCCCAGAGCCTTGACCTTGGGGCCGCCCTGGCAGTGGATACCCACCAAGTAAGCAAGGGCATGGGTGAAATGAAAAATGCTTGGTAAAGATCTGGAGATATCAGTTTTTATCTTAAACTGCCTATCAGGAGGTAATAAAGGAAGGGCAGCTTTGTTCCACAGGGAGGGAGATGGTAATAATAAAAGTACCCATTCAGTTTTAGAAAGGTTTTTACATTATCTCATGAGTATCTCCTAAATTGTTAGTTTTCCAGGTAACATCTCAGCAGTAGCAGTGGGTAATAAGACCTCATCTCTGCCCTTGACATCATACGGTGGGGAAAAATGGCCACAAACCCAGATAATTTTAATAGGATGTAACTGCCATAATAGTGGGATCCATCAGATTTTGAAGCATCCCAAATGGTGTGTAATGACATCTCTTTCTTATCAACTGCTATTTTCATCACACTTCATTACAGGTGTCTGTGATCACAAGGGGTTGTTGGGATTCTCTTAAGGGAATTAGCTTTGCTGAGGATTCAGTCAATGGAGAATACAGAGGATTCTGAGAGAACCACTGAAATAGGAATGCAAGGAGAGCTGAGTGGAGGTTTCTACCTCTTCCCTTCAATCACTGAGCAAACATTTTCTGAGAGCTCTCCTATAGACTTGATTGGCACTCTGCTGTGTGCTATAGATACAGAGATGAATAAAACATTTTAGAAACTCTCTAGGAGCTCTGTCTAAAGCAAGTAACTATTGAATGGTGTGACAAGTACTCTGATAGACACATGAGTATAACCCACAGTGTTAAAAGGGGGAAGTGGCTATCACTGTGTGTGTGAGTAGGGGGGATGGCCTCAGGCTGTCCTGATCCCTGTATTGGTCCCTTTTACAGTTGGATAACCAGTCTCAGGCCCAGGATGGTAGGCCTCAATCAGAATTTAGCCTGCGTGGTTCTACCAAGCACCTGCGCTCTCAGCTGGCTCAGTGCAGACAATGCTATCAAGACCTTCAGGAGAAGCTACTGATCTCAGAAGCCACTGTCTTTGCCCAGGCAAACCAACTGGAGAAGTACAGAGCCATATTTAGTAAGTATTGGAAGCTCACCATCACAGTGTCTTTGTTCTTCCTAAGAAAAGATAGGTCTTGCAGATTTTACTCTTTCCCCCTCCAGTCTCAAAACAAATTCAGTTCTGACCATAGTGCTAGAACTGTGGAAATGGATATTTTACTTCAATTTGAAGATGGCAGAGAAAAAAGGAAGAAAGCAAAGTTTCAAGGTTGCAATGGGCGTATAGGGAGAAAACTCATCTAGGTTTGCTAATTTCTGGTATAGTGAGTAAACTGCCTTCCTCTCTCAGTGTAATTGGTTCTCTTTTATTTTCTTTGTACTATAACAGATTCTTTAAAAATGTATAATAATTATTGGTTTAGATCAGCACTGTCTAATATAACTTTTTTGCAGTGGTAGGAAAGTAGAAAACATATATATATATATATATATATATATATATATATATCTGTCTCATATGTCTATTGAACATATAAAATATGGCTAATGCAATTTGGAAATTTTAGGTTTTACTTGATTTTAATTCATTTAATATAAAATAGCCACCTTATTGGCCAATACAGGTCTAGATGTCTTGGGACTCTACATTAGCTCAGCCCCATTTAAACATTTACTGAACTCCTGTGGATAAAGTACTTGCAAGTTTCACTGCAGCTTCCAGAGATGATAGTATTGAATATCCAACTTACAAGTTTCTAGTCCCAACCTAGGTTGTCAGAAGTGAGATTATCAGTGAAAAACAAGCTCATCCTCAAAGAAATTCTGCCTGGAGCAGATGATTTCTCCTCCTGACCCCAATAAAAAGAACATATATTCCACCTTGATCTGACCTCCCTGCCCCTAAAGGTCAGGGTGTATGCCCCAGAAGTTCAGGGAACATGTGAGAAATTCAGATACTCTGTAATACTTTCTGTTACTTCCTGAGCAGGTGAATCCCTTGTGAAGCAGGATAGCAAGCAGGTCCAGGTGGATCTCCAGGACCTGGGCTATGAGACTTGTGGTCGAAGTGAAAATGAGGCTGAACGTGAGGAGACCACCAGCCCTGGTAAGATCATAGGGTATAGGACTCACCTGCCTGCCCCAGGGTCAGCTGTCACATTTGGTTGCCATTCTAGAACCACTGGAACAGGAATGCAAGGAGGGCTGAGTGGAGGTTTCTATCTCTTCCCTTCAATCACTGAGCAAACATTTTCTGAGAGCATTCCTATAAAGAGAGCTATATGCATTCCTGTTCCAGTGGTCCTAGGCTATTCCCATACCTTATTGATTAGTAGGGGTTGGGAAGTTGTGATTGAAAGGGACCCAGGACCAGAAAAGGACAGGAAATGTGGAGAACTCTGCTTCAAAATGAGTCTGAATATGAGTTTCACCTTCTATAATTAACTTTTAGCATACTTCTCTTAAGAAAATAACATTCTATCCATATCACTATTATAGAAAAAAATAGCAAGGACTACTTATGAAAGAAGGGAATAGATGAGCTCTTGGGGTTATGTAAGCAATACATTTTTAAAAAATATTTTGTTTTGCCTTATAAAAGACAATAGTCATGGGGCCCCTACCTAATTAATACTGAGAAAAGGAGAAAAACACTTTCCATCTCTTTTCCCTTGAGGCAGAGTAGTGTGGCAGTTAAGAGCAGAAATCCTGGGGCAAGCCTAGTTGGTTCAAATTTCAGTTTATGAATTTCTCTGTGCTTCAGTTTCCTCAACTGCTAAAACAGTTATTTAATAAAACTACTATCATTATTAAATGGCTATTTAATAAAGGCCCAAGTTAATGTCATACTTAAGAGGCAGCAATGTGTATGGGACGTACACATGACATTGGAGGATTTGAATTATGGCTTTGCCATGTGCTAGTCTGAATGATCTAGAGCTAGTTAGTTTATTTCTGAGTCAGTAAAATGGAAGGCATCCATACCTAACTTGCAGGGCTGTTGGGAGGATATAAAATATTAGGTTTGAATACTGGTACAGAACAAGGTTGAATTGAGTACTGCTTCAATTTTGCTCCACTAATTATTATTCCTATGGCCAAACCTATTCCCTGAAAAGGGAATGACCACAGTAGCATGTCCAGTCTATATTCAGGAAGATGTCTTTGTCTCTGTCTTTCAGAATGTGAGGAGCACAACAGCCTCAGGGACATGGTACTCATGGAAGGGCTGTGCTCTGAACAAGGGCGCATGGGCCCAGCCCTCACTCACCCTCCTGGGAAGAAGCCTTCAGAGAGCCGGCTAGGGAAGCAGGAAGAGTCCCAGGCATATGGAAAGTCAGAAAACATCTCTGTTCTACAAAAGGACATTAAAGATCTAAAAGCCCAGCTGCAGAATGCCAACAAGGTCATTCAGAACCTCAAGAGCCGTGTCCGGTCTCTCTCGGTTACAAGTGATTATTCATCTAGTCTGGAAAGACCCCGGAAGCTAAGGGCTGTTGGCACCCTTGAGGGGTCTTCACCCCATAGTGTCACTGATGAGGATGAGGGGTGGCTGTCTGATGGCACTGGGGCCTTCTACCCTCCAGGCCTTCAGGCCAAAAAGGATCTGGAGAGTCTTGTCCAGAGAGTATCCCAGCTGGAGGCTCAGCTCCCAAAAACCGGAATAGAAGGGAAGCTGGCCGAGGAGCTGAGATCAGCCTCGTGGCCTGGGTAAGGAGTGCACTATTTGATTGATGATGTCTAAGTTTGTGCTTGGAATTGAGTGACCTAAGTAGTTTGAATGAAGAACATATCATCATAGTAAGAAGGCACTTATTTAAGTGGTGGTAAGTCTGAGAAGATCAGCTATCATTAGTACATTGTATGGTGGCCCAGTGTCTGGGAGATACCAGGTTGCTGGGATTTTCTATTAGGGATATATTTAAAGTATCTGACTGTCTATCTACTGAAATCTATCTAGTATGAGATAGTAGAAAGCTAGATTCAGATACCTGGGTTTAACTCCTAGCTTTGGCACCTATTAGTTGTACAATTTGCCTAACTTTTCTGAAACTATTTGATTACCTATTAAATGAGGATAATAAGAGAGGCCAACTCAAAGGATGGTTAGTAGCTTTCAGTGAATTAATGCAAGTGCTTAAAATAGTGTCTGACATGCATTAAGCTCAGTGCTATTTGCATAATTGTTATTGTTTCTGAAACTTCATTTTGAAAAACACTGGATGGACATCCATCTTGGTATCTGTCATACTTACCTATTGCTAAATAATCACTTTACAACATAGTAGCTTTATCATTTCTCATGGTTTTGTGGGTTTACCGGGCTCAGCAGGGCCCCTGGGTGGCTGCCATCAAATGGTAGCTAAGGTTGGAATAATCAGAAAGACTTCACTGGGCTGGACACAATTTCTTTATCTACATGTCTAGTGAGTCAGTGCTCTCTGGCTTCTCTTTCTCCACAGGGCTTCTTATTGTCCAGGGCTTTCCTTCTGTCTTTGGCTTCTCATAGTGTGGTGTTCTCAGAGTGCTTTCTTTGTGAAAGCTGAGATCTCAGGCAGGAAGTAAAAGTTGCCAGGTCAGTTAAGAGTTAGTCCCAGAATTGGCACAATGTTACTTCCACTGTATTATCTTGGTTAAAATTGTCATAGAGCCTTCCAAGATTTAAGAAGGTAGAGAATAACCTCTAAATGCTGATGAAGAAGTGGCAAAGCCATATTGTACCAGAGCATATGGGACTGGAGGTCGTATAATGGCCATCTTTGTAAATTACAGTCTGTCACAGTATCGTAGCATAGAAGAAATAAAAGACATGGAAAGTCCTATGTAACTTAGGATTAAGTGATTTTAAGTGTTTATTGACTATCTATTGTGAGCCTACATTATACTGGTGCTGTATGAGATGTACCATATGGTATTGTCTTTACTTTCACAGAATTTATGATTTAGTTTTCGACATATGGCTAATATATATAAAACAGTTGAAGAACAGTGGCATACTAATTTTTTATGCAGTATTTTCTCAGAATAGTATTTATTCTTAAATACCTCTTATGAATTATATGAATTTCTCTTGGGGGAGTTCCTTAGGTATATCCTATATCCTCTTTGAAATCTCTAAGGAAGCCCCTATAACTTTAATTCATTTTTTCCCATTCGTTCATTCTCATTCATTCATTCTCTCTCTCTCTCTCTCTCTCTCTCTCTCTCTCTCTCCCTCCCCCTCCCTCTCTCTCTCTCTCTCTCTCTCTCTCTCTCTCTCTCTCTGTCTCTCTCCTCTTTCCTGTAGAAAATATGATTCCCTGATTCAGGATCAGGCCCGAGAACTATCCTACCTACGGCAAAAAATACGAGAAGGGAGGGGTATTTGTTATCTTCTCACCCAGCATGCAAAAGATACAGTCAAATCTTTTGAGGATCTCCTAAGGAGCAATGATATTGACTACTACCTGGGTCAGAGCTTCCGGGAGCAACTTGCCCAGGGAAGTCAGCTGACTGAGAGACTTACCAGCAAACTCAGCACCAGTAAGTAGGCCATGGGACTTTGGAATACTCTCAGTCACTCTCACAGTTCAGGCCCAGGTAACCACCATACCTCCACTGCACAATTTTATCCCAGGGTCCAATTTTACTTCATCTCCTGTGGGCCATTACAGGATCATGACTGGCTAGCAAGGAGTACCAAGAGGAACATACAGGGTTGGAGATGCATGGTTACAACTGCAGAGAATTCATCACATATTGAATGTGACCTTTCAGGCAGGAGGTAGCATCCATCTAATGTTAAAGAGAGAGGGAGATGAAAGGGCCCTGTTACAATGAAGAGTCCTGAATTAAGAACTGAAAGATGCAAGTTCATCCTAGGTGCTGCCATCAACCTGCTTTGAACAAATTACTTTTCCTTTTGTCATCTGTTTCTTAACTGATTGCATAGTATTTTATATATATATATATATATATATATATATATATATATATATATATATGTATTTCAAATATAAATAAAGCCATTTTGGACATAATGAAGGCAGTGGCTATGGTAGTTCAAGGGATATGTTGGTTATTATAGAACCTGTTACATAGAATTTCCTAGGATTATAGCAGGCTCAGACTTGGGGGACAAACCAGTCCTTCTACTGGTGACAGGTGCAAAGGTGGAACAGGGCTGTCATTTCCTCAGAGACAAGAGTAGGTTCTACATGAGAGCAGTAATGGGACACATAGCTGTGTATTTGGGAGGAAGTCTATGGCAGGACATAAAGGCTGGAGTATTTGAGAGGGCACCTAGAGGTATCTTGTGATCAAGGAGGCAACAGATATTTTGAAGTTTTGCCATGATTTAAGGCAGACAAAGTCACAATGGTTAGGGAAGGTCTGCCTAGCAAACTCAGTTGAGTCTGCCACCTCACTTCTACAAAGACACAACTGAGGTCCTCAAAATAATTATTCTGGACACACATGTAGAGTAATCACTATTCTGTGTCTGAATAGGCCCCTGAGTTTATGATGTGTGAAATGAGATCTATTTAATTTCTTACTATTTCTTTCTGAATTTGGTTTGCAGAGGATCATAAAAATGAGAAAGAACAAGCTGAACTTGAGCCACTGGCCCTCAGGTAATTCAGAAAATAATCTTATAAAGGCATCTGAACTAGGGCCCAAGGGGTCAAATGTGCTACAACTTCATAAATTGGGGGGGGGAAGCTGAATGTAATCAATTAATTTATTCACTGAACATCTTAACATTATTTTTAACCAAATCCTTTCTTCCCTTTTGATGTAATTCCATGGACACATTAATTCTCTAAGCTTCGTAACTTAGAATTAGCATGACTTACAAGTGAACTAAATAGGTTTCAGGAGTCTTCTCACCTTTCCCAGGGGCCTTCCCTGCTTTCCCCCTGTGTATTTAATGACCAGGGTAAGCTTTTTACAAGGTTGGCTTGCCCTAAGTTAGATTGACAGCTTGCTTAATGGCCACCCAATTTTCTTGGAGAAGAAGGAGTCATAATACCGTGTCTAGTGAAAGAGGCCCAGTGAAAGAGGCTGGACGCCCTGGGAAGCCACAATGCCTCAGGAACCATTTTTGTGTCACTTCTTATAATGCTCTATAAGATATGTGCTAAGGGTAAAGTTATAGCCACTAGTTTGAGCTGTCTGTGTTACAACTGTGCCTCAAAATAACTGTGGTGTCAAGGTATTTGGGTTTTTATTTCTAATCTATCACAGACATTTCAATCAACTAGATGATTCTACCTAACGTAGTCTTAGATGTTGGGACAATGTTTTTTCAATGCTTTTAAATGCTCAATTTCAATTTTATACTGGTCTTATTGGAGATAAGAAACAGTCCTTGGGCTGCAGTTGTTCAGAGATCATATCATACCTAGATAACTGTCTCCTCAGGTCCTGAGCATACTATGTGGCCAGTGTGCTGGGTAACTATTATTCACTCTTCATCTGTCTCCTACCTGCCCTCCAGCCCCAATTAGAAATGAGTTATTTCAATTGTGCTATGCAGAATGGTATGTGGCTTATGTGACTTTTTCTCATATGCCTTAGTCAGGACTTGCTGGACTGTGTGAACTTGGTTTCACCTTTGTCTACCTCTCTTCCCACCAGGCTCAGCAGGGAGCTGCAGGAGAAGGAAAAAGTGATTGAAGTCCTGCAGGCCAAGCTGGATGCCCGGTCTCTTTCGCCCCCCAGCAGCCATGCCTTGTCTGACTTCCACCGTTCTCCCAGCAGCACCTCCTTCTTATCTGATGAGCTGGAAGCCTGCTCTGACATGGACATAGCCAGCGAGTATACACACTGTGAAGAGAAGAAAGCTTCACCTGGTCACTCAGGTAGTCTCTACTTTCTGAGAGGTGTCCTTCTATTTAGACTGAGCAGAGACCTAGGAAACCAGGGCTTATGGCTCTGCCTTGGTGTGTATCAGGCTGAACATGGTTCTGGGACCAAGTGCCAAGCACAGGCTCCCATGGGCTAAGGATTTTACTCTGCTCCTGACTCTTCAATTTACTATGTCACCCTATTACCCATCAGCATATATTGCTGTTGGACTCAAGGCAATATGTAGTGCACAGAATGAGAAGATGGTGGGAAGATTTTTCTTCTTCACTGAATCTGATAGACATCTTTCTTTAAGATTGAACATCTCGTCTCTCTTGTAGTGATCTTGCTGCAGTTCCTGAGCAGTATCTCCTGAGTATCTGTGGGTGTCCACAGTTGCTGCCAGTCTTCCCTGATATTTTTAGAGGTATAGATTTCATCATTTCAGGGCTCTGAGCCCCACTATAACCCCTGAAGTGGATGCCTCACTAAAGGAACTATTTGCAAGCAAGAAAATGAACACTGCAAAAGTGCCTGTGCTTGGAGCTTTTTCTGACAACTAGACCCCAGCCCTGGTACCCCTAGTTAAATATAAGGCCAGGATTCCAGTTCTCTGTAGAACATCATTTTCTTTCATTCATGGGTTTTATAGATTCCATCCATCATTCAAGTCTTTCTGCTGTATTGTCTTCTAAACCATCAGTAACCAGTGCTTCACAGGGGGTTAAGGCGGAGTCCAGCAGCAACCCCATCAGCTTGCCAACTCCCCTGAATGCCCCCAAGGAGGCCAACCAGGCCCATCCAGGTATGCAGTAGCTTCATCTCCTCTTCCTCCGCTGCCCGTTGGACTTTCCTTCAGGGACAAAGGTGTGAACATAGAAACCATTGTGCATCACATCCTAGACAAAATCAAGACACCACTTTCATGCACTAATTGTGTCTGATTTAAAAAAAAAAATTAGAACATAAGTAATCCATGACAAGATTTGATCAGCATACCAATTTTGACCAATAATTAGCTAATAATTTTAAATAATCATTTTTCTTTCTTTCTTTTATTTAGCCTGGGGAACAAAGAGGCAAAATTTTCTTACAGGATTACAATCAAAGAACTGAAAGAAATTCCCATTTACTGATCCTGTATACATGTTACCCATATATTCTTCACAATGGCCCTGTGTAATGGGTGGCATGGCTTACTTTGTGACTAAATTCTGTTTATTTTATACTATCATTCCTGGATTTGTGAATGTATTACTAGGCCTTGATTTGTACGTGGGGTATATATCCTGGGGGCAACTAGATGGGTACATTTCACTTCTATGTCTCAGCATAGTTGCCAGAGGCTACATTGTTCACTCACAGCTCTACAGAAGGGTTGGCAGGGAAAGGGCCAGCCTTGTCTTTACCTCCTGCCCCACACACCTGGATGGCTGCCTTCAGTGTAGTCTGACATGGATAGGGATTCTCCCAGGAAGCACAGTGCTTTCTCTGCCACCCTCCTCTCTTCTGAGGAAGAAAGGTGTCCCTAACCTGAGACTGGGCACAAAGTTTCTGAGCCAGAGTATGTACCAGCTAGACCAGGAGATCATGGGGAAAAACTTTTTACCCAGAACTATAGATATCTGCTTAAATGCTCAGTTCACAGAGCAGAAAGCCAGGGGTTTTAAAAATCAGAAGACTTTTTCCATAAGAGGCCTGAGCTGTGCTACTTAGCAGTTTGGGTGTCTTTGCAGTATTGCTCTGTCATGATGTCAGCCTCGTGGGGCAGTGAATGAGTTTTAGAATGTAACCATTGTCTTGTCTTCTACATTAGACATGCTCTACAGGGCAGTCTTAATTTCTGGTCCTTCCATTGGATACCTGCCCTCTACCTATTTTTAGTAAAGAAGAAACAGAGGCAAACATTGGAACTTCCCAGGGTTTACAAAAACCAGGCTATCAGTGGGCAGCATAAAGATCACCTGGAGATTTCTCAAAGTGAAAATTTCCAAACCCTGCTCTCAGAGTTCATGATTCTGTAGCTCTGCATTAAGGACTGAAGAATCTGCATGTATTATGAGTTTGTCCTAAGTAGTTCTAGTGCCCAGACAAGTTTGTAAGCCACTGAATAAAGGCCTCTGTTTTTCCTCTGGTGAAAGAAGATGCTGATTTGGGTTTCTGACATTTGTTTCCATCAAAATCTTGAACTCCATGTACTTGTAATGCAAATTTCCTGACAGCCCTATCAACTCCTGCCTTCCTCAAGATGGACCCTGATGCTTTCAGAAGAGGAAGTATAGGTGTAGGAAGAATCACTCCCAGAGTCAAGGACTGATACATGCTGGGAATAACACCCAGTGGCCCTTGAGGTCTTTGGGGCACAGCCATTTTGACATGGGTGAGGGTCAGTAATGGCCCCTTGCCTTCTGTAGCCAATTGATTTCAAGATGAGCAAAAAACATATATATAAGACAGCCCTGGCAGGGGAGAAGGAGGAGAGGTCAGCCAGGTCAACCTCTCTGGAGCAAAGGTCACTCTTGGCTGGCTCAGCCTGCACCTCATTAAGTGTAAGCCACTCTACCAGTTGGTATCTGGTCAGGGAATTATTTCACCTTCTCAATCTTTTACCCATGCTTTTCTCTCACTTTCTCTCTAATGATATTGTCTCCTTTCTCCCTAACTTTCTGTTTCTAGGCTTTCATTTTAACTCCATACCCAAGCCGGTTAGCCTCCCCCAGGCTCCATTGCCCTCAGCTCCATCCAGTTTCCTGCCCTTCAGCCCCCTTGGTCCTCCCTTCCTTGGCTGCTGTGAGACACCAGTGGTGTCCTTGGCTGAGGCTCAACAGGAGCTGCAGATGCTGCAGAAGCAGTTGGGAGAAAGTGAGCACAACTGCTGCCCTTGTGTGCTTGCGAGTGGCAGTCTCACATTGTGTTGCTCTGCATGGCTTTGGCTTGATAGTGAAGTTGGAAAACAAACAGTGGCACATTCTATAAATGGAAGAGGGAAGGAAGGCTCTGCTTGCTTATTTTGAAATGCATTTGCTTTTGTCTTTCTGGTGTGTGTGTCTCATCAGTTATAGGATATGTTCAGGAAGCTCTAGACCTAGTGCTCACACACTTTTGACAAGTTGGGTACCACCACGTGTGCAGAATCCGGACAGCTGGGAGAAGTATTTACTGGTAGGGAATGGGAGAAAGATTTTGTTTTGTCCTCTTAGGATTAACATGACAATAAAAAAGGTGGCCACATATATGGATGGACTCCTTTGTAGGGCTCTTATATTCTGCTGTGAAATGATTTTAATCAAGTTTAGTTCTTGACATTATGAGCTCAAGGAAAAAGGGTGGTGGTAGAAAGATTCAGAAGCAGAAGTAATAGAGGCCCTTTTTCTGTTCCAGGGCAGCTGGAATCATAAACATAGGACATGATGTCTGATTGTGAATTCTGTCCTCAAGATAGTTCATCTTATATAGTCACATAATTTATAGGCTGTGTACAGTCATCTTTTAGAAAACAGTTTGATATATTTATGGGCTGGATGCCTCATCATAAATTTTATTTTATTTATTTATTTATTTGTGTGTGTGTGTGTGTGTGTGTGTGTTTCCTAAACCCAAATCATACTTTGGGTTTAGGAAAAAAGAGGGGGAAAAAAACCCTTCATATAATGAATTTACTCACTAATAGTGCTTTAAAGAACAACTAGAAAAATTGGGGATAAAACTGGCAAGTGATACAATTATTAACCCCTCTTAGAAGTTTGGATTGATTGAAGGAAATGATGAACTCACTCCTGTTTGTTTAGGGGGAGATGCATGTCTGTTCTGCTGCCCATGTTGATAATCCTTGGAAGAAAACAGTCTTCTGAATTTTCTAAATTATGGCCCTGCCCACGTTTTCTCCCCTCTTTCCCATGTCAAACTTTTTCTTTTATTTCTTTTTTTAAACACAGAAGCAAAGATGAAACTCAAAGGGTCTTACCTTCAGAAGCTCCCTAATTATGGCCAGAAACAGGCGATATAGGCAGAATTTTATAGTTTTTAAAGTCACCCAACTTCTTACCTCTGCTTCAAGGGCTCAAGTGGAAACCCTGTGGTTTCATAGGACATATGGAGAAATCAGTTCATGCAATACAAGGTCAGGCCTCCCTCCTTGGAATGGGTTCAGTGGTCTTTGGGCAGGTATGGTGACACTTTTCAGTTCCTTGAATCATGTTGGAGGGGATCCAAATCACAACTTGCCTTACATAGGGCTTTCTCCGGCTCACAATAGGGTTCATTAGTCTAGAGGAATTGAGTTGCCTTGTCTTGATGGATTTTGTGTCCTCTTTCTCCTCTGAAAACTCCAAAGGAGGAATAGAAAGATTTACTGGTTAGCAGGGACAGCAAATATTCATAGGCAAATATTCCTGTTCTCAGGGATATTCAATCCTACATCCCATCATGCTCTGACCCCTAACTTTGGGAGTAAGTCCTATTTCTGGAACTTCTCAGGAAACTTCCTAGACTCTCTCATGAAGAATTATAGTAGGAGCCAGGAATAGGATCACTGGACTTTTCCTTATATACAAAGGTGATTCAGGTTACTTTATCCATCCTTTTCTATTGGTGTCTCATGCTAAGAAATACAAAGGGTGCAAGTTATCCCCTCTAGGTCTTTATGCCATTGGTGTCTCACAGAGGATGTGACCTCTGAAGACCCATATGGCCCCTGGTAATCTCCATTCTTAGTAATCACAGAATTCCTTGCTGATCCTTCCCTTCCGACACCCTGTTGGTTTCTCATTCATGTTTCTTTCTGCAGGTGTCAGCAGTGTTCCTCCAGCTTCCACAGCCACGTTGCCAGGCAGCCATTCAGAAACCAGCTCTTCCCACTACCTCAACCCTGCCCAGTCCCACTCTCCAATGAGGGGTGCCATGGAATTGGGCAGAATCCTGGATCCTGGATACCTGGGTAGCAATGGCCAGTGGGATGTCATGAGACCTCAGAAAGGGAGTGTCTCTGGGGACATCTCTTCAGGTTCTTCAGTGTATCAGCTTAACTCCAAACCCACAGGTAAACACAAAGCTGAGGGTCTTGGCCTTTGAAAGGAATAGCATTTGGTTTGCTCCTCTCCTACCTGGGCAGGGCTTCTTCACTCATCCCCAACCCCTGGCTCCCAGAGTAGGAATATGATCGAAGAGCAGTCTCAGTACCACATCCTTTCTAAGTGCACCCTTTCTTTCTCCCTGCAGAGGGTTTTGGTGCTCTGCAGGGCTATAGAAAAGTCAGTGACCCATCCCCTGTGCTCTCACACATGTTGTTCTCCTTCATTGAACCTGACCTCTTTGTAGCCCACTCTTTTAGACCCTTCTAGATGGCCAGGCAGATGTTCACAGGGATTTGCTTCTGTCAGTCATGAATTTTATGAAATCCCCACCCACACATATGTATTGTACACAAAAACCAATCACATCAAGTGGAGGGGTATAACTAAGCAGGTGGATACAGGAACACAGCTCAGTTCCAACAGTAAGATGTTATAATTCTCAAAAAAAGATTGAGCCCCAAACAAAATGGTATAGTTGATGTGGTTTATTCTTAGCATCTCTTCCACTTTTCTTTTCTGCATCCTTTTTTTTTCCTTGGGGTTGCTCCTTTCTCCTCTCTAATCCATATTCAGATCCCTCAATCTATGCAGGCTATCCTGCTTTTCCCACCATATTAAAAGCGATTTGAGGGAAGGTTTTAGTTTGGGTCATTAACCACATGGGATAAATTGAAGGTCATGTGCTTTTAATTTAGGCCTTCTCTCTAAGGATTGGAGGACTATGCTAAAAATTGTTCAGTTATAATATCAGTAAGAAGAAAGGCATTAGAAGAAAGTCAGAGTGAGAACTTTTCTTTTTTTTTTTTTTTTTTTTTATTTTTTTTTTATTGTTGGTTGTTCAAAACATTACATAGTTCTTGATATATCATCTTTCACACTTTGCTTCAAGTGAGTTATGAACTCCCATTTTTAGCCCATATACAGATTGCAGAATCACATCAATTACACATCCATTGATTTACATATTGCCATACTTGTGACTGTCATGTTCTGCTACCTTTCCTATCCTCTATTATCCCCCCTCCCCTCCCCTCCCCACCCTTCTTCTCTCTCTACCCCCCCTATTGACCTTCATTTCTCCCCCTTGTATTATTTTTCCCTTTCCCCTCATTTCCTCTTGTATGTTCTTTTGTATAACCCTGAGGGTCTCCTTCCATTTCCATGCAATTTCCCTTTTCTCTCCCATTCCCTCCCACCTCTCATCTCTGTTTAATGTTAATCTTCTTCTCATGCTCTTCGTCCCTACTCTGTTCTTAGTTACTCTCCTTATATCAAAGGAGACATTTGGCATTTGCTTTTTAGGGATTGGCTAGCTTCACTTAGCATAATCTGCTCTAGTGCCATCCATTTCCCTGCAAATTCTATGATTTTGTCATTTTTTAATGCAGAGTAATACTCCATTGTGTATAAATGCCACATTTTTTTAATCCATTCGTCTATTGAAGGGCATCTGGGTTGGTTCCACAGTCTTGCTATTGTGAATTGAGCTGCTATGAACATCGATGTAGCAGTGTCCCTGTAGCATGCTCTTTTTAGGTCTTTAGGGAATAGACCAAGAAGGGGAATAGCTGGGTCAAATGGTGGCTCCATTCCCAGCTTTCCAAGAAATCTCCATACTGCTTTCCAAATTGGCTGCACCAATTTGCAGTCCCACCAGCAATGTACAAGTGTACCCTTTTCCCCACATCCTCGCCAGCACTTGTTGTTGTTTGACTTCATGATGGCTGCCAATCTTACTGGAGTGAGATGGTATCTTAGGGTGGTTTTGATTTGCATTTCTCTGACTGCTAGAGATGGTGAGCATTTTTTCATGTACTTGTTGATTGATTGTATGTCCTCCTCTGAGAAGTGTCTGTTCAGGTCCTTGGCCCATTTGTTGATTGGGTTGTTAGTTACCTTATTGTCTAATTTTTGGAGTTCTTTGTATACTCTGGATATTAGGGCTCTGTCTGAAGTGTGAGGAGTAAAGATTTGTTCCCAGGATGTAGGCTCTCTATTTACCTCTCTTATTGTTTCTTTAGCTGAGAAAAAACTTTTTAGTTTGAGTAAGTCCCATTTGTTGATTCTAGTTATTAACTTTTGTGCTATGGGTGTCCTATTGAGGAATTTGGAGCCCGACCCCACAGTATGTAGATCGTAGCCAACTTTTTCTTCTATCAGACGGCGTGTCTCTGATTTGATATCAAGCTCCTTGATCCATTTTGAATTAACTTTTGTGCATGGCGAGAGAAAGGGATTCAGTTTCATTTTGTTGCATATGGATTTCCAGTTTTCCCAGCACCATTTGTTGAAGATGCTATCCTTCCTCCATTGCATGCTTTTAGCCCCTTTATCAAATATAAGATAGTTGTAGTTTTGTGGATTGGTTTCTGTGTCCTCTATTCTGTACCATTGGTCCACCCGCCTGTTTTGGTACCAGTACCATGCTGTTTTTGTTACTATTGCTCTGTAGTATAGTTTGAAGTCTGGTATCGCTATACCGCCTGATTCACACTTCCTGCTTAGCATTGTTTTTGCTATTCTGGGTCTTTTATTTTTCCATATGAATTTCATGATTGCTTTCTCTATTTCTACAAGAAATGCCTTTGGGATTTTGATTGGCATTGCATTAAACCTATAGAGAACTTTTGGTAATATCGCCATTTTGATGATGTTAGTTCTGCCTATCCATGAACAGGGTATATTTTTCCATCTTCTAAGATCTTCTTCTATTTCTCTTTTAGGGTTCTGTAGTTTTCATTGTATAAGTCTTTCACCTCTTTTGTTAGGTTGATTCCCAAGTATTTTATTTTTTTTGAAGATATTGTGAATGGAGTGGTTGTCCTCATTTCCATTTCAGAGGATTTGTCGCTGATATACAGGAATGCCTTTGATTTATGCGTGTTGATTTTATATCCTGCCACTTTGCTGAATTCATTTATTAGCTCTAATAGTTTCTTTGTAGAGCCTTTTGGGTCTGCTAGGTATAGAATCATATCATCTGCAAATAGTGATAATTTAAGTTCTTCTTTTCCTATTTTTATGCCTTTAATTTCTTTCGTCTGTCTAATTGCTGTGGCCAGTGTTTCGAGAACTATGTTGAACAGAAGTGGTGAAAGAGGGCATCCCTGTCTTGTTCCAGATTTTAGAGGGAATGCCTTCAATTTTTCTCCATTCAGAATGATGCTAGCCTGAGGCTTAGCATAGATTGCTTTTACAATATTGAGGTATGTTCCTGTTATCCCTAGTTTTTCTAGAGTTTTGAACATAAAGGGATGCTGTACTTTGTCGAATGCTTTTTCCGCATCTATCGAGATGATCATATGGTTCTTATTTTTAAGTCTATTGATGTGGTGAATAACATTTATTGATTTCCGTATATTGAACCAGCCTTGCATCCCAGGGATGAATCCTACTTGATCATGGTGCACAATTTTTTTGATATGTTTTTGTATCCGATTCGCCAGAATTTTATTGAGGATTTTTGCATCTAGGTTCATTAGAGATATTGGTCTGAAGTTTTCTTTCTTTGAAGTGTCTTTGTCTGGTTTAGGTATCAGGGTGATGTTAGCCTCGTAGAATGAATTTGGAAGTTCTCCCTCTTTTTCTATTTCCTGAAGTAGCTTGAAAAGTATTGGTATTAGTTCCTCTTTAAAGGTTTTGTAAAATTCTGCTGTATACCCATCCGGTCCTGGGCTTTTCTTAGTTGGTAGTCTTTTGATGGTTTCTTCTATTTCCTCGATTGATATTGGTCTGTTTAGGTTGTCTATATCCTCCTGACTCAATCTGGGCAGATCATATGACTTCAGAAATTTATCGATGCCTTCACTATCTTCTAATTTATTGGAGTATAAGGATTCAAAATAATTTTTGATTATCTTCTGTATTTCTGAAGTGTCTGTTGTGATATTGCCTTTTTCATCCCGTATGCTAGTAATTTGAGTTCTCTCTCTTCTTCTCTTCGCTAGCATCGCTAAGGGTCTGTCGATTTTGTTTATTTTTTCAAAGAACCAACTTTTAGTTTTGTCAATTTTTTCAATTGTTTCTTTTGTTTCGATTTCATTAATTTCAGCTCTGATTTTAATTATTTCTTGCCTTCTACTTCTTTTGCTGTTGTTTTGCTCTTCTTTTTCTAGGATTTTGAGATGAAGCATGAGATCATTTATTTGTTGGTTTTTTCTTTTTTTAAGGAATGAACTCCAAGCAATGAATTTTCCTCTTAGAACTGCTTTCAATGTGTCCCACAGATTCCGATATGTTGTGTCTGTGTTTTCATTAATCTCTAAGAATTTTTTAATTTCCTCCTTGATGTCTTCTATAACCCATTGATCATTCAGTAACCTATTGTTCATTCTCCAAGTGATGTATGCTTTTTCCTTCCTTCTTTTATCGTTGATTTTCAGTTTCATTCCATTATGGTCAGATAAGATGCATGGTATTATCTCTACTCCTTTATATTGTCTAAGCGTTGCCCTGTGACATAATATATGATCTATTTTTGAGAAGGATCCATGTGCTGCTGAGAAAAAAGTGTAACTGCTTGATGTTGGGTGGTATATTCTATATATGTCAATTAAGTCTAGGTTATTAATAGTGTTATTGAGTTCTATAGTTTCCTTATTCAACTTTTGTTTGGAAGATCTGTCCAGTGGCGAGAGAGGTGTGTTGAAGTCTCCCATGATTATTGTATGGTGGTCTATTAGACTCTTGAACTTGAGAAGAGTTTGTTTGATGAACATAGCTGCGCCATTGTTTGGGGCATATATATTTATGATTGTTATGTCTTGTTGGTGTATGGTTCCCTTAAGCAGTATGTAGTGTCCCTCTTTATCCCTTTTGATTAACTTTGGCTTGAAATCTATTTTATTTGATATGAGTATGGACACTCCTGCTTTTTTCCGAAGTCCATATGAGTGATATGATTTTTCCCAACCTTTCACCTTCAGCCTATGTATGTCTTTTCCTATCAAATGCGTCTCCTGTAGGCAGCATATTGTTGGGTCTTGTTTTGAGATCCATTCTACTAGCCTGTGTCTCTTAATTGGTGAGTTTAAGCCATTAACATTTAGGGTTATTATTGAGATATGGGTTGTTGTTCCAGCCATATTTGTTTATTTATGTTACTAAACATGGTTTGTTTTCCTCTTTGATTATTCCCCCCCCTTTACTGTCCTACCTCCCACTGTTGGTTTTCATTGTTATTTTCCATTTCCTCTTCCTGTAATGTTTTGCTGAGGATGTTTTGAAGAGATGGTTTTCTAGCTGCATATTCTTTTAACTTTTGTTTGTCGTGGAAGGTTTTAATTTCATCTTCCATCCTGAAGCTTAATTTCGCTGGATACACAATTCTTGGTTGGAACCCATTTTCTTTCAGTGTTTGAAATATGTTATTCCAGGATCTTCTAGCTTTCAGAGTCTGTGTTGAAAGATCAGCTGTTATCCTGATTGGCTTGCCCCTAAATGTAATCTGCTTCCTTTCTCTTGTAGCTTTTAAAATTCTCTCCTTATTCTGTATGTTGGGCATCTTCATTATAATGTGTCTAGGTGTGGATCTCTTATAATTTTGCACATTCGGCGTCCTGTAGGCTTCTAGAATTTGGGATTCTGTCTCATTCTTCAAGTCTGGGAAGTTTTCTCGTATTATTTCATTAAATAAATTGCTCATTCCTTTGGTATGGAGTTCTATACCTTCCTGTATCCCAATGACTCTTAAGTTTGGTCTCTTAATGTTATCCCATATTTCTTGGATGTTCTGCTCATGGTTTCTTAACAGTCTTGCTGAGCTGTCTATGTTCTTTTCAAGTTGAAATACTTTGTCTTCATTGTCTGATGTTCTATCTTCTAAGTGTTCTACTCTGCTGGTAGTACTCTCAATTGAGTTTTTAAGTTGGTTTATTGCTTCCTGCATTTCTAGGATTTCTGTTTGTTTGTTTTTTATAACCTCTATCTCCCTGTATAGTTGATCCTTTGCTTCCTGGATTTGTTTGTGTAATTCCTTGTCGAAGTGATCTTTCATTGTCTGATTTTGCTGTCTAATTTCTTCCTTGATACTCCAGATCATCTGAAGCATATATATCCTGAATTCTTTATCTGACATTCCATCTGCTGCAGCTGTTACCTCTTCTAAAGTTGAGCTGACCTGCATTGCTTGTAGTCCTTTCTTTCCTTGTCTTTTCATACTGCTTGCGTTTCTTTCTTCTTGGTGAAACTGTTGTGTTTTTGAAATTTTCCCCCCCCTATATATTTATGTTGCTCTTGTATAGTTGAAAATTCTCCCTTGCAGGTGTGGGCAGGGGCTCTGCTCTGCCCCTCCTCCAATTGGTGTGAGGTGTCTACCACGCCCGCGGACCCCTGGGCCTGATCCGCTGTTATGTCGCAGGTCTGCCTACCTTGCAGGTGGGGGCGAAGGCTCTGCCCTGCCCCTCCTACCACGCCCGGGGACCGCTAGGCCTGATCTGCAGGTTGGTCGCAGGTCTGCCCACCTTGTGGGCAAGGGTGTCAGTTCCGCTCCGCCCCCACTCCAATTGGGGTCACTTGACCACCACACAGGCGAGCCGCTGGGCCTGATCTGGGCGCGGGCTAAGGCTCTGCTCTGCCCCTACTCCAGTTGGGGTGAAGTGTGTACCACGCTGGCAGGCCGCTGGGCCTGATCCACAGGTCTGTCGCAGGTCTGCTTACCTTGCCAGCGCGGGCGGTGGCTCTGCCCTGCCCCTCTTACCACGCCTGCAGACCGCTGGGCCTGATCTGCAGGTTGGTCGCAGGTCTTCCTACCTTGCGGGCGTGGGCAGCGGCCCCTCTCCTCGCCTCTGGCTCAACGACAAAGCGAGAGAGACTCGGGTATCTGTGACTCACCCTCCCTACCAGGGGACCAACTGTTTCCGTCGCCGCTGGCACCGATGAAGTTTTCTCCTCGGCCGCTCTCCGATGACATCAGATCTCTGCCATGCTGGCATCCCCTGTTCTATGGCTGAATCCCATTTTCTTCTCTTCCAATAGGCGGAGCTGTGCCCTCTGAGCTGAGCTTCTGCCCTCTATGTGCTGACAGAAATCCCTGTACGGTGGCTCCTGGGAGTCTCTCAATCCTGTTAGTCCAGAGCCCTTTCACTTATCCCGCCCCTCCCCCTGTTCCTCCTCCCAGCCAGCCAGCCAGGTCCTGTTCACCAGAGGCGGTTCCCCAAGGATCTGATTACACTTGCAGCCCCACCGCGTGTCCTATATCCCGAACGATGAACACCCTCTCTGTCATTCAATTAAGCCCCAGTGCTGTGGTGGGGTGATCTGGGAACCAACAGTTAAATTTTTCAGGACCCCTTTGGTGGGCACGCCCCCAGAAACTGGCGGCTAAGATCTTGGGTGTCGCCGCTGGTGTTAAGGGGAGGTGGGGATCTGGAGTCCCCTCTGCTTCCCTACAGACACGCCCCCGGTGGTTTCCTGGCTGCTTGTATCTGGAGGGGGTGGGAGTCACACACCTGCTAATGTGGATTCCGCTGGGAAGGAATTCTGTCGGCGGAACTCTGGTGATGTCACCACTCTGCTATGGCAGGCCCCAGGCTCCTTGCCAGAGTGTCCGAAGGGAGGGGTGGGACTGGTCTGTCTCTGGTTGGTTTCAGCTCCCGGTTTGCTATTTCATGAAGGCTTGGCGAGAGACCTCTTCCTAGAGTCCCTACACCGCTCCTGCTGCGCTGCGCCTTGGAGGCTATCCGCCCTGACGCGGGCCGCGTGCAGGCAGCCGACAGTCGCCGAGTCGCGCGGGCAGCGGCTGGCGGGTCTGGACCTCTGCGCTGCGTGGCGGAGATTCACTCGTCTAGCGCAGACTGTCACCTTCAAAAATCCTTCCAATTCCCGGCCGGTCTCTCTTTAGTGGAATTTTGCTAGGAGTTTCTCAGCAGGTCATATCTAAGCGTATCCATGCGTCTCTCTGACCCCTTTGTTGAGGAGGTACTGAAAGCGCTGCCTCCCCTCTCGCCGCCATGTTGGATCCCCCTCAGAGAACTTTTCTATCATCCTCAAAGCCACACCAGGCGGTGGCCAGGCCTTTCCTGATGGTAGGCAAGCTCTAACCAGAGTTGTCAGTTATTTTTCTAAATCATGTGGAACTTTACCAGGCCTCTGTGTGAGAGATAGCCCATGGGGTTTCCTTAGCAAAGGACCATTCTACGCTTGAAAGCCCATTTACTCTTTATTTAAATAAAGTTACCTGTGTCCCCTCAGTGCCCGTGTGAGAGAAGGAAGTTAGCAGAAGGGGTCATGCTGAGGCTGATCCATCTCCCATTCTTCCTAGTAACCAGGACTCTCATTTCCTTCTCTCCATGTCCTGGTGGTATGATGCAGGGGCTGACCTACTGGAAGAGCATCTTGGTGAAATCCGGAACCTGCGCCAGCGGCTGGAAGAGTCCATCTGCATCAATGACCGCCTGCGGGAGCAGCTGGAACACCGGCTCAGTTCCACTGCCCGTGACAGTGGTAGGGAAGGCCCAGCTCTTCCTGTTTCTGGATGTATTTAGGGAACTTTTGAAGAAAAGGCCCTTTGGCAGAGTTTCAGTTTTCAAACCCTTTGGTATACTTTCCTTCAGTAGCTCCCTACAGACCGTCTAGCAAGGGAGATGGCTAAGTGTTTTTATCCTACTTCATGAATGTATCTGAGCTTAGAGAATAACTTTCCTCCAGGCCGAACTAGGTCTAGTACCCAGAGTCTACTTATTTCTCACATCATACTTAATCTCCTTACATGCTGCCTACTGATTCTGTGTGTCCTTGTGATTGGCATGTGCTAAAACCTGATCTATAAGGGCCTTCCCCGACTATTTCTTCTCTCTCCCCGTGCTCTTCCTCTGAGCTGCTGGCACTTAGAGTTTTGGGAGCTTTCTGCTGGGTTGGGACAAAAGATCTATGGGAGATACAGAATGGCAAACTTTTGGAAGTATCTGTAACTCAAATGTCTATTTCCCTGGACAGGATCCACCTCTCACTTCTACAGTCAGAGCCTGGAATCTATGCCTCAGCTCTACAATGAGAACAGAGCCCTCAGGGAAGAAAACCGGAGCCTTCAAGCTCAGCTGAGTCACGTTTCCAGAGGTAGGTGGACAAAAATCACAAACTGGTAACACCCATGTCTCTTTCTTCCCTGGCCACAGCAGTCACCAATTGGAGAAGCAAAGAAAAGAAGGCAGAGATAACAGCTATTAAGCTGTTAATCTACCAATTCAAGATTCTCGTAGCCATTGTCACTCTACAAAGGGCTGCTTCCTAAGAGGTCCCAACCATGGCCCTCCCAAGAAGTCCATCACTTCTGTGAAGTCCACCTACAGAGGTCCAGAGTCATTAACTTTCAAACTGGTTATCAGTTTGAGATTTACTCTACCTCCTCCCATTCACAGCTGGTTTGGACCCTTGAAAGGAAGAAGTGTGTGTGTGTGTGTGTGTGTGTATTTCCTGTCACATTTCTCCACACTGAACTGCAGCAGTGTGTCCCTCATCTGTTCTTCTGTCACCTCACCACATCCCCTCACTATACATTTCATGCTGCTCTCTGATAGGTAGTCCTATACTTCTATGTCAGGAGGTACTAGCAAATGTTCTCCATAACTCTCTCAACTGTATTTGATGGGCATCTATGAGTAAGTGTCATTTCTCATGTGACCTGGGAGGCACCTGATTTAGAGTTAATTGACCCAATCAAATCAATGTATAACCATCACAAATTCTTTTTGTTTACAGATATTTATTAAATATCTACAAAAAGGCTAAGAATAGTTTCTGAGAGGAATAAATCCAGAATGAAGGAATGCTTGAGGAAGCCAAAGGCTTCAAGAGATAATTCCTTAATTAGTCACTCTGAAGCATACTTCAGAGGAAAGGTTCCTGCTTGGGGAAGATAACAAAAGTTAATAGTTAAGAGAGAAGGAAGAGTGACTAAACTATCATTGCATATTTGGAAAGAATAGAACAGACCTTACTGGTGAGAAGAGAGTAGAGATTTAAATGAGTACTGTTTGCTAGGCCCAGGCAAGTTCCACTTCAGAGGACTGATTAAACATCCAGCCTTATTCTCAGGGTTCCTATCAATCATATTTGAAAATTTGTGATCAGAGAGAGATGCTGCTAGCCCTGCCAAAAACAAATGTCCCAATTTTCAAAATGATGAAAAAATATATTCTAAAAACCATGGTCAAGAAATCTTGATGTTGATCTTTGGCAAATTTGAGATATATTGTTGAACAAACAATAAGTGGTAAGCTTTAGATACCAGAATGTCTTCTTTCAGAGTGAGGGAGGCCATACTAAATGAGAGAATCAGGCACTGCAAAAATGGAGGTATACCGGACTTTAGCATGTATGGGTACAGTAAGCCAAACTCTGTCCCTATGCCTTACCTTGGTTTTGATTGGTGCACTTGGGATCATCTCCCTCCTGAGCTTTGACCCCACACCTGTTGTTCTGCCCACCAGGGCACTCACAGGAAACAGAATGCCTGAGGGACGCTCTGTTCTCCTCTCGATCCCGCCTTCAAGAGCTGGAAAAGGAGCTGGAGCAGCAAAAGATGGAGCGGCAGCAGCTTCTAGAAGACCTGCAGGAGAAGCAACAGGAGATCTTGCATTTCAGGGAGGAACGTCTGTCCCTCCAGGAAAATGACTCCAGGTAAGGGGAAGGGGGCCCCATTTTCAGATTTATAAGGTATATTGGCAAGACAGTAGTGTCCTCTTTGGGAAGCCTGGTTTTCCATCTGCTATTCCTGCTTCCTGGGTGAATTTGAGCAGAGGAGGGCCTCTCTAGGGATACCTTTTGCACTCCAAAGTGGAGTTACATAAGACTTGCATGTACCAGAGACTGGAGAAAGACCATTCCCATGCTGTCAATTAGATACAGGACATTACTTTCACCTTTACCTGGAAGCTGCCTCAGCAGCACAAGTTTGAGTGATGTTTATCCAAAGCACAAGCTCCACAACTACCTGTCAGCATGAAGAGCACTGGGGGTCCAGTGAAGACACTATGCTGGTGTGTCTGTCCTGGTCCTAGCTTAGGTAACTAATGCTGCTTCACACCAAGTTACTTTACCTGTCCCAGGCTCTGCTTCTACATCTGTAAAGTAAAGGAGATGGTCTTCCTGATCCCTGAGGGGATGTCTAGAGCTAAAACTCTAGGAAGCAAAGGTTGGCTCATAGTGTATTGCACAAGTATGGCTGAGCAGCCCTGCCAGCTCAGTGGGCCCTTGCTTCTCCCTGGCAGACTGCAACACAAGCTGGCCCTCCTGCAGCAGCAGTGTGAAGAGAAACAGCAGCTCTTCCAGTCCCTGCAGTCAGAGCTACAGATCTATGAGGCACTTTATGGAAATTCTAAAAAAGGACTAAAAGGTATGTTTTCCTTCTCCCTCTCCTCTTAAAGCCCAAGCACGAGACATTAGTGGCATGGGCAAGATTCAGTCTGGGTGCTCTTACAATAGGCCACAAGAATCAAACTTCACCTACTTAGGTAGTTAGAAACAAATTAATCAATGTGAGATTATACCATGTTTTTAATGCAAAGAACTATTCTGGTGCTATCATCATTTGTGAAGGTCTTAAATATTATAAATAATATATAATGACAGCCCATGCAGCCATTCTACTTTACCTTAATCCTGACCCCCCAACTCACTATGGGAAAATTAAGAGATATAAAACAAAAGTTATTGTGTCCATCTGCAACTAAAAAAAATTTTTAAAAGTATACATATATATGTATATAATTGGCTTTTAAAAATACCTTCGAAACCTTAAAATTTCAAGCCTGATTTTAAATATTAGCATTTTTATTGAGGACTTTTGCCACCTGCTGAAATAATAATCTAGTTTTTGAGAATTTTGGTATATTTCCCTATTTGTCTTCTTTAGATGAAGAAGGCACATTTGAATTTTCTTAAAACTGGATTTAGTTTCCTAGTTTACTAAAAAGGGAAAATGAACTAAAACTTGAAGCACAGGGGTCTTACCAGGCTGAGAGAATAGCAAATGTACAAAGCCAATGTGAATGTTGGGTCAGAGGAGAGATCAGCCTGTCTATAGCTTGATTGGAGGAGTAAGAAATCAGATTAATGGAATGAGAGACACCAGTGCATAGAAAACCCATAATTCAGCATAGAGGTTTATATACAATGGAAATAACTATGCTTTTTTCTTTTTCAATGAAAGAAAGTATGTAATGAAAACAGAATTTTAAGATGTTAAGTCTGGTGGGACATTTTAGAGACATTAGAATCTAAAAAACCTCTTGGATGGCCAAATAATTTGGGGAGCTTTAAAAAGTGAGAGCTTAATATAAGGTGCTTGGGAAGATAAAGAAGGATACATGAAAAAAAAACACATGACACATGTTTCATAAAAAAATACCGACAATAAGCAAAACTTAGTGGGAATTTGGATCTAGGGAGAGAAAGGGAGGAGTGTGATAGAAACTTTGGATTAGTTTCTGAAGCCACTTGATCCTAAACCACTTCCCCTTTCATTCCATTCCTCCAGTTCATGGGTCTTTTAGGATTTATTACAAAGCTGTTGCCACTACAACTCCAAAATTCCTTATTTTTAATTCCAAAATCCAATAAGAATTAAAATTGAATTAAAAGCTTTTTCATATACTCTTTAACTGAATGACAAGAGGACATTTATAGTCTTCAAATAATCACTTGATGGGTAAATAGCTGTGGGCCAGATGCAATTTGGTGCAAGTAATTCAAGGCACCCTCTTGCATGGTATATGCACCCTCTTGCCTTGCTAGAAATCAAAACCAATTCCGTCTTTTAAAATATATTTGGCTTTGGGCTTGGGTTGTGGCTTAGTGGTAGAGTGCTTGCCTAGCATGCGTTAAGCACAGGTTTCAATCCCCAGCACCATATAAAAATAAACAAATAAAGTTATTGTGTCCATCTGCAACTAAAAAATTTTTTAAAAAGTATACATATATATGTATATATTTGGCTTTAAGGTAAAATATTTCTGAGATCTTTTCATTATAGTATGTACAAATATGTGTGGTAAGTAGAAATGAAAACCATAGAGAAGCTGAAAAATTCACTTTGTTAGGACCCCTGTCTAAAGTACTTGACTCCCATTTTTACATGTTACCAAAAGTCCTGGTGCATTCCTCCTCTCCCTCTTTGATTTCTGAGGGCAGAGGTGATCAAATCTTCTCCCTCAGCCCCTACCCTTCTCTAGTTGAGTGCTGACCTCCTGCCTTGGAGGATCCTGTTCTCCAGCCTGCAGAACTAAGGTTAATATGGAGGTGAGATAACAGATTTGTTATTGTCTGCCAAACAAATGCCTTTAAGTACATGGGGATAATTTTGAACCTCGGAAAATTCCAAACTGAAAATGTGTCACCTTGGTGTGTCCCAGGGGCTACACAGGAATGATTAACATCTCTACCACAGATTTGCTGCCCAAGTCCAAGACTACAGTAAGGTCCTTGGCAGAAAAGAATGTCACAGAACAGTATTCTCACAAGTGCTTGTAAATACATGGGCCAATGCAACCAAACCCCTCTTCTCTCTTCTTTTAGCTTTCAGCCTGGATGGCTGTCACCAAGTTCCTTTGAACAGTGACTTGAACCACCTGGTGGCAGAGATACGAGCTCTGAGAGGGCAACTAGAACAGAGCATTCAGGTGAACAATTGTCTGCGGCTACAGCTGGAGCAGCAGTTAGATGGTGGTACTGGCAAAGGCAGCCTCAGCCCCTCCACTGTGAGCCAGAACTTCCCAACCAACCCTGACCCTGGAAATAAGCAGTCACTCTTTCAAGGTAGGAAGGACAAAGAATCAAGAAGCCCTTAGCCAGTGGGGCGATACCAATATGTGTGCAGTGGAAGGGGTACTCTTGCTTCTCTTAGGTTCCTTAGGGTCAAGTTCTCAAATTGGAGAGGCTTTAATATGGTGTCCTGAGAGCATGGGATTTAGAGTCAGACCTGTCTCCAGATTCTGCGTTTACCATTATAGGTGGTTTGCTTTGGGCAATGTGTTTAAACAATGAAGTGTTGAAGCCTTGGTTTCCTCAACTTGCAGATGGTAATAATATAAAATATATACCATGTATGGTTATTTGGAGCATTGAATTAAATCATTTTCAAGTGTCTGGCACAATAAGAATTGCTCAATAATTATCAGCTATATATGTTAACATCTATTCCTTGTATTTGTGTAGTCCCTTACAATTTACCAAGCATTTTCAAATATTTAATTTCCTCTGAAGTACATGAGAAAACTGGGCATTGAGATATTAATGGACAAGCTAGGGTTTATAGAACTTAGGGACAAAATCAGGTTAGAACCAGATATTTTGATTCCCAATCTGTATCTTTTTTCACCTTGCCAGACTCTATCTCAGTATCACAGACCTTGCCACACTCTCTAGAGTGGCCCTTTCCTTCATCTGGGGGAACTCGGCATGTGGCAAGATACTCCTATCCCTAAGAAAACCAGGGCTATGGGAAAGTACTAGGTGGCAAGCGTGATAATTCCAGGTGACAGACATCCACTTCTGCCCCATCCTCTTGCCTGCATGTAAATACACATGTTCATCAGATCTGTATTACTCTCTTCAATATCTAGTCTCAGTTTTGCTTTCCTCACTTTAATTGAAAGTTAACAGATCTCTCATACCTAAGCTCTTCACACATCATTCAACTTCTGCATCTTCTTCTGTTTTTACTTTTGATGTATCATTTAACCCACTTTCTCCACTCACCTGCATGGCCATATCGCCAATTTTATTCTAATCAAGAATCACTGATGCTCAGGTTTCCATAAGGCTGAGCTTTCAAACTCTCCTGTCTGATGTTACTGAGTCAAGTTAATCCTTATTTTTTCCTTTTTTGCTGAATACTCATTTATGAAACTATGACCTCAATTGTCAAATGAAAGGGACAATTACATGGACTTGTTGTGGCCATCAAGTAAGAAATATCTATGGACTGCTAAGTACCGTACTCAGTTGGCATCAACTTCTCAGCATTTATTGAATGTCTGTTTCACCCTTATGGGGCTGTCATGATGGACATGGTCTTGAGTCATGGGAAAGTACTGGGTGGCAGGCATGTTCATTCTAGGTGACAGACATCCACTTCTGCCCCATCCTCTTGCCTCTAACCAAGTTTCCCCTCTTAGAGTTTTTCCTTGTACCAGCTGAGATGCAGCCCCATGGTTTAGTCCCTTCTTCCTCCCAGTCCCCAGAGACCTGAGCTGGAAACCTCACTCTGACCCACATTTCCCCTAGCAGTACCTTCCTGTCTTTTTTTTTTTTTTTTGATATTTCACATTTTTTATCAACTTTATTTTTTCTTTTTGCAGTACTAGGGAATCAAACCCAGGGTCTTAGGGCTGGGGATATAGCTCAGTTGGTAGAGTGCTTGCCTTGCATGCACAAGGCCCTGGGGTTGATCCCCAGCACCAAAAAAAGAAAAAAAAAAAAAAAAACCCAAGGAGGCTGTAGATGTAGATCAGTGTTAGAGCACTTGCCTCACAAGTGTGAGGCACTGGGTTCAATTCTCAGTACTGCATAAAAATAAACAAATAAAAAATATTTAAAAAAACAACAAACCCAGGGCCTTGTGCATAATATGCAAGCAGTCCATCACTGAGTTGTACCACTACCTTTGATTAACATTTTAACATATGTATGCATACATCTATGCATTATACAAAATAGCACATACAAAATTCTACTCAGGATTGGGTTTATAAAATGATATCTAACAATGGGCTGGGGGTATGGCTCAGTGGCAGAGTGTTTGCCTAGCATGTGTGAGGCACTGGGTTCAATTCTCAGCACCACATATAAATAAGTAAAATAAATATTTTTTTAAAAATTATATCTAACAAGTTTTTAAATGGAAAGTTACACTTTTTTTCCTGAATAATGGAAACATACCAAGCGAACTGATTGTTGGCTTTTGCTTTACATTGTGGCATATGGATGCTAATGTTGTGAAAGGGGAGTCCTGTCAACTTAGACTTGGGTGGTAAAGACTAGGCTGTTCATGATTTGGGGTGCAGAATGTTCCAGGGGTTCTGAAAATTTTGATTGTCTTTACTCCCTAGATTCAGTTACTTCCCCTCCAGTTCGTGATGTTGGCATGAATTCTCCTTCTCTGGTCCTTCCCAGCTCTTCTTCCTCTTCTCCTGGCTCAGACACTGCCATTGTCACCAGGAAAAATGGTAAATATGGCAACTAAGTGGCTCAGACACCATGACGGAAAATTATTAATGCAAATAACTGTTAGTTCTCTGTAAGTACAATATCTGAATTTAGAAAATTTTCTCTGCATGCCAGAAAACCTTCAGTCCTATTCATTGAATCTTCTGTGGCTGCCTTTCTTTTCATTCTTCTTCTTCCCACAGTTGTCCTGTTGTTCTGTTTGCATCATTGCCCTGTAATCCCTCCGTTCATATATGTGCTGTGTCCTGCTGATTTACTTGTCTGTGCCTTTTCTTTTTTTTTTATTGTTGGTTGTTCAAAACATTACATAGTTCTTGATACATCATCTTTCACACTTTGCTTCAAGTGGGTTATGAACTCCCATTTTTAGCCCATATACAGATTGCAGAATCACATCAATTACACATCTATGGATTTACATATTGCCATACTAGTGACTGTCGTGTTCTGCTACCTTTCCTATCCTCTACTATCCCCCCTCCCCTCCCCTCCCCTCTTCTCTCTCTACCCCCTCTACTGACCTTCATTTCTCCCCCTTGTATTATTTTTCCCTTTCCCCTCATTTCCTCTTGTATGTTCTTTTGTATAACCCTGAGGGTCTCCTTCCATTTCCATGCAATTTCCCTTTTCTCTCCCTTTCCCTCCCACCTCTCATCTCTGTTTAATGTTAATCTTCTTCTCATGCTCTTCGTCCCTACTCTGTTCTTAGTTACTCTCCTATTTGGCATTTGTTTTTTAGGGATTGGCTAGCTTCACTTAGCATAATTTGCTCTAGTGCCATCCATTTCCCTGCAAATTCTATGATTTTGTCATTTTTTAATGCAGAGTAATACTCCATTGTGTATAAATGCCACATTTTTTTAATCCATTCGTCTATTGAAGGGCATCTGGGTTGGTTCCACAGTCTTGCTATTGTGAATTGAGCTGCTATGAACATCGATGTAGCAGTGTCCCTGTAGCATGCTCTTTTTAGGTCTTTAGGGAATAGACCAAGAAGGGGAATAGCTGGGTCAAATGGTGGCTCCATTCCCAGCTTTCCAAGAAATCTCCATATTGCTTTCCAAATTGGCTGCACAAATTTGCAGTCCCACCAGCAATGTACAAGTGTACCCTTTTCCCCACATCCTCGCCAGCACTTGTTGTTGTTTGACTTCATAATGGCTGCCAATCTTACTGGAGTGAGATGGTATCTTAGGGTGGTTTTGATTTGCATTTCTCTGACTGCTAGAGATGGTGAGCATTTTTTCATGTACTTGTTGATTGATTGTATGTCCTCCTCTGAGAAGTGTCTGTTCAGGTCCTTGGCCCATTTGTTGATTGGGTTGTTTGTTATCTTATTGTCTAATTTTTTGAGTTCTTTGTATACTCTGGATATTAGGGCTCTATCTGAAGTGTGAGGAGTAAAGATTTGTTCCCAGGATGTAGGCTCTCTATTTACCTCTCTTATTGTTTCTTTAGCTGAGAAAAAACTTTTTAGTTTGAGTAAGTCCCATTTGTTGATTCTAGTTATTAACTTTTGTGCTATGGGTGTCCTATTGAGGAATTTGGAGCCCGACCCCACAGTATGTAGATCGTAGCCAACTTTTTCTTCTATCAGACGACGTGTATCTGATTTGATATCAAGCTCCTTGATCCATTTTGGGTTAACTATTGTGCATGGCGAGAGAAAGGGATTCAGTTTCATTTTGTTGCATATGGATTTCCAGTTTTCCCAGCACCATTTGTTGAAGATGCTATCCTTCCTCCATTGCATGCTTTTAGCCCCTTTATCAAATATAAGATAGTTGTAATTTTGTGGATTGGTTTCTGTGTCCTCTATTCTGTACCATTGGTCCACCCGCCTGTTTTGGTACCAGTACCATGCTGTTTTTGTTACTATTGCTCTGTAGTATAGTTTGAAGTCTGGTATCGCTATACCGCCTGATTCACACTTCCTGCTTAGCATTTTTTTTTTTTTGCTATTCTGGGTCTTTTATTTTTCCATATGAATTTCATGATTGCTTTCTCTATTTCTACAAGAAATGCCGTTGGGATTTTGATTGGGATTGCATTAAACCTATAGAGAACTTTTGGTAATATCGCCATTTTGATGATGTTAGTTCTGCCTATCCATGAACAGGGTATATTTTTCCATCTTCTAAGATCTTCTTCTATTTCTCTCTTTAGGGTTCTGTAGTTTTCATTGTATAAGTCTTTCACCTCTTTTGTTAGGTTGATTCCCAAGTATTTTATTTTTTTTGAAGATATTGTGAATGGAGTGGTTGTCCTCATTTCCATTTCAGAGGATTTGTCACTGATATACAGGAATGCCTTTGATTTATGCGTGTTGATTTTATATCCTGCCACTTTGCTGAATTCATTTATTAGCTCTAATAGTTTCTTTGTAGAGCCTTTTGGGTCTGCTAGATATAGAATCATATCATCTGCAAATAGTGATAATTTAAGTTCTTCTTTTCCTATTTTTATGCCTTTAATTTCTTTCGTCTGTCTAATTGCTTTGGCCAGCATTTCGAGAACTATGTTGAACAGAAGTGGTGAAAGAGGGCATCCCTGTCTTATTCCAGATTTTAGAGGGAATGCCTTCAGTTTTTCTCCATTCAGAATTATGCTAGCCTGAGGCTTAGCATAGATTGCTTTTACAATATTGAGGTATGTTCCTGTTATCCCTAGTTTTTCTAGTGTTTTGAACATAAAGGGATGCTGTACCTTGTCGAATGCTTTTTCCGCATCTATCGAGATGATCATATGGTTCTTATTTTTAAGTCTATTGATGTGGTGAATAACATTTATTAATTTCCGTATATTGAACCAGCCTTGCATCCCAGGGATGAATCCTACTTGATCATGGTGCACAATTTTTTTGATATGTTTTTGTATCCGATTCGCCAGAATTTTATTGAGGATTTTTGCATCTAGGTTCATTAGAGATATTGGTCTGAAGTTTTCTTTCTTTGAAGTGTCTTTGTCTGGTTTAGGTATCAGGGTGATATTGGCCTCGTAGAATGAATTTGGAAGTTCTCCCTCTTTTTCTATTTCCTGAAGTAGCTTGAAAAGTATTGGTATTAGTTCCTCTTTAAAGGTTTTGTAAAATTCTGCTGTATACCCATCCGGTCCTGGGCTTTTCTTAGTTGGTAGTCTTTTGATGGTTTCTTCTATTTCCTCGATTGATATTGGTCTGTTTAGGTTGTCTATATCCTCCTGACTCAATCTGGGCAGATCATATGACTTAAGAAATTTATCTATGCCTTCACTATCTTCTAATTTATTGGAGTATAAGGATTCAAAATAATTTTTGATTATCTTCTTTATTTCTGAAGTGTCTGTTGTGATATTGCCTTTTTCATCCCGTATGCTAGTAATTTGAGTTCTCTCTCTTCTTCTCTTCACTAGCATGGCTAAGGGTCTGTCGATTTTGTTTATTTTTTCAAAGAACCAACTTTTAGTTTTGTCAATTTTTTCAATTGTTTCTTTTGTTTCTGTTTCATTAATTTCAGCTCTGATTTTAATTATTTCTTGCCTTCTACTTCTTTTGCTGTTGTTTTGCTCTTCTTTTTCTAGGATTTTGAGATGAAGTATGAGATCATTTATTTGTTGGTTTTTTCTTTTTTTAAGGAATGAACTCCAAGCAATGAATTTTCCTCTTAGAACTGCTTTCAATGTGTCCCATAGATTCCGATATGTTGTGTCTGTGTTTTCATTAATCTCTAAGAATTTTTTAATTTCCTCCTTGATGTCTTCTATAACCCATTGATCATTCAGTAACCTATTGTTCATTCTCCAAGTGATGTATGCTTTTTCCTTCCTTCTTTTATCGTTGATTTTCAGTTTCATTCCATTATGATCAGATAGGATGCATGGTATTATCTCTACTCCTTTATATTGTCTAAGAGTTGCCCTGTGACATAATATATGATCTATTTTTGAGAAGGATCCATGTGCTGCTGAGAAAAAAGTGTAACTGCTTGATGTTGGGTGGTATATTCTATATATGTCAATTAAGTCTAGGTTATTAATTGTGTTATTGAGTTCTATAGTTTCCTTATTCAACTTTTGTTTGGAAGATCTGTCCAGTGGCAAGAGAGGTGTGTTGAAGTCTCCCATGATTATTGTATGGTGGTCTATTAGACTCTTGAACTTGAGAAGGGTTTGTTTGATGAACATAGCTGCACCATTGTTTGGGGCATATATATTTATGATTCTTATGTCTTGTTGGTGTATGGTTCCCTTAAGCAGTATGTAGTGTCCCTCTTTATCCCTTTTGATTAACTTTGGCTTGAAATCTATTTTATTTGATATGAGTATGGACACTCCTGCTTGTTTCCGAAGTCCATATGAGTGATATGATTTTTCCCAACCTTTCACCTTCAGCCTATGTATGTCTTTTCCTATCAAATGCGTCTCCTGTAGGCAGCATATTGTTGGGTCTTGTTTTGTGATCCATTCTAGTAGCCTGTGTCTCTTAATTGGTGAGTTTAAGCCATTAACATTTAGGGTTATTATTGAGATATGGGTTGTTCTTCCAGCCATATTTGTTTATTTATGTTACTAAACATGGTTTGTTTTCCTCTTTGATTATTCCCCCCACTTACTGTCCTACCTCCCACTGTTGGTTTTCATTGTTATTTTCCATTTCCTCTTCCTGTAATGTTTTGCCGAGGATGTTTTGAAGAGATGGTTTTCTAGCTGCATATTCTTTTAACTTTTGTTTGTCGTGGAAGGTTTTCATTTCATCTTCCATCCTGAAGCTTAATTTCGCTGGATACACAATTCTTGGTTGGAACCCATTTTCTTTCAGTGTTTGAAATATGTTATTCCAGGATCTTCTAGCTTTCAGAGTCTGTGTTGAAAGATCAGCTGTTATCCTGATTGGCTTGCCCCTAAATGTAATCTGCTTCCTTTCTCTTGTAGCTTTTAAAATTCTCTCCTTATTCTGTATGTTGGGCATCTTCATTATAATGTGTCTAGGTGTGGATCTCTTATAATTTTGCACATTCGGCGTCCTGTAGGCTTCTAGAATTTGGGATTCTGTCTCATTCTTCAAGTCTGGGAAGTTTTCTCGTATTATTTCATTGAATAAATTGCTCATTCCTTTGGTATGGAGTTCTATACCTTCCTGTATCCCAATGACTCTTAAGTTTGGTCTCTTTATGTTATCCCATATTTCTGGGATGTTCTGCTCATGGTTTCTTAACAGTCTTGCTGAGCTGTCTATGTTCTTTTCAAGTTGAAATACTTTGTCTTCGTTGTCTGATGTTCTATCTTCTAAGTGTTCTACTCTGCTGGTAGTATTCTCAATTGAGTTTTTAAGTTGGTTTATTGCTTCCTGCATTTCTAGGATTTCTGTTTGTTTGTTTTTTATAACCTCTATCTCCCTGTATAGTTGATCTTTTGCTTCCTGGATTTGTTTGTGTAATTCCTTGTGGAAGTGATCTTTCATTGTCTGATTTTGCTGTCTAATGTCTTCCTTGAGACTCCAGATCATCTGAAGCATATATATCCTGAATTCTTTATCTGACATTCCATCTGCTGCAGCTGTTACCTCTTCTAAAGTTGAGTTGACCTGCATCGCTTGTAGTCCTTTCTTTCCTTGTCTTTTCATACTGCTTGCGTTTCTTTCTTCTTGGTGAAACTGTTGTGTTTTTGAATTTTCCCCCCCCCTATATATTTATATTGCTCTTGTATAGTTGAAAAGTCTCCCTTTGCAGGTGCGGGCGGGGGCTCTGCTCTGCCCCTCCTCCAATTGGTGTGAGGTGTCTGCCACGCCCGCGGTCCCCTGGGCCTGATCCGCCGTTCTGTCGCAGGTCTGCCTACCTTGCAGGTGGGGGCGAAGGCTCTGCCCTGCCCCTCCTACCACGCCTGGGGACCGCTAGGCCTGATCTGCAGGTTGGTCGCCGGTCTGCCCACCTTGCGGGCACGGGTGTCAGTTCCGCTCTGCCCCCACTCCAATTGGGGTCATTGACCACCACACAGGCGGGCCGCTGGGCCTGATCTGGGCGCGGGCGAAGGCTCTGCTCTGCCTCCACTCCAGTTGTGGTGAAGTGTGTACCACGCTGGCAGGCCGCTGGGCCTGATCCGCCGGTCTGTCGCAGGTCTGCTTACCTTGCCGGCGCGGGCGGCGGCTCTGCCTTGCCCCTCCTACCAGGCCTGCAGACCGCTGGGCCTGATCTGCAGGTTGGTCGCAGGTCTGCCTACCTTGCGGGCGCGGGCAGCGGCCCCGCTCCTCCCCTCTGGCTCGACGACAAAGCGAGAGAGACTCTGGTATCTGTGACTCACCCTCCCTACCAGGGGAACAACTGTTTCCGTCGCCGCTGGCACCGATGAAGTTCTCTCCTCGGCTGCTCTCCGATGACATCAGATCTCTGCCATGCTGGCATCCCCTGTTCTATGGCTGAATCCCATTTTCTTCTCTTCCAATAGGAGGAGCTGTGCCCTCTGAGCCGAGCTTCTGCCCTCTATGTGCTGACAGAAATCCCTGTACTCTGGCTCCTGGGAGTCTCTCAATCCTGTTAGTCCAGAGCCCTTTCACTTATCCCGCCCCTCCCCCTGTTCCTCCTCCCAGCCAGCCAGCCAGGTCCTGTTCACCAGAGGCGGTTCCCCAAGGATCTGATTACACTTGCAGCCCCACCGCGTGTCCTATATCCCGAATGATGAACACCCTCTCTGTCATTCATCTAAGCCCCAGTGCTGTGGTGGGGTGATCTGGGAACCAACAGTTTAATTTTTCCGGACCCCTTTGGTGGGCACACCCCCAGAAACTGGCGGCTAAGATCTTGGGTGTCGCCGCTGGTGTTAAGGGGAGGTGGGGATCTGGAATCCCCTCTGCTTCCCTACAGACACACCCCCGGAGAGATTCCCGAGGTTTCCTGGCTGCTTGTATCTGGAGGGGGTGGGAGTCACATACCTGCTAACGTGGATTCTGCTGGGAAGGAATTCTGTCTGTGGAACTCTGGTGATGTCACCACTCTGCTATGGCGGGCCCCAGGCTCCTTGCCGGAGTGTCCGAAGGGAGGGGTGGGACTGGTCTATCTCTGGTTGGTTTCAGCTCCGGGTTCGCTATTTCATGAAGGCTTGGCGAGAGACCTCTTCCTAGAGTCCCTGCACCGCTCCTGCTGTGCTGCGCCTCGGAGGCTATCCGCCCTGAAGCGGGGGCCGCGTGCAGGCAGCCAACAGTCGCCGAGTCGCGCGGGCAGCGGCTGGCGGGTCTGGACCTCTGCGCTGCGTGTTGGAGATTCACTCGTCTAGCACAAACTGTCACCTCCAAAAATCCTACCGATTCCTGGCCGGTCTCTCTTTAGTGGAATTTTGCTAGGAGTTTCTCAGCAGGTCGAATCTAAGCGTATCCATGCGTCTCTCTGACCCTGTTGTTGAGGAGGTACTGAAAGCGCTGCCTCCCCTCTCGCCGCCATGTTGGATCCCCTGTCTGTGCCTTTTCTATCCATAAATTTTTCATGTTTATAATACTATTTGTCCTGAATAGTCCACTTTCAATAAAGATAAAATCTGTCTTCTAGCAAGTTTATTATGCAATGATGTAAGAAAGATTATAAAAATAAAGAAACCAGAAGGTCTGGACTTGACCCATCCTGCATTTTTGAAGGCTGCCTTTCTTGATCCTTTCACTGTCTCTTTGCATTGGCTGGAACTGAGGATATCATTATGAATAACAACAGATCCTATATTATCGTGGTTTTCTTTTACAGAGCTGGAATCAGATGCTCCTCAAGGAATGAAGAACTCTCCCAAGCTGGAGGGTGATACTACAGATGGCTCCTTCGCCAACAAAAATGGCCGCCATGTCATAGGCCACATCGATGACTATACTGCTCTCAGGGAGCAGATTGAGGAGGGAAAACCGCTGGTGCAAAAGATCCTGTCTCTCCTGAGACCCACATGCAACTTCCTGGGCCTTGAATCTCAGAGCTCAGAGGTAGTCACACCTGCACCTCCTGGGTTCACCCTTTCTTTGTGTCCTTTGTCCTTAGTTCTACTTCCTTCTCCACTATTTATTTTTGTGGCCTGCATCTCCCAATGACAGAGAAATCATCTTCCAGTTATTCTAGCCAAGCCCTTGCTTCCCTTTCTCTTGATTCATTCTAAGTTCTACTCTGTTGTAGAGAAGGCCAACTAGATAATCTTCCTTAGAGCCCCAGAGAAGTCTGTGCAACATTGTCACCATCCTCAGTAGTGCATTTGTTAAGTATTGACATTCATGTGATGTTGTGTTGAACTCAGCACCCTCTGCTAGTTATTACCTGTTACACTCATGGTGGCCCATGCTGGCCCACTTAAAATCAATCAGATGGACAGATGCTGAGGGATTTGCGTCCATAAGGACCTTGTGTGTGTGCGGAAAGGGTAAGAAGTGGGACACTATGGTATTTGTTGAGACAGAGCAAAGGCTGGGAAGCAGTGCTTCTCAGAGTACTTTACTGTTGAGAGAGACCAAGGATCAGTGACTATGCCGAGCCACCAGAGACCCATGGATGAATAGACACAGCCCTGCCTCCAGAGAGCCTGGACTCAAGGGCAAGACACAGACTTCTGTTGATAAGCAAACTAAGGTGCCAAGAGCACGATGTGAGAAGCCACCTCTTGTGCCTTGAATGGACCAATGCAGAAGGGTCTTTTGTTGCAGGAAAGGAAGGTAACAGGTCTATAGAGGACATGACATGGGAATGTGCTTTGATAGACTTATAGGGTGTCCAGGTGGGAGGAGGCATTCCAGGTAAAGGGAGCAGCACTTCAGTCCTGGGACCTCACAGGGATGAACCAGGATTTTATAGGTTCAAGCATCCCATGTTTTGTGCCTCACTTAAAAGGAAGCAAGCTTAAGACCTGTACAGGCCTGCGATATCCTGAGCCCTGAGATATCTCAGCTTCAATGTTTTCCATGGTTCCCTTCCCCTTTCCACAGGCACCAGGCAACAAAGGAGTCCGTGAGCTACGCAGCAGTATCAGCGCCCTACAACACACCCTAGAAGAGTCAGCCTCCCTCCTGACCATGTTCTGGCGAGCGGCCCTGCCAAGTTCCCAAGGCCCTGCACTGCCTGGCAAAGCAGTAAGAGACTAATGTCTTCTTCCATTTCAAATACTGCTCTTCTGTTTCTGGTATGGTTCTGTCTCCTTAGTCCCACAGCTTTCCGAGGGTCAGGAACCACATGGGAAATTAGTATGGACACCACCTTAGGGGAGCATCCTGGAGGGAAACCCCTGATCCATGGCAGCTGCTTTCATGGCAGCTCTGATTACCTTACCTCCTCCTTATACTCCAGCCTCCAAGATCAGAAATCAAAGAGGAGAAAGAAAGAAAAATGGAGGAACTATAACTGAAGTTTGAGTGGACTGAAATTCAGGGGCCTTTTGAAGTTTCTCTCCCCCTCAGGTCTCCTTGGTCAAAAGATCAGAGGATATCACCATGAGCCTGAAGCTTCTTATGGTCATGCTCCTAGAATCCCAAAATATCTTTTTAAATTATCATCTCTGTGCCAAGGTCCCCCCCCAGCCCCCAGCCCCCAACCCCAGGATCTGCTGTGATCTCAGGCTGGCTCTTATTGCTAAGCCTGGAGTGGTCCCGCATCTGGATCCCTTCCCAGATATTCGAGTTCCAGACAAATATTGCTGTTATCTTTTGGGAGCTAACTGCTAATTCCAGGGAAGGTGCTTTACCATCTTCACATTTATACAGATATTTAGAGACTTACACACTGTCTTCAGGGCAGCCCTGTGTCCCATACATCATATCTCTGAAATTCCAAATCTTGTATGGATGGGGGAAGGATGAGATAGAACTTTTACAAGGACTGAATTGGAGGTCTTATTCACAATTGGGAGTTTTCTGCTAGTCTGGGGTCAGGGTCTCCTTGGCCACAGGACAGTAGACCTGTGCTAGTCTGGGAACTTTCATGTTTTCAACATTCTTACCTGTGGCCTCTTCCTCAACTGTCCTGAACTGGAGGATCAAGAGGCTCTAATGGAGAGAACATACTCCAGAGAGTGTTGAGAAGATTATAGAGTTCTGCTTCCAATTGGTAGGAACCACAAAGCACTGGATGCTTTTGGTCTCCATACTGTTGTCTGAGAGCCTATCCTTCTTCCCCAGGATGAATCAATGGAAAGGGAGCTACTGGATCTGCGAGCCCAAGTATCCAAACAGGAGAAGCTCCTTCAGAGCACAGCTGAGCGTCTGAAGACTGCCAACCAGCAGAAGGAGAACATGGAGCAGTTCATCGTCAACCAGTGTAGGTGCCCCTGAGCTGTGGAGCAGCAGAGGAAAGGGGTGATCTTACAGATGCCCCACTGTGCTGCAGATGAACAGTGTCCACAGAGGCACTGGAATGTTGGGAGAGGAGAGTCTGATGCACTGGGCCCAAACTTCCTGTGCCATGAGTAATTGTGGGTGCAGAGGGAGGGAAGGAAGGAGTCAGCAAGAGGCCATGATTGAGGGGTCAGAAGAAAATGCTTTAGAACACACATGCCCAACAAGTAGGGCCCAGCTGGTAATTCCTGCTTTGTGGGGCTGTTTTGTTGTTTCAGTGACCAGGACACATGATGTTTTGAAGAAGGCAAGGACTAATTTGGAGGTAAGGAAATGATTACACCTGTCAGAGCCAAAGAACCTGCCTCTAACACACCACTGTCTATCATCAGGTCTGTAGGTAACCCTGACCTTCTTTCTTCTTCCAGAGGAGAGATATCTGATCCACTTGACTGGTCCTAGCTCCTAGTTAGCCTCCTGTTAGGATTCCATCCTATCACTTCTCCCACTCAGTTCCCTTCCCTGCCCTTGTTTTTCTCTTGTCATCATCTCTCTTTTTTCATTTCAATTTTTCCTCCTTGATGTCAGTTAAACAAGGAGCCAGGAGAAATGTAGTTCAGTTGGTTCTTGAGGACAGAGACATTTGCAGGTTTTCTGAGAATTAGTTATCTGTACAGGGGTCTTTAGGCCATTTGGGCATTCTGGACTTTCCTAAACTACTTTATGATAAAGTAGAGTAAGGCACAACCTTATAAATTGACTTTAGTGCAAAATATTATGTTAAGAACAGCAATTTGATTTTGACACATTTTTTCTTTAAAAAACATGATAAAAAATCCACTTGGTCTCATTGATCTAAAATAAAATAAAATTTGATAATAAATAAACACTGAATCTTAAGGCAAGAGATTATATATATATATATATATATATATATATATATATATATATGCTAGACATTCTCTACATTTACTTAAATGCTAAGTGCTTATTACTTAGTACTTTGAAGAAAAACTTGATGTGCACTAATTGGTTTAAAACTCAGAAACTAAACTTTTAAACTTAGACATTAAACTTCGCCAGAGAAGTTGAACATATTCCTAGAAATATTCCTAAATTGGGGCTGGGGTTATAGCTCAGTGGTAGAACACTTGCCTAGCACATATGAGGCACTGAGTTTGATCCTCAGCACCACATATAAATAAATAATATAAAGGTATTTATTTGTCCATCTACAAATAAAATAATTTTAAAAAAAGAAATATTTCCTTAGTTATATTCCAAAAGGGTTGACTCCCACACTGTGATTAAGGGTGGGCCATGGTTTAACCAGCTCTTGTTTTTTAATTCCCTTTGGTTCTTCTCTGATGATTCCTTTCTTTCCTGAGCCTCTTTAGCACAACACTTACAAGATTGCTTCTGTACAGCCTTATCCTGTCCCAGCCAAGGTAACCCAGTAGCCTCCAGATCCCACTGGCTATCTCCAGTGTGCAGGCCTCCCTTTCTACTTCCTGATGCCTGGGCTGTAACTCCAGGCTTGTCACTAACTGGCTGTGTGCCTTTGGCTGGCCCCCTTGCCTTTGTGAACTGCTGCCCCCTCATCTGTTAAGAGTAGACTAGATGGTCTCATCTCTGCCCCTTTGAATTCTCCTCAAGAAAACTGGGATACACACTTAACAGGGGAACTTCCCCCAACATGTTTTCTCCTTCCTACCACAGGCTTTTTCTACATGTGCATGTTTCATGCTTGGCACTACTTTTCCTAGAAGATGGCAAACTTCCCCGTTTTTTTGTTTTTCTTCAGACCACGTAACTTGTAGCATGAACTGGCTCATCCAGAGGAAATGGTAGGATCTGACCACATAGAGTATAGTGGGGCAGTGGCTGGGGCAGCAGGAATTTGGGTGCACAGGGAGGCTTTTCCTCTAAGCTGGGACCTGGAAGCTCATCCTCTTAATCCCCTCCTGCCATATTCTGGCTTCCTGCACGCTTTGCCCTCATTCCAGCCTCTGGGTGTCGTCAGCAGGGTCTGACAGTTCCATCTGAACAGGGTTGTTTTATGTTTTCTTGCAGGTGAAATCTCTAAGGCCCCTGCTGTGCACTCCAGCCTTGTGACCCTTGCCTTCCAGGAGCCACACAAGAAGCAAAGCCACCACAGGTCCTTAAAGCATCAGGAAGAATGGGCCTGCCCCTCTTTTGCACAACTACCTGTCTGCTGAGGAGAATCTGGGCTTGATTCCTCTAAATCTGCTGGAGGTCTGAAGATGCAGTCAGAGACGTGTCCTTGTGGGGTAGGCAGAAAGGTAGAATGACTTCCTGGCAGTGATGGAATAACAGTAGCCAAATTCCCCTGGGCCCAGCATTAAGCAAAGCACATGTGAGATTGCGTAGTAGCACTTGTGACACTGCTTTTGAACAGCCTCAGTGGCATAGCACCTGCCAGAGCATGGTTCTCATCTCAACAGCTATCCTTAGATGGTCAACGCGAAGGAAATAGCTGCCTTCTACACATGGGACATGTGATCCCAATGCTGAAGCTCCTCCACAGTTATAGAAGCACACTACTGAGCAGCAGTGCCCTGCTGGACAGTGTCAGTGGGGTTCAGTGAGCACTGGTCACAGATCCGCACCTAACCAGGTAGCTCCTCTGGGGCAAGTCAGGCTGGACTTCATGCTGTACCACCAGTTCTGAGAGCTTTGATTCTGTGTGGGGAATTGGTGACTTGTTAGATGCCCTGTCATGCTTAGCCTAGCATGATCTTCTTCATTTCTTACATGTTCTCCAAACTGTACTGTCCCTACCCCCATTAGGTATGTTATCCCTTTGTCATCCTAACTTCCCTCAGGCGAATTGGGAACTGATGGCCATACCAAGCCTATGGAAAGTCTTGCATATAGCAGCCCTCTGCTTGTTTTTAAGTGGTCTGGGCAAGGTCCTAGTTGTACTGAAGCCTAGTCTGTGTCTTCAGAGTGCTCCTAGGATGTGGGTATGTGTGTATAAATGTATGATAGAGATTTATTTATGTTGCTGTAGCAATATGTTGAAGGCCAACGTAACTCATGGATGGGGAGGACGAGAGGAAACAATCTTTTTTTGGTGGCTATTAAAGAAATATGTGTATAAGTAAATAGTTTTTCTTTGTTTTGTTTTGCATTTCTACACCATTTCCCAGAACAAGTATATCAGAATAGGAAAGACAAACTGTCATGAAAAAATAATAGTCTAATCCATAAAGTCTAAGTTTAAAAATTCATTTTTCCTCTATTTTACAAAAATTTCCAATATATAATATGATGGAGTGATCTTTAAACTTGATTTGCCTTACAGTTTACACAGGGAAGGACATATTTTGCTGTTTGTTGTGTTCCATTAAAACTCAGGAGTTAGGATGGCAAGGGAAATAAAGGTTTCTTACAATGTTGGATTTGAGCAAGATAGAGAACATTTTCTTTCTCAACTCTCCATCGTTTGTGACTTAGGAGCATGGAAAGCTTTTATAAGAGCTATGGGGTGCAGTAGGACAAAAGGCAGGAAATATCCATGTGTATATTTTGCTAGGCTGTGTTAATCAGAAACATGTCTCAGACTCAGTTCCTCTGGGCAGTGCCCTCAGGGCCAGGGAAGTCCCTCAGACTCCATTTTCAGCTTAAGGAAAGTCAGAAGTTAAAAGGCTTTAGAGCTGTTAATTTCAAATGCAGTCTGTTTCACAAATCAGTTGTGAAGATTGTGGGAGCAATTTCCTGGGATGAAATGCCAAGAACTTTTGTGGGTGTGCGACCCTAGGGTTGCATTTAAATATAAGCATCCCAGGTGATTCTGATGCAGGTGGGCTACCGACCACAGTTTAACACACATTGTTTTATATCATTGAGTCAAAACATTAAATAAATTTATTTAAGAACCATAGTTGAAAATTATGCCATTCTGATACCAATCTTGGAGATCAGGAATGGGTCTTTGTTCCCCTGGTGTTTAGGATTAAACACCCCGAGAAACACCCAGGCAAGTGTAGAAAGCATATTTTATATACCAAAGAGACAGGGACAGCAGACTTCTCTGAAGAGAATTGGTACCGCTGGTTATCTATCGGTGACAAGTCCTGCTTCCTCACCTGTTGAAGTTTGAAGCATGCCAAGGCATGCATATAAAGCAGGGTTTATTTAAAAGGGGATAACATAGACTTCTCCTGGGAGGGAGGAGGGGGCCAGAGCTGGTATCCTGGCATCCCCAGAAGTGAGGTGTTCTGCCCTTTTTATATGTCCTAGGCTTCCTTTGTTCTCCTGCCTCTTCGCCTTATCTTTCTCCTTCCTACTATGGGACTAGGCCTAGGCAGTGACTAGACCTAGGAAATGCTTAGTGGGATGGCCAAAAGGTGGGAAACAGGTAGGCTGAAGTGGGAAGGGCAGGATGGTGCAGCCAACATTAATTAACAACCTTATAGCTCCCTGTAGGGAGCTATTCCTGGGACTGGTTACCTTAGCAACAGGTTGGAGCAGGGATAATTCTTGGGTGGAGGAAGGGCTCTGAAGGAATTAACATTTCAATCCCTCAGGGGACAGTCTCCAACTAGCCAGACTCACTCAAAATTGGCCTCCTTAAACCGACCTGACTTGATTGACCTGTTTATACTGACTGTCTCACTAATTCTGGCTTCAGAAGTGGGCAAAGAGCTGGGTGTCAGGAGGAGTGGGTGTGTCTTGCTGTTTTATAGACCCCAGAACCCCCCACCACCTTTTCCTTCTTTGTGCATATGCCTAAGGGTAAGAAGGAGCTGGAGCACTTGGGATAATCAATAGCAGCTCATTGTGCTGGAAAGTGTGATCCCCAGGTTAGCTGTTAGCAACCCATCTGTCTTTTCTTTGATAACCAGCCCTTATGTTCTCCACCCCCATCATTTATTACCTACACTGACTGCCAGACCTTCTTAGCCCTGAGTCAGTTTGCTGAGGAATGTGACATATCCTCTCCGCTCAGGCCAGGTGGGGCTGCAGACAGATTAACTCACCATCCTCATTTATCTGTCCTCTTATACTTCCATAAATGTTGAAATAAAAATCTTAAAAGATTCCTTCAGAAAAATCCTTGTATTCTTTTGCCTTCTAGAATTAAAATTAAGCTATCACTCTATAATTATTTCCTAGAAACAGTTAAAAATGAAATCCTGTGAGGGGAAATAGAATTTAAGTCCTATAAAGGGGGCTGGAAGGGAAAACAGAACAGGTACCACTTAAAATATGTAATAGTATCTCTTGACCTGTCAACCTAGGCCTTCAGAATGTGCAGAGTTCATCACGTCCTTTAGATCTCGTCACTGGTGAAGTGAATTAGAGAGGCACTTGTGTTGACTTTCTGTTGTTGCTGTAACCAATTCCCATAAACATCGTGGCTGAGAACACCCCAAACTCATTTCTTTAGAGTTCTGTAGTTTAGGAGTCCACCAAGGGTCCCAACAGGCCTAAAATTGATAGGTCAATCTTTGGCTGGTAGCTGCTTCCTCTACCTTCACAACCAGCAAAGCAGGCAGAGTGCTTGATCCATCACCCTGACCTCTTTCTCTGCCTCTTCTTCCATGTTAAAGACCCATGGGATTATTTGGATGTTATGGATTACCCTGTGCCATTCAGCATGGTCTCCCCATCTCAGAATCCTTAACATAAGCCCATCTGCAAGTCCCTTGCTAGATAATGAATGAAGTGTGTTCACATCCAAGGATTAGGAAGAGGATCTCTTGGGGAGGCCATTATTCTGGCTGCCACATACTCTTTTATTTTTTTCCCCAGTTTTCAGTGGACACACATCTTTATTTTATTTTTATGTGATGCTGAGGATCTAACCCAGCGCCCCGTGCATGCCAGGCGAGCGCAGTTACCACTCGAACCACATCCCCAGCCCCTGCCACATACTCTTAATTCATGTGCTGACTAATGTTGGAATTAAAACAAAACACTAAATCAAGTTAGTAAAATTAAGACACTACCTTAAGGCATAGCCTGACATAGCAAAAATACTAAAATTGAGCTCTGGAAATGCTCCAGTGATGGCCTTAGGATTTTACAAGTGTTGAGATTATTTTAGATGTGGCCCTTATTTTCTCAAAGGCTGGCTTTGGGTGCAGAAATCTCATCTGAGGCTAAGAGGACACAAGGAAGCAGGGAGGGAGAGGCAGATTCTGTATACCTGGGAGCCTGCTGACTTTGGCTCAGTACACTTGGCTCATTCTAAATGGGGCAGTTGGATGGTTTTCTTTGGTCAGGATTTCCTGCTGCTTGTAGCCCCTAGCACCATGGGGATCTCTATGTGCCCAATGATGGCCATGAGGTGGTGCTAGAAAAGGGCCTAGGGTATTCAAGTCCCTCAAGATGAGGGCCAGATTCTAGCCATGAGGAACAGGAAATGGAATAGTTGTGGTTGAAGTTCAGCTTTAAGGTGCAGCCATCTTCTTTGGTCTCCTCATAAACTGAGCTTGACCAGAAACAATGTGATTGTTTTTGATTTTTCTTCTGATACAAAATATTCCTTCATCTTCATCGCAGATGAGGGCAACCCCTTCCTGTGTTGGCCTGTATGGTGTGTATGTGGGAGGGATAGAGGGTATGTGGGCAGGAGGAGCAAGAAGAGGAACGAGGAGTGGAACAACAAGGCAGGCCAGGAGGACAGAGAGGAGAGAGGGATGGAGGTGGGGCAAGATGTGCAGGAGGTGGTGAGGAGAAGAGGCAGAGCTTGAACTCTCAGGCCCAGAAGGAACTCAGCTTGTAACTAAAAACTTGGTCCTTGTCCCCAGTGCCAATGAATGCCTATTAATAATGAGGACACAGTTTTGAGAAAAAGGAAAAAGTTGTTTTATTGCTTTTCTGACAAAGGAGAAACACAGGGGACTCCTGTCCCTGAGGCTGTGATTCTGTCCATCAGAAGGAACAGGGGGATTTTAAAGGAGCTCCTTAAGGGCTATATTCCAAATGTGCCCTGACAGGGAGTCCAGGGGCATTGATGGAGTGTTAGGATTCACTTGTTATTTGTCACTTCCGAGATCCTCTTACAGACATCTCCTTCCTGTGGAACACAGATAACTCAGGGTAATCTGGCCTCCAGGTTAGGGAGAGTGAGGGGGAGAAAAGGAAAAGGGAAAAAAATGTCCCTTTAAAAAATAAGCCTCAGAACTATATTCAAAAGGTGAAGTGGACCCCTGTTACAAGCTGTTGATGGATTGGTTCTCAAAAGTTTATTTGGGGGCTGGGGTTGTGGCTCAGTGGTAGAGCACTTGCCTTGCATTTGTGAGGCACTGGGTTTGATTCTCAGGACTGCATATAAATAAATGAATAAAATAAAGAGCCATCAAAAACTAAAACTATATATATATATATAGTTTTATATTATATTATATTTATATATGTATATGTGTGTGTATGTATATATATATATATATATAAAGTTTATTTGGAATGATAGCAGCATCTACTCACTATCCACAGAGACAGGAAGTAGGGAATCCTCTGGTAGCTGGCTGGAGAGAATCCAATGACAACAAAATTTAATGCACCCAAATTGGAGGCCACATTTCCAACACATCACACCATGATTTTAGAGGGTACTCAGGACTTCCAGTGCTGTGTGGCAGATTGGTTCAGTCACCTCTTGAAAGACCTCCAATCCCAGGGGAATAGCCCCTCAATGCCAAACCACCTTTTGAGTCCCCAGTGACCCTGACAGATGCACAGACACAATAGCTTCTCCTTCCCAAAGCCAGGTGGTGGCGGCCCCCCCCCCCCAAATGCTCAGAATTGACCGCGGTACCACAGCATCTGGCATCTTCACTGAAAAGGAGTGTTCATAACATGGAGCAATTTGGACAGCAACAGTAAGATATTTACAATAGGATGGTTCCATCTCACCCAGATAGCCTGATGGCTTATTGAGTTCCTGTTTTGTCAGCACAGATAGCTTTTGCTAGAGTATGTCTTCGGCTATGTCTCCTATATATGAGGGAGGAACCTATTATAGTCCAGTGTACCATAGGCCAAACCAAAGAACCGTGGAGCTCCAAGGATGGCAGGCGGCTCTCTATCACACCAGCTTAGGTGTTGGAATCTATAAAAGACTTCTAGCCAACAGAATGACCTTCCATACCAAA